AGGAATATGTGTCACCTGGCTTTCCGCCAGTGCACTTCCAACTACACCACTCTTTTTGAGCTGGGTAGTTCCTGGTGTCGATTGACATAACGTCATCGCACCCTCGACTGTGTTGGACACAGCATCAGTCACATAAGCCTCTCGCAAGAGCACATCCTTTCCGGTGTCTTGCGTAGAGCTAGCGACTGTTCGTGTACGCCAGTCTATCCATGGTTGGTGTTTAGCCAACCAAGGCATGCCTAGGATGAGGTCATACGGACTCTCCATACCTAGCACTGTGAACTTCTCTTTACAAGAGAAGTCACTGAAACTGAAGGCGAGCTCAACTTGAACTCCCTCCGATTTGACGAGCGCACCGTTTGCTAAACGAACGATCGCCGCTTCTCGCTTGCCATCCTGGCAAAGCGACTCATAACTCGCCGGTCTCTTTTTCAGAGCCGCGAGTTCCACAAAGTTTTGTGATGCACCCGAATCCACGAGAAGGGTCATCACTTGGTCATAGCCTCGTACTCGAGCGCTATAGACCAAAAGGGTTGAGATCCGACCTTTCGGAACCTCAGGGACTATGCTACCCATTTGTTCGATCACTTGAATTAGGGGTAGCTTCAGAATACGCGACAGTAGGGCATCCCGCCCCTACTGCGCTCCCGCATTTCCCGACCCATCTTGGGCAGGTGCTGAACCCGTGCGTCGTGCACGATGGTTTTTCGCACCTGGAACGACGCTGCTGAGTATGCAACATACATACTCAACAGAAGCAGGACCAAGTCGAATCCAGGTGGGGTGTCTCCGATGGAATTTCTGACCACGAAGGTGCCAAACCTGAACGACATCGTGGTGTTTGGCTCCACGTGCACGGTGCACGTGGATGCAAGGAAAAAATCACTTGGAGAGCGAGGGAAGGCGGCCATCATAATTGGAAAGAGTGATGAGACTAAGGGATATAAAGTGTACATCCCCAAGGACAAGGTGGTCGTGGTAACGCAGCACGTACGCAACATCGAAACACTGTCGGATGGGCGTAACGGTCAAGACGACTCGTACACCGAAAGGATTGAACATCAGGAGGAGGTATCAAACGATGATCAACAGAAGGTTCAAGTACCTTCAAGTGTCAAGAAACGGGCGGAGAAAGCTCGAAGTGGCCGTAAGTCCGGATGAACTAGGGAGCGACACGGCACAAGGTCAACGAGCAGACGTGCTAAGGAAGTTGTTGGTGAAGGCCCTGCTGAACGACAGGATGTCGTGAGTGCAGTCATCACCCAAGATCCAAAGCATTATGGCGAAGCCATCCGAAGTGGTGATCGCCAGAAATGGACCACGGCTATGACTGAAGAGTTGGATGCTCTGAAGTCAAACGGCGTGTGAACGGTTGTACTACCACCAAAAGGTGCACACGTCTTGCACAACAAGTGGGTCTATAAGACCAAGACTGATGCAAACGGGGTCGTGGAGAGGTACAAGGCTCGCCTGGTGGTCTGTGGGAACGAGCAAGTGTTTGGTGTCAATTATACCCTAACGTTTGCTGCCGTCATGGACATGGGAACGGTAAAGTTGATTTTGGTGCTCTCCAGGCGTTGGAACGTGCCTGCCCGACATGGTGACGTACGTCAAGGCTGAAAAGGAGGAGCACCTTGCCATTTACATGAAGGTGCCCAAGGACATGGTTTTGAGTGACCAAGAGCTTAAGTCGCACGGCGTGCAAACATCAAGTGACCTGGTCCTCCTGTTGAAGAAGTCACTGTACGGGCTCAAGCAGGCTGGAAGACTCTGGAGTAAATTACTTGATTTAAAGCTACGTCAAGGTGGTTTCCAGCAATGCACCACGGATATGTGCCTGTACTACAAGTACAAGGGTGAGACGTGCACGGTGGTTGGCGTCTACGTGGACGATCTATTGGGGTCATAGGGACTGAACAAGGGGCCGTGGATGAATTTTTCATGGAGATGAGATCGCTGTCCATCAAGGACCTAGGCGTCGTCAACAAGTTTCTTGGTTTACGAATCAATTTGAACGACGAGACAGGATACGTTCTGGACCAAGAAGTCATGATCGACCTCCTGTTAAAGGAGTTCGGACTGGATTCAGCTAATGGGGTGAGGACCCCAATCGGGGACGAGTGCAATGCAGAAGACGAGGACACTGTGGAATACCTATCTGCGAAAGGTGCAAAGGGCGAGCCAAGTGTGAAGTCGTTCCAGTCGCTGGTTGGGAGCCTGCTGTGGATAGCAAGGTGCACGCGTCCTTATATCAGCTTTGCTGTTCACAAGGCAACTATTCAGACACACAAGCCTACGACAAAGGACTGGAAGATCGCAAACCGTATTGCAAGATACTTGAAGATGTCGAAGGGCTTGAAGTTGCACCTTAATGGTGTCGGACCTACATCCAATGATGTCCGGGTCGAATGTTGGAGCGACGCCGATTTCGCTGCCGACAAGTCTAATCGCAAGTCAGTCTCCAGGTGTGTCCTCACTATGGACGGAGCCGTCGTGATGTGGACGTGCAAGAAGAAATCCGGGGTGTCGTTGATCACGATGGAAGCGGAATTCATCTCAGCGTCACAAGCGGGACGTGAATTGCTGGGCCTACGGGAACTACTCGGCGAATTGAAGCTGAAGATAAGCGAGCCCATGCCGATGCGGGTTGACAACCAAGCGGCAATCGAGCAACTCGAGTCCAAGAAGAGTACCTCAAGCGCGAAGAATGTGGACATCCGTTTCAAGTTCATACTCCACCATGTGCGTGAAGGTGTCGTGCAACCAAGATTTATCAAGTCTGAGGACATGATGGCGGACATATTGACCAAGGCGTTACCGGCACCAAGAATGGAAGACCTGCGAGCGATGTTCAAGTTGAAGACCATCCAGGATGCAGTCGAGGAGGAGTGTTAGAAACGATCGTTTTTTGACAGGTTGCAAGGTGTTGAAAGCAAGGGTTATACCCTGTTCCGGTAGGTTGCGACCGCACCCGAAATGGCTAATGTTGTGACATCTTAACAGATGTGGCGAAGCGGGATAGACGAAGACTACAGACTAGACATGGTATAGTCGCAGTTGACTCTACCGTACATGTAAAAGCACTAGCGAAGGAAAGTAGTTAATGCTTAGTATATTTCACTTTTACTTCTACCTCTACGTGCACAAGTGCACCACTCCTTCACTCCACTCTTACAACGTCGTCTTCCATCGGATCTCTGCTGTACGCATCAATGATTTTTTGTATTGTGGGAGGTATGGCAGCAGCCGTTGCTTTTGCGCTGCTTACATGTCGTCGTAACGGTGGCCAAGAAGCTTCGAAGCTCTTGCAACACCAACGCGTCCAGTTTGCAGCAATAGTGTGATGGTTCAATGCAACCAAAATCTAGGGTATATGATGTCCATGGCCGAAGTCCCAGCAAGAAGCTGCTTTGATCGTACACTCTTTATGATAAATGCCAACTTTTACTTTTGCTATTGTCACGGATCACGTCAAACTATTGAGCTTAACCCCTTGCGATCTAAGTGCTGCATGGAGAAAACTATTTACAGATATTTTGATTAGACCCATACACGATAAAAACTTTCGTGACAAAACTTTGCTGCGATGACAATCTGGAGCAATTGCAAACGCAGGATAAGATGTTACAAGTAACATTTGTGCGTTACTGGCACTTTTGCCAGTATCTGCATCCATTGGTAGTCAAGAAGTAGCAAGGGAGGAAGTCGTACGTGTATGTAAGATACATTGTCTCTGCTGTTGCCGTGTGCTGCTGTAGCTGGAAAGTATCCCCTTGGATGACAACGGGCTAATGATGGAGAAAGTACGCAGTAGCATCATACCTCGTGCTCCATCGAGACGCCAGCTCATTTAGAGCCTTGTATGTCTTTGAATTGAATGCTGTCTTAACATCCTCGAGTGGCAAACAGATATATGCCTCTTGAATCAGAACGTGTACCAACCGCGTCAACTGTAGCTGAATGAAAACATACTATCGTGTTAATGTTCTCGACGCAGAGCGTAGCGATCACGTGTCGACGACATAAATATGAAAAGCCAAAGCATCACGAAGTAGAAACGGCGAAGATCTCATCGGTCAAAGGCTAGAAGCCGCTGGGCAGAGGCCGGATGATGGTGCTGTAATTGACGATGCCCGGGGCGATAAAATCTTCATCGAAAGCTGCTTGTATCTACCTTGAGCCTCAATCCCCAACAGATCGAAGGCATCGCACAAACTCTTACGGATTGATATCGGTGACATGTCGGCAATCGCTTCGTCTTTTGCTTTGACAGGGTGCCAAACGCAGGTTAAGCTTTGGCCGTGCTACTCTCCTCATGTTTGGGCTTGAGATTACGGTAATCCACGAGTAAGCATTTCTAAGCAATTTTCATGGAGATTACAAATTGCGACACGACCCTGCTTTTCACCGCCATCGATTCGCGTGGTGATCTCTCGGCAAATACTCTCACTAAGGTAATTTATGTGCGCTTGCAACGAGGTGTAATCTACTGTGACGCAGAATAATGTGATGTCTTGACGTCGAGCGATGAAGCATATGACGACGAAAATGTAGAGTTCCTAGTCGTGCGTCTGATAAATACTGATGGGCCGTGAGAAGGACGCTATTTTGTACATGAGGTCAGTGCCTATTGCGTCTTCTAGTGGGGCATGTTTCTTTATTTGAGCTGTTCGCTCTTAAGAAATGTCACGTCGGACTAAATGCTAAGTCAAGTGCGCCTTCGATGCTGTTGCGTCGCTTTTAGTTTTTCAACACTACTGTTCATCACAGGCCCGAAGAGAGCTGAGGAAGCGCGGTCGATGACGGATCCATCACTACTAACTATTGCTTTTAAAACTAAAGTGAGCAGAGCGCAGGACATTTTTATGCTGTCGTCAGTCAAGTTTGTTGGATCAACAAGTTGATTGAAAGACCGGCAGTCCATACCAGGAGCCGGTTGGATGATTGAAGGCATTAACAACATAATTCATCATATACCGTATTTCGGTTGCATTGAACCATCACACTATTGCTGCAAACTGGACGCGTTGGTGTTGCAAGAGCTTCGAAGCTTCTTGGTCACCGTTTCGACGACATGTAAGCAGCGCAAAAGCAACGGCTGCTGCCATACCTCCCACAATACAAAGAATCGTTGATGCGTATAGCAGAGATCCGGTGGAAGACGACGTGCTTGAGTGTTGGATGATAGATGTGCGCTTTAGTTTGGATGCCTTGGTGGATGACACACAGGCTTCGTAGTCTCCCGCTGTCGACCACCAATACATTGAACACAACCACTCAGCTTGGCATGATACATCGGTACGTGAGGATTGGAGATGCGACTGGGCCCTGGAGTTGAAGTAATATTGCTCAAGAAGCTCTGCGTCTGCTGCTGCACGCTCCACAAAGCGAGAAATCTCTGATGTATTCAGCGAGCTGACACCGTAAGTATGGCTTGCATTGAAGAGTGGCTTCCAATCCACGGCTTCAGTAGAAGAAATATTGCCCCCATAAACAGTGACGTCGAGGAGTTCGTACGTATAGTGTCATCGAAATCCCACACCATGAACGCTGGATTGTTCAAAAACATTGGGGAAATTGCCGCCGCATGAACAACGGCACCAGTTCGGAGCTGTCTGCATAGTCATCATTCACTGTCACTCCGTATTGCTGGAATTGTGCACTCAGGCTGTTTGTGAGAGGCAGCCGGAACTCGATGCTGTGGATGTGACCGAAGAACTGTGCCTTGATAATATCCGTGTACTGGCTTACAATCCACTTGTACGTCTTGATGTAAGTCTCATTCCACATAGGTGACCCACTGTACGAGTCGATAATGGGCGGAATATGGCCAACGATGTATGTCAACTTGCCAGCACCTTCAATTCAAACAACGTAGCATTCAACCATGTAAACTGTTCAAATTGGTCGGGCACATTCGATGTATATGGTAAGTGACTCGGCTGTATGAACGTCAATAGAGACAATATGTCAGGTTGGTTAGTAGCAGGTCAAGTGCTTTGAACCTCAAGAACTTACCGAATAAGGCAGTGTATTGAGTGTGAGCACGGTCAGGTTGTCGTCCAAGGCGTACGCTAAGTATCCACAATGATTGAACCACTCGAGGTTCGACTTGGACATGGTCTTCTTCCAAGCACTAGAGATTAATGCAATTGCCGAGTTGTTCTCCGTCTGCGGGTTCGTCACTTTCATCGTGTAGTCGGGGCCTCCACATTGTTCACGATCATTCAAGTCAGTCAAGTAAACAAGTTCCTTCTACTCGTTAAACTCCAAAACTAAACGCACTGGTGTCAGTGTTGCCTATGATGGCAGTGATATCCAGCATCATATCACTGTCTAGTGTCGAATAATATCTCGCCATCGTCTCGACGTTCTTCTCAACAGCTTTAACGATTACTCGTCCGATAGTTCTCCGTGCACAACGTGATCTCCTGTATAGAGAAAAAAGTCTGGATTGGGTAGCAACTTCTTAGCGCAATCCAAAACCGACACCAACAAACTCATTGGTGCGTCATCACCGTAGGCAATAGGAATCTTGTTCGAGTCGCTATCGTTCAGCGATTTCGAAATATTGAGATGCACGTCGGACAAGTGCAAAATGTGACGGACCGTTGTCCTCCCAACAGTTTCGTCCGTTCCGTCAATATCACGACACGCGCTTTCCATAGCTTTGCAAATGGTAACGTCAGACTTGGAATCGGTTAATGGAAGGGACGTCGACAGAATCGGTCAAACCACTTGAGATGACGATTCGAAATGCTACGCATGCAAGTAAATTCATAACGCAAGGAACAACCATCAAACTTGTTTGTTCGTGATAAGAAATGTATTGAAATGACATTATTCTTCGACAGGAATCAAGTGAAAAGACATTTGACATGTGCTCGTGTCATTTGTTACTACGATCGATGATTCCCATGCAAGAAAAATATATATCGAACTACCATGTCCAATTGTCCTTTGATACAGCTGCTAACATTAACTTTAGACTCCTGCCAATCGCGCCGAAGTGCATCATGTTGTCGTCATTGTATGCTTTGACTTCTAAGTCCGACATCATCTTCTACGTACGCTTTTCGACACCTCGGAAGACAGGTTCTACACCTTCTATCGTTTTGCAGCCAACTGTCATCTCACCACTCTTTTTCTTGGAGTGGCTTCCTCAAAGTTCCAATGTAAGTGAGCTAATACTTGCTGTAGAAACCTTTTGCTTCGTAGATCTTGCTGCAATTGCTGCATACGAACAACAACCACTTGTATGCTTAAGTCTCAATGACACAGACTTTATTGTCACACGAACGCCGACAATATGTGCGCAGAGGCGCCTTATAGTAACTTTATTTCTAGTCCTCCATTAAGTGATACCATCTCAGCACCAAGTCTTCCTTCTCGACATCAGCACCGGTCATTTGTCCGCCCCGGCTGTCCATATCAACCTCAACTACGTCAACATGCACAACGTATTCGAATTTTCTAGAGCATTTATGACCATTGTCATTTTATTATGGCTTGTTTATAGTACTGGTTTAATTTTAACCCCTAAAACTTAATCCTAAAATGCTATACGTATAGTATACGCCATAAAATATTTTAGCTAATTTGTGGTGTAAAATTAATCAAGTAGGAAGACGTTGACACGCTGGTGTCATTGTTGCTACCAATTTGTGCCACAACATGTGTGTTTTGTAACAGATTCTACATGTTAAATTATACACTCCCATTGGTCAAAACCTCCCGTCGGAATCGTTGGCTAGCGCTGCTCGAGCGTATGACATGGATGACCATTTCTCAAAGAGGCAAACATGGCAAAGACCACGAACACCCCGAAGACGTCGGCCGGAAAGTCAGCTGCCAAGTTGTCGAAGAAGGTAATTAAGGGCGCACACGGTAAAGTGCTGAAGATTCGCACCAAGGTTCACTTTTACAAGCCCAAGACACTGCAGCTGGCCCGTGCACCGCTGTATGCCCGGAAGGCTGTGCCGTCACGCAACAAGTTGGACAAGTATCGCATCATTAAGTCTCCGCTTACGACTGAGTCAGCTATGAAGAAGATTGAGGACAACAACACGCTTGTGTTCTTGGTGGACTTGCTGGCTAACAAGCGCCAGATTAAGGATGCCGTGAAGCAACTTTACGACATCAAGGTAGCCAAGGTCAACACGCTCATCAGGTACACCACATCGGGTCGAGTCTTTGATATTGCAGGATGGAGGGACACACTACCCCTTTCGAGGCTACACGTCCAGCCGTAGTCCTGATAGGGAAATGCGGTGACGAGGTCTCAAGGGCGGCACAATGCCGCTCTCCATCCTAGTGTGATGTTGCAATTGGTTATTTGAATTGACTGTGTGACTTGCTGTCGTTTCTTGTGTCTTGCAATAGACCTGATGGCCAGAAGAAGGCATACGTGCGCTTAACTGCTGACTACGACGCTCTGGACGTGGCCAATCGCATTGGTGTGATCTAAGCACTTTCTCTTTGACTAGAAGGCTGTGCTACGAGGAATTGATCTTTTGCCATCATCTTGAAGAAATAATTAATACACGGCTGCTGCACTCTCGCTGAAAGGCTGAGGGAGCGAGCTTGGTATGTTCAAATGCTGGTTATAATCGTGTGAGTCGGAGAGATGTAGCAATGAGATGTGCTTTGAATTGTATCCACATCTATCTACGATTTACTAGGAAGTCACGACCTGGGACAAGCTAAGCGTAATTCTATTTCACTAAGCAGCTGTACACTTTACGCACAACTATTGCAGCTACATCAAGCACGGCTCGCTTATATACATTGATGCCGCAAGAGTGATGATTTGCACCTTTAGCTGTGTATACTCACTGAAAAATCTTTATTGTACTGTCGGCACCGCCCGTAGCAATAAAGTTGCGCGATGGGTGGTAAGCGACTGAGTGCACTGCTTCGCTCATCTTTGGCCGGTGTGCCTAGTGTAGCAGTCATAGTATCGTCAAACTCGACATCTAAGAAGCAGCAACTTCACCTAGACTTACCGATTGCTCAAAAACACAATGGCGATCTGCGACTGACCAGACCCGTAATGAACCGTCGTGACCTGAATGCGTTCCAAAAGTTGTAAGAAAGATGACAATAGATGTAGTGACGTTAACCACTACTGTACCTCCGGACGCAAGATATAGCCCAGCCGCATCGACTGAAAGAGATGTAACCGAGTCCTGGTGAGCCGTAAGAGAACCGACACACTCGCCTACAATCCAATTAAATGCACAGCCCAGTAAGACGTGGGTACACACATTATACAAACATGCTTATCCAAAGCGTCGTACCGGCTCGCATGTCGTACATACGGATTTTTTTGTCTTGGTGTGCCGCGATTGCGATAGGCATGGTCGGATGCACAACCAACTATAAATCAAACCAGGACATAAACAAAAATAATCAGTTTGTTATCCATATCCAAAACAGCAGTAGCGCGAGCACACCTTGTTCACTTGACCTCCCCGTCCAATTGTATCAACATCAATGGCCCGTGTAAGCTGAATGATGCGTTCAGCAGCAAAGTCAAACTGGGCGATTGCTCCATTTGTGTATCCAACAACAGCAGTCTTCGGATCTGTCAGCATTGAGTGCACTGACGTAGGTACCAAAAAGCCGGAAATGTTTGGACCTGTATAATACGCAGTAACGCATTGACAACTTAACCAATGAGCTCGAAAGACATTTTCAGCATCTTGACGTACCAATTCCATTCGTGTTGGTCTTAGCGGGGCACCGCAATTCACCCTGCAGTGAGAGCTCTGCCATACCAAAGTGAACAAAGACAAGTGTAAGTAACGTCTACCATAAGTAAGATCTTCCCAAACAGCCTTAGATCAAGGCAACAATGTATGTACCTGACGTAATCCCCCAAGTTCGAACAACACCGTCTGTTCCGGCCGAAAATAATGTATTTGACAGCGGATGCGCATGCAGATCCCAGATTGCATCGTCATGTGCGTCCTTAATCGAATGCAACTTCATGGCCCCATAACCCAAGTACGTATACGGTTCGGGCTTATCAGTTTCTGTTTCCGGTAGCTGGTACAGATTCAGTATTCCATCACGTCCGGCCGATGCAAATGAACCTGTTCGTCCAGGCAAACAGCCAGGATAACTTTCAGCACTAAATACAGCGATAGCCAGCACGCTCTGCGTATGAGTCCGCATCGTCACAATCGATTCCACTTCCGTTGCTCGCTGCGATGGCGGTCCATTTGCCACACTCGTCAGGTTCCACACCTTCACCGTACAGTCTTCACTACCTGACACCAACAGCGGTTCCGTCAGATGAAATGCAAGTGCTCGTACTCCATCCTACAAGAAGAAACGATACCGACCACATCAGTATGGGTAATAAAAGAAAAATCCAGTACAGCAAACACATACCATGTGCCCGGATAGCTTCAGCTTCAACTTGTGTGGCCGATGAGATCCTTTAGGTGCAATCGGAATCACCACCGGCTTCGACGGCTTTGCATTCTCAATAACACCTTCAACCAAGACACAAAGTAAGTATTAACAATATCATCAAAAGTACCAGTCAAACCTGTAAGAAACAATAGCAATGAAGCCGTCACGTACGGTTTACAGGCTCTACATCTCGTCCTGCTACAAACGTCATTCTGTTCAATTCTCTCTCGACTTCACGTCCGAATCCTGGTGCTGACTTGCTCATGTTTCGTTCCACTTCTCTTCCTGATGCAGTCCTATGTGTTTCCCGCTCTACGTCTCGTCCTAACGCCGTCCTGGACATCATCTTAGGTCGTGAGATCTCCATGCCTTTTGTCTGGCAATTTTTGGGTGTATTTGACGCGCTCTTGTTTTTGCTATCTGATCTATGAATACCATGAGAGGACTTTGGGCTACCTACAGGCGACAACGTTGGTGATGGCGGCTCAACTGTCCGTGCTGATTTAGACCGCTCGTTGGAGCGAGATACCGTCACACCACGCGAGACCTCGGCACTCTCAAGACGAGGCTTTGTACTTGATCCCCCTTTGCTTTGAACAGCAGCAGGCGACGCTAAATAACGTCCACGCTCTTGTCGCAATGCAAACTCGAGCATTTTAACGCGCAACATGGCGTCCTTATACGCTTGTTCCTGTTCCCCACGTTGTTCCTCTAGCTCACGTACATGCATCTGTAATTTCTGACGCTCTTCATTCCAGCTTGCCTCATCGTTGGCCACGCTAGCAAATTGTCGCTGTAGATAACGCAGCGCGGCGTCCACGCTCTCCATCGCTCAAGAGACGTTTCCCTCTCTCCCTTTAATTGGCTCGCCTGTTTGTGCTCCTGCCACTGAACAAACAAAACATTTTAACCTCAAAACCTCACGTTGAAGTACGGACATGTTGTACATACTTGGGTACCAATTGAGCAAGAGTGATGTTCATCGAGTGGCAGTTTCAAGTCCGCGCGCTGGTGGCGCACAATGTTTGAGACGCTCGTGACGGGACTCTTAACCAGTGCGCTGGGTAGCTACATCGATCCTAAATGCTTTAGTAGTGATAAAATCAATGTGGCAGTCTGGTCTGGGTATGTCGTGCTCACAGAATTGGAAATTAAACCCGAAATATTGGCGGAAATCCCCGCATTGAAACTCGTTCGGGGTCTTGTCGGGTCTTTGGAGCTCAAAATTCCATGGAATCGACTGCAATCGGACTCAGTAGTGGCTACCGTGGATGATGTGTATCTATTGCTACGAACAGAAGAGGACGTGGATGCGGTGATGCGGCAAATGGACGAGTTTACAATAAAGAAGAAATTGCTGGAGGAACTTTATGCGCAGGCCAAGAGACAAGAAGACGACAACATGACGGACAGCAGAGATGGTGGATTTGCAGCTCGATTGGTCAACAAGATCATTGACAACTTGGAGGTGGGCGGAAAATGTGGTTATGAAGTCCCTGTTTTTATGTACTGATATTATTATTGTTATTTATTGTATACTTGTTATTGACATTATTGTTGTAGTTACATATACGAAGGATTCATATTCGTGTGGAGGATTACACTACGGGGGATCATCCGTTTGCTTTGGGACTTACGATCGAGTCGGTTCATGTGCAATCTACCAACTCAAACTGGCAGCCTTCGTACGTGGATGCGTCTAAAAGCAACGAATCTCGGATTTTCAAGAGTGTCGAGCTCAACCATTTAAGCGTGTACTGCAATCCGGATTGTGAGCTGCAGCGGGACCGCCAGATTGACTTTCAAACGTGCTCGCCAGAAACGTTTTCCAGTGCATTTAGCGCTGCGATCCCAAAGCGTTTTGATGACAGACACGTGTCGCACTTTCACATGCAACTGTATCCATCAGCGCAACACCACCACTTTTTGCTTAAACCGGTAGATGCCAGTGCCAGATTGATTGTGAATCGCGACGTGTTTGACGCGAATGTGCCAAAATTTGAAATTGATGTAAATGTTTCCGAAGTAGCCTTTCGACTCGAGGAGTCGCAATACTGTGACATGCTGTACCTAGTGTCGGCAATGCAGCTACCGGATCATTATATGAAGTACCAACGATATCGCAAGTTTAGGCCACAGACAGCTGTATTTGATGAGCCAGCGGTTTGGTGGAAGTATGCGATTACGTCAGTGATTATCAGCTTGAAAACAAGGAAGCAGCAATGGACTTGGGATTTTATGAAAGATCGTCGCGAGGATCGCAAGCGTTACACGAGCTTGTGGCAGCAGAAATCATGGCACTTATTGGAGCTTACCGATGTAGACTACGGATATTCTGATAGTGAAGACCATGATGATGCTGACGAAAGTGGATATATTGTAGAGAATGATGACCAGGGGACAAATGGCACGCCGTCATTCGACTTTGAATATATGACAAAGCTCTTGCCTCTTGAGATTGATTCCGGGCTAGAAGAAATTGAACGACGTAGGAGTGTAGAGGAGGTGTTGATTTTTCGCTATTTAGCCGATCTCAGCGTTCGAAAATTCCAAGCTTCACAAGCTTCTTATGTTCGACGTCGACTGCCTACGCCTCCGACTCATGAATCTCAGATCCTTTCCGATACTGATTCAGTAGATACGGAATTTACTGAGTCCAGTGTGCCGGCTGAGTTGCGGTATCGATCGTGGGGTGCGTGGATTTTTGGCTGGACGTCTAAGCTGACAACGCCCTCTTCGGGCGGGGAACCAGGGCGAGTCCCTCACAAAATAATCCCCGAAGTGGAGCTTCGAGAATTGTTTAAGATATTAGAGGAGCCTTCTCGGCGCTCGAAGAAGCGAATGTACAAGCATCGTGACGTTGTCGGGCAAGACGGCACTTCTGATAGCGAGTCACAAACGGAACTCAGTGAGCTATATAGAGTGACAGTGGCGTTGCAGCGGGGATCGGTAACGCTAGCAAGCGATCCGGAAATGAGCAAGACGCTACTCCGCAATGATTCAAGCTATGGGCAAAAGTATGCCCCAACTGATTTCCTTCTTGGGACTTTTTCTCAGCTTCAGGTGGCTGCGGTGGCGAGGGATGAAACAGTGGTTGTGGATGTGTCACTGCAGTCTATTGAAGCATTTGATGAAAGTGCAGAAAGCTCGGCATTTTCTCGCCTTCTTAGTCGAAAGCAAACGATTCGCCCTGTCGGTGACGGAGACGATGTGAACGTTAGCAAGCTATCTGGCGTCGTATTCTTGGTCAGTTGTGAGATAAATCCAGCCAGTTCCAGCGCAGATGCTTCGTTGTTTGTTCATATGGAGCCCTTGGAAATTGTGTTATCGCCTACAGCAAAATGTTGGGGCCGACTTGCACAGTTTATGGATACCCCTGCGAGTTTGGGGTTGTGGGAAGAGTTAGAAGTTGCGTCTTTTAATGATATTGTCAGCTTAAAGGCGCGAACAGAAGCTAAGCTTGACTATGTGATGAAGAATCGCATTGCACTTGCCGTTGATTTCCGCATCCAAGCACCAGTTATCATTATTCCAGAGAGCGACAGCGACTACGATTGCGCGCGACTCGTGGTAGATCTTGGACGAATAAACTTCATGACTGACCGTCTCAGTCATATGGACAGTGAAAGAATGGGCATAGACCCAAATGGTGGCCTACTATCGAGCCGATCGGCGCAAGGGTCCGTTGCACTACCAAACCCTTCCCATTTTCAAGATCTGAATCAGACTGCATCCTTCGCTCAGCAATTGTATGATGAAGCCGAGAGAGGGGAGGGGGCAATTCGCTGGAAGGAGGAATTTTACGACAAATTTAGCCTCTCTGTCGCTAACATACATGTGTTATTATTTCCATATGGAAAGACAAGTCGGGTTCAAAAGGATAGTGTCGGAAACAACGGAACGGATTATCCGTCTGTTTCCTTCCCACCGTACCTCACGAATATTTACGACGACGACCAACAAAACGAGCTGATCGAGCGTTTCAACATTAACGTTACCGTTCGCATGTCAATTTTACCTCTTGACGCAACGTTAACACGGTTTTATATCCACGCAGATTTGCCCGCGTTAACCTTCAATTTATCGCTGGAAAATTACTTCCAGCTGGTGGCATTGGGAGATCGTTTTAGCTTGGCAAATGCTGAGGCAGTGAAAGACTCAAGTAAATACTCGAGTGATGCATTACATGCGACAGAAGACGCTTTCAATAGCACTGATGTGGACATGGCCGACGCAAATGACCGATTCGAGGCCATGACGAGGGGGGACTTCCTCAGTACCTCGACACTAAAGAAATTTATGCTTGATGGTGAAGGTGCCGAGACAAATGCGTTACCAGACAACGCTGAAAACTCTGATGAAATCTCGAGTATTGAAAGTGACGACACGTGGTTTAGTATGACAAGTGGCAATCCAGATATGAGTGCTGTAGTGGCAAGTGGAGAGCCCAGTGACCGGCAACGCAGCCTTCCCGATGTCGTTGTGGCGGACGACAGCAGAAGTGTCTGCACGCCCCAGCGCTTAGAAGGAAGAACACGAAAGAGACCACGACCGTATACCCCCAGCGGGACGGCAAAGCTTCTTGATCGGAGATTAATGGTTTGTTCGTTCACGGTCCCACTAATAGCGGTGCAAGTGAAAAAGCCTCGCTCTTCTGCCATCTCTTCCTATTCTTTATACCGCTACGACATGAGTGATTTTGGTGACGATTCTGCAGACAACGGTGCCATTCTGATGAAATTGCAAGGGTTTCGAGTCCGAATAGGACAAAAAACCTTGTCAACCCAAGTGAACGTGAACCTAGCGTCACTTGAAATTGAAGATTTTATTGATGCTAGTGGTCGTTCAACACAGTATTTGCTGTTTTCAAGTCCTACAATTGCTGCTCCGTTTTCAATTAAAGCTCCATTACGTCGAGGCGGGAATTTCTCGGGATACGCTACCCAACGCAGACGGCCAAATCGACAACGAGAACGAGTTATTTCTTTTCAAACGGGCGGTGCGAAAAGCAGCGACGGATTGCGGTCGAGAGCACCCGAAACTTTGTTGGAACTTGGCTTCAGCTCCTTGAATGATCAAAAAAGTGGCAAAGAGGTGTTGAGGGATGTAGATCTACAACTCGGCTCGGTGCAGTTCAACTTTGACCAGACATACGTCTGCTCTATGTTGGAGCTGTTTGAGAAGTCATCGACTCAACTTGCTTTGGTTCCACAAGGTGGTAAGGGTAATGGCGAAAATACGGTATCGGACACATGTGACGGTCTGCCGCCGCCTTTCGAGCTTACACCCACAATCAAACAAGAATATTCGATACCAGTAAACCTTACAGAGTCTGTTCGAGCAGATTTGGAGCTAGCGAGGAAGAACCTATTTGAGCAAAAACCTGATCCGAAGATTACAGCGATGGACGGTGGGAGTTGGCCTGTTCCTATCGCGCTAAAACTGAGTGTCCGACTACACTCTGTATCTGTCTGTCTGTCGGATCGTGGTGAATCAATGGCGTCTGTTGCGATTCTTGATTCTGCAATACAGGTTGGTACAGAGAAAACTGGTTATATAAGTGTATCCGGCACAGTGGGGGATGTGAAGGTGTTCGACCTATCCTCAAAAGCGCTACGAGAAGAAGGACTTGGTGTCAGCAGTGCGGCTGTGCGCGGATCCGAGTCCTCACCTTTAAGGTACATCGAGATACTTGGGTTGGACACATCAGCTACGTTCTCGACTGACGAAAGTAGTCACGCGTTGAGCTTCGAATGCTTGATCGCTACTGAAATGAAATGGAACTCGAAGGCCACAGCAGACGATGAAGGGCAAATGCTAGCACACGATAGGAAGTCGAGTCTTACGGTCTCCTTGCAGCCTATTCGTCTACTGGCACAACCAGAGTTTGTGGAGAGTCTGGTCAATTACGTCGTCGATGGGTCCCTCCGAGCCCATTTTCAGCCCAAGTGCGCGTCTTTGAGAACAGATGTCATGGAAAGAGAACACAACCGCACGAACTCATTGGGCTCCGATTTTCAGTTCGCACCAATATCTTCTCCGAGTGCCGACCGCCCGCCAAAAATCCCGACTCCCTTTTTTGATGCAGTCAATACCTCAAATACGGATGCTAGGCAAGTTAACTTTGAAGCACCGAGCGTCCTTACTTTCTGCCATAGAGATATTGACGACAGCGACACGCATGAAATGAAAAGCGATCATGAACATTGTAGAAGCGGAAACGATAGGGCAGTTATCATTGCGCACATTCTCGACAATTTCAATCTGGACATCAGGTTATGTCACCCATGCGTCGTTCTTCCGGCCACTTCGTTGAACGACATGCGAATGTCGCTACTAGCACAGCCGTGTCGGGGGATCGTGTTTGACTTTGGTACAATATCATTCAAGCTGCGGCGGGAAGTATCTGAGTGTCTGCTTTCGTCTGCATACCCATCATACCAAACTAATATGACCGTAGAAGGTTTACAAATTACTTCTCTCGCGGACCAAACTGCGATTCTTGATCGATCAGGCTTCCAGATGCGAGGCAGTATTCCTACGCAGCCAACGAACAAGGATTCCGACAATGAGGGAAAGAGTAGCGTTTTACCAGAGATTGCTGTGACCGTGGACATTCACTCTGTTTGCATTAACGTCAGCGAAACAAATGTGTGTCTGGCTTTGGAAATATTCCACAAAGCCATTGTTCCGATTTTTGATACAGTCAAAGGGTTAATTCAAGATGAGAGTTATGAGCGTGCGTCGGCAGCAGACTCAGCTATTCTCCTCGATAACCAGAAAGAAGATTGCGGTGACTTGAAAGTTGGTGTGCCTGTGTCAAGTGACGATACGGCACCGTGGGGGCAGTTGACGGTTCACTTACTGCTAGAAGAATTTAAGGTTGCGCTTATATCATACTCGGAGGCTCCTCACCAGTTTGAGACGTGGATGAAAAGTGTCATTGATATCCCTGACGAAGTATCTTCGCGAGAAAGCAGTGGTGGAGCTTCATTTGCAGCCCAGGGGGGGTCTTATTCTCAGCATTTTATGGGGCGGCGAGGGAGTTTTCCAAATGTGATTCCTTGCTGTGTCATTGGCGAAATTGCCTTGATTGCGTTGGAGGCAAATATGGCATTGGATTTGATGGACACCCAATCACGGAATAGTCAGCTGCAATGGGACTTCTCCTTGCAAGAATTTGTTATCTGTGACAAAATTGCAGACTCTACGGTGCGTGCGAATGTCGCTATGTTACTTGTTTGTTTGACGAGCTTGTCTAATGCTGACGTTGCCATTTTTTGTAGGATTTTTTGACTCAATTATTTGGGCCAGTTCCTGAAGCTTTTTTGGAGCGTATAGAATCTCGTGCTTCAATTTCTGACAGATCTTCGCTTTCGTATTTGTCTATGGACGATGATCTGCCTCCGTTGCTACGCCATTCGACGTCACAGTCATCAAGACTTGGCGTACCATCCTCGCAGTTGAGTGGACGGTTGACAAGCAAAACGGGCATTGTTGGCGAATCTACTGTCACGACGAATTCACTAGATCTGTCTGTATCTTCCGCTCGCCTAATTCTTCTACCGCGGACTCTGCTCCGATTGGAACACTTCGTCCTTGATGTGTTCCTGGCGGCAAGTAAGAAGAGAAGTGAATTGGAACTTCAGCGTGATGCCGCGACGGTAAAAAATTCTCCTGGAGTTGAGGGTTGTACATTTGTTGACGCGGGTTTTGACCCCAGCGACAGCCTAGCAGAGCAACAGGAAGCTCTCTTTACTGTTCCTATTCTTCGTCCAAGAAACGATAGCATATCCGAGTCACTAAAAGATGATCTCAATGCGGCTCGATCGGCAGTTGTGTCTCCGTCGCAGCGTATGCTAAGCTCAGCAAGCGCAACAGAAGGACGGTCCCTTGAAAACTTTTCGTCTGGCGCAATTGCAGAAGAAAATGGAAGCGGGGCGTCCGTGTCCAATAAGGTTGATGACCCCAAATGTGCCTACAAAAAAGAAACCGGTGCGCTGAGTATGATGCGTCGGTGGATAGTTGACGTTCGCTTTCTAAATTTGCAGATGTGGGTGGTATCGACGGATCGTAGGACCGATGTGGCAGGATGTGTGCTATCGAGTCAATTGTTCGCAAAGTTTGATAGTGTACTTGGTGGACTCGAAGCATCTGCTTCTTCTGATTGCAGTGATCTTGTGACTGCATCGGTTCGATGGAGTAAATTCGGAGTATTGGTGGGCTCGCCAACGGTCAGTGACACCGAGCAACAACAGCTAACGCATCACACAGGGACACTTGTTGAAAACTTCGAAGTAGCTGTTCACTTCGCACTGCGTCAATGCTTTGGACCTGCCCATGAGGAAACTACCGGTCTTGACAGCATTGACAAGCGTGACTCGAATAACAGCAATGCGTACCGCGGTCTTGACAGCATTGACAAGCGTCACTCGAATAGCAGCAATGCGAATCATAATAATGGTGTTGAGAATAGCGGTGACGAAGTTAGACCAAGATCGTGGATTAATCATTCTCCCACTAGCAAGGACGACTGTGCGGTGCATTTACCCGAACTTTTCCTTCGAGATGTGCCATCGGGGTGGCGAGAATGGATTCTGATGGAACCAACTGTGTGCATCAACCAGATCGTCGCCCATATTGCCTACCGAGACTTGCCACTGTTGTTGAAGATTTTCGCGGTTTTGACCAGCATGCTTGATGCAGAGGAAAGAATTCGCAATACGTTTACTGAACGGCTAAAAGCAGCAGCGGACGATCTTGACTGGGAAGATATACCTGATACTTTGGGAAATCATTCAGAGTATGCTCACTACTTTGAGGCAGATGACGTCAGTGAATTTCAAATGGCTGAACAAACTGCACTGTTAACTTCTCAACCGAACGTTCTTACACGCGCGTCGATTACTGCAAAAGGAGTCCAATTTCAGTTGATCAACAACATTGTCGATCAGGCGTCACCAGTTGTGGAAGTGGACTTGAAATCAATTGACTTACTGCTGCGATCTGAGTCAAATTTGATGATAGAAGTTACGGCAAACTGCAGTGCAGAAGCAAAGTACCAAAATCTGCGTCTTGTGACGATGGAACCACTCATTGAGCCATGGAGTGTTAAGGTAAAGCTCTGTCAGCTCACCTCACGTCTTCGTGGTTTGGATGATACAGAGCAGTTGGCAGTGTCACCTTGGAAGCTAGATATTTCGTCAGACGTTTTCCTCCAACTGAATTTGACTGATGCACTGATTGCAAACATGGTGGCTGCAGACCGAGCTTGGCGGTGGGTTTTCAACGCAGGTGGAGATTCGCGCGAGATGACGGAGTATTCCACGTATTGGATTCGAAATAATACTGGAATGCCTTTGCGGTACTGGGGTGTATCTTACAACAAACATTCGCTTGCTGCCGGCGACGAAGAACCTCTTCGGCTCAGTAAAGAACAGTGCGGTGGAAAAGGTAGTGAGAAACAGCAAAAAGGAAATCGGTGTAATACGTATGTACGCAACCGCCAGATTTTTATCGCTGTCGAAGAAGAATATCCAAGCAACAGTCTGTCTAACATTGCGAGGCAATGGCAAAGTGAAGCACCCATTCCAGTTGACCAAGTTGATTCCCGCATGTATGCCTTGGTAGACTTCGAAGCAGACATCACGGCCACTCACATGAGGAAATGCGAGTGTGTGATTGACGTACTTGTAGAGCGTGGATGCAAGTATTTTGTGGTACGCTCGACTTTGATCCTAGAGAATCAAACTTCATCCGATCTAGAAGTAGAGTTTATCTCTCCTCCAATACGTTCACTGTCACAGCCTTCGAGAGTGGAAAATGCCTCGCAAGAGCACATTATCCCCATTTGGAGAAAGGTAGTTAAGGCCTCCTCCGTTGTTCCTGTTCCGGTGCACATTGTTTCATTTGGCGAAGGCTACGTGATGGTGCGTCCTCCAGAGATCGCTGGAGACAATGCACCGAAGGCTTACGCCAAAGAGCAGGTGCACCTCCCGCTCTTTGAAAAAGGAAGCTCTTTTGCCAACGAGAACATGGCGCATGTGGAAGATGACGAGTCTGGTCAGTCCCAATGCACTATTAAGTTTCGACGACTGTATAGGGACCGGCCCGTACGTCCATTCATGATGAGTGTTTGCCTCTCCAATGCAAGTAGTGCACTGTATCACCGCACGCTTTCGTTCCATCCACCACTGATCGTGCATAATCTAACCGCTGGACCGCTTGATTTTTGCTTGGCAACTCCAAGTGATTGGTCGCCTGCAGTTGAGACAGTGACTATGAAAAATTCAGGGATGAATGCAGGTTGGGAAACTTGCGAGCAACGTTTGCGTGAGCGAGGTACGATCAATGTGGCGGACTCGCTTGTTTGGCATTTGTCGAGTGAGGAAACACCTCTCGAACTCAGCGTCCGGATGAAAGGGTTTGACTGGAGCGAACCTCTTGATCTCGAAAAAGACTTGGACGACCTTGTGCGGATTAAAATGAAAGATCTTGTGAGTGACGCGTATCTCTATATTACTGTCGAAATTCGGATAAGTAAGGGGTACTGCCGTGAGTTGTTTCTCTATGTGCCATACTGGATTGTGAACCTGACGGGCATGAAACTTGAGTATGCATACGAGGAAGAACGAATGGGAAGCGAACATAAGATCGCGTAAGTTTTAGGGAAAAGTCGCGATTACGATCATTCTTTTAGCGACTGATCACTAACGTTTGCTTTGTTTTATATGTATGTCTAGGTTGTTGGCGGGACAAAAACGGCTAGATCGTGATGAGCTTCTACTGAAAGAAATCCATAGGACTAAGACTGCTTGTCGAGATCGCAATCCTCATCTCCTTCACCCTGTTCTTGTTGAGAACCAGGAATTCGCAGCTAAAGCTAAAGACTTCGGGCAGCTCCACATTATATCTAGTCGTGCATCTACTGATCGGCGTGAGAGTGAGCGCAAGCGACGTCATCCTCGACTTCTTCCGAGTGTACCACCAGTAAAGGGTCTGCTGGACCTGCTCCCAAAATCGGCCGACCCACGTAATTTTGGACAACTGGAAGTTTTGCAAGCTTGTCATTCCAACTATCGGATAGATTGTGGGTGTGTTCGTTTGCGAGTCAGCAATGAAAGAGACATGGCCAGCCTGGACGCCCGAAAGGAGTCTGAACAGCGGAAATGGTCTGACCCTTTCGTATTAGATCTAGCTGGAACGATCGGTGAAATTGAATCAGACGACTATGGGGCGAATCGAAAATTTAGTATTGGTTATTCGATCCGTCCTGCAAAAGGCCAGTATTCAAGAACGAAGGTAATCACGCTGACGCCACGATTTATGCTCATCAATGCTATGAGCAGTGCTATTGAGGTGTGCCATTCTTCATCCAAAATGATGACCCCGGCTGTGATTAATATGGCCAACACGAGTGGATCAGTGGCAAACTCACGAACAACGTCTCCAGTCAATCCCGTGGTTCAGCTTGATGCCGGGGCATATGCCGATTTTCATTGGACTCTTCGATTCGCTAAGACACGCACGATACGTTGCCGTTTTGCAGAGTTTGGGTGGTCGTGGAGTGGTGCCGTGCCTTTGGTCGAGTCTGGCGAGTATGCTGTACGTATGCGTCATGAATCTACGCGGGAAAGTAAGCTTGTGCGTGTGACCCTGAAGCTAGACTCGTCGTGTGTATGCGTGTATTTTCGAGAAGAACGAACGACTGCACCACCCTATCGTGTGGAAAATTACTCGTTAGAAACGCTTCGAACACACCAACATCGCGTGCGCCGCAGCGAGATTTTATTACCACATCACTCCCTAGACTACGCGTGGGATGAGCCCACAGAGGAACACTTGCTTGTCGTGGACATGCTCCCGTCGGCGGCTGGTGACAATAGCCGTCCGATGCGCATTGGAAGTTTCGATCTGGACAAAATTCAACGGTACCCCGATGCGCTCGGCGGTACATTGGGCATTGAAATATCTACAGACGGCCCTACTCGCGTGCTACGTTTCACTGACACGCGATTACGTGGAAAAAAACTGCGCCAGTCAATTCTCAAGCTGCTAATGACTTGGCAGCGATGACTGACATAAGTGATAATAGTGCTATGCAGCTTCTACAACGCTTTGTGACTGCACCGACAGTGCATGCAGCATTACGTCTCCAAGGCATAGGCATCTCCATTGTTGACAGTGCGCCCAAAGAACTGGTATATATGTCCATTATTGGTATTACATTGGAGTTTCTTCTCAGCGAAGACGACCGAAACTACAGCGGAGCTTCAATTGCCGGAAGTGCAGCGTCATTGTCTCGGCTCGAGCGTGAAACCGGTCCTCGGGTTCTGGCTTGCTGTCTTGAAGTGAGTGACATACAAATTGACAATCAGTTGCAGTTGACGCCGTATCCTGTACTGCTGCGCTTTTCCAATCCAAATGACAGATCACGAACTCTAAAGGGACAAACCGTAAGTATCCCTGCGTTGCAGGTGGGTCTCGTGAAGCACGAAGAATACGCTGGTATCGAGTTTATCAGGCATTTCAGTGTCAGTGTTCTGCCGGTGCATATTCGGGTAGACGGCGCTCTGCTCTATCAGATATTACCGCTCTTTACTCACACCAAAATCTATGGCAGCAATGGCAAAGCTGGTATGGCAATTAAAAAACGAGCGGTTGTATCGGCGAATGGCGAGACTAATTACGATGAGATCGCTCGAGCGGCACACAGCCATTTATTACTCAGAGATTTCAACGCCAGCCTTGAAGATCAGGCGAAAATGTATGAGACGATCCAGAAAGACGGGGCCACATCGGCGGAAGCTAGTTCGCACTCAGCAACTCCCAAGATTACTGCTCGGAGAAGCAGCGGTACGCAACAACAGCGAACAAGCCCACGCCACAAGGATCATACCGCATTGGCTGCGGAGACTCAGCATTACATGGATACAAAATACGGCAAACTCAGTGCTATTGCTACGAAGGATGAGCAAAATAAGCTGTACTTCGAAGAGTTTCACATTGATCCCATCCGCGCTACTGTCAGCTTCTCATTTGGTGACAGTGCAGGCGCCATTGTGGACGGTCAGTTGTCATCATTATCACACGCAGCAGCATTGACAGACCCGTCGTCACCAAGAGAGACATCCGTCATCACAGTTGGCCCTCTGCGACTTATTTTGAATGCTATTGGCACTAGCCTAAGCAAGATCGCGAACGCTCCGTTCAAACTTCAGGCGCTTCACATCCATAATACGTTTATACAACCCGATGCGTTAGCAACGAGGTTGGCGTCACATTATCAGAGTGAGGCGCTTCGTCAAGCCTATGTCATTCTCGGAAGTGTTGACGTGCTAGGCAATCCAATGATCGCATGGAAAAATCTTAGCAGTGGTTTCCAGGACTTCATTTCCGAGCCAGCACATGGACTTTCGCAGCGAAGTCCGCAAGCGTTTGCTTTCGGTATTGGGCGTGGGTCACTATCGCTTATGCGCGCTTCGGTGTATACCTTCTTGGATTTTAACACGCGCATTCTTACGGCTGTTTCACTTGGTCTGTCTGAAGCCTGTTTAAAGCTGGATGACTACACGGGCTACCCTGCTACGCGTCACATTTTCCAGGGTCTCGTGCAAGGTGTCTCGGGTGTTGTAGTGGCTCCCATCCACTCGTTCGAAGTCAACGGCGCACGTGGTGTGTTGCCTGGGTTAGTGGCAGGTGTGTTCGGAGTCGTACTAAAGCCATTGCTAGGCTTCTCTTTGGCCACAGCAACAACCGCTGCTACGCTTCGCGATGCTGTTGACCCCAACACGAAGGTGCTGCTTGTACGTGTGCGGCCGCCACGCCACATTGACCTTCGGACAAAAAGGCTGAAGGTCTACTCGTACGTGGAATCCTTGGGTGAAGAAATTGTAGGCAAGGTCCGCGGTGGTCGCTATCGTGCCGACGGATATCTGGGTCACGTCGATCTCAAGACAGCTCACCAATGCTTTTTGGTCACCCGCAAGCGTATTTTATTTCTAAACGTGAGAGGAACAGCCCCGACGCAAACAGCAAAGTACGACGTCCAGTGGGAATTGCTGGCAGAAGAAGTCGTGATGGTGGATTGCTCTAAGGCACCAACTGAGCAGACCATCACCATCTACTATATGGAAGACGAGTTCCGCGCAGCTAGCGGTGCCGGGCGCAGTATTGGTGGTGCAAGCGGGTCAAATACAGTGATCACGAGCATGCGACGGACACCAGGCATACCGCGTGGCATGTTTTTAAAAAAGCACGAGGTGGCACTGCCAGACACGAAAGTACTTTTCGTTCGTGCAATGCTACAGCAACAAGAGCGCTCGCTTCTCACAAAAATGAACAGCTACACAAAGGACTTACTGCACCGCCAAAACTCTCTATCATCTCTAACAAGGACAAACTCGATGAAGCCAAGCTCAGCATGGCAGCCTCAGCACTCGGAGTACCCGATTTTTCGATTACCACAGACGCAGTCTTGCGAACCTCATGGAGGCGTCCGTCGCATGTGCACAACCTCTACAACCAGCAACTGATCGTGCTGCGAATGAAAAGAAGTTTGCGAATCGAAACTGAATACAGGGGGTTGATATGATCGCTAATGGTTCGATATGATCGCTGATGCGTCTTGACATGATCGCTGATGCGTCTTGACATGATCGCTGATGCGTCTTGACATGATCGCTGATGCGTCTTGATTCATCGTCATTGCAAGAGGCTTGTTTTAGCCATTTACAACTAATCCTTCACCTTCGTGCTTACGTTGAGCATCCCACATTCTCGCGTAAATGCTGCCGCGTTGTGCCAGTAGCTCTTCGTGGGTACCATGCTCGGCAATGGTACCATGTTGCATAACGATGATCTGATGCGCGTCACGAATCTACATATTAGCAAACAAGATAGATAGCTATAAGCACATGACACAAAACGATGGACAGGTTTGTACACATATGACGAACCGTGGACAAGCGGTGCGCGATGACAAGCATTGTGCGGTTAGCCTTGAGACGGTTGAGAGCGGCCTGGATCTCCTGCTCCGTGACCGTGTCGAGTGCTGAAGTAGCCTCGTCCAGGATGACCAAAGGCGGATCCTTCAACAAAGTACGTGCAATGGCGACACGTTGTTTCTCACCACCCGAGAGCTTCAGTCCACGCTCACCAACTTTCGTGTTCCATTGATCCGGAAGTTGCATAATAAAGTCGTAGATGCGAGCGGCCTTGGCTGCTTCGACGACCTGGTCAAAAGTTGCATTCAGGTTGCCGTACTTGACGTTACGAAAGATAGTGTCATTGAAAAGCACCGTGTCCTGGGGCACTATACCAATGGCCTGCCGCAGCGACTGCTGAGTCACCGTGGCAATATCGTGGTGGTTCACCAGAATTTTACCAGAGGTACATTCGTAGAAGCGGAAAAGTAGTCGGGAAATGGTAGTCTTTCCGGCACCAGTCTCGCCAACAAGTGCAGTAGTCGTACCACGCGAGATGGTAAAGTCCAAGTTCTTGACGCCAGTACTAGCTGACTGGGATGGGTAATGGAAAGACACCTGGCGGAAAACCACGTCAATGCCGTTCTCCAAGTCGTATTTGCTCATTTCAAAATGTGCTGCATCGGGCGCATCAATGATATCAGGCTCCACTGAAAGCAACTCACTCAGCTTCTTCATATCGACGACCGAATTAATCATCATGTTGTAAATACCACCCAAGAAAAACAACGGTGCAAATAAGTTCGTAAGGTACACTGAGATGGCGATGAAAGCACCAATGTCAATCCTGCGCCCACTGTCCTCACTCACCACGTGTGGAGCTGCCAGTGCAAGTGCCGCTAAAACAGTGGCCTGAATGATGACCGCCTGCGTGCCATTCAGCACACTCAGTGAGGCCTGAACGGAAAGTGAGTAGCGCTGGTACTTTTCAATCACCTTGGAATATTCCTCAACTTCATGGCGCTCGTTTCCAAAGTACTTGATGGTCTCATAATTTAGCAGCGCATCAGTAGCCTTATCATGATACTCATTATCGTGGCGCATTGATGCCTCACGGTACTTCTTGCGCCAGAGTGTGATCTTGATTGTGAGATAAGCGTACACCACCAGACTGGAGAATGCTACAAAGCTCAGTCCCGCTAGCTCAAAATGCAGTGCGAAAATCACAATTACCACTATAGACTCTGCCAATGTCGGGATCAGGTATAAGAAAGCGTAAGACACAACACTGTTGGCCGATTCAACACCACGATCCATAGACCGCAACACGTCACCCAACTTCTTCTGCACATGCCAGTCGTACGAGAGCGACTGCACATGTTCGTAAGTAAGTGTCGCTAGCTCAATGTACGCCGTCTGTTTTACTGTAAGGTAAATGAGCGATTGCAATTCCTTGAACAGCTTCGACACGAGGGTCAAAGCACTGAAAACAGCAATATTCCAGATTGCACCACCGACATCTTTCGACACTAATGCATTTGTCGCCGTCGCCATAAACAACGGTGCCGTCAGATTCGCCAATTTACTCAAAATCAGCACCACATAAGTGCTAGCAGCACGCAGTTTGTTGTGAAAGCCATAAGGCCAGAAGTACGGTTTCAAAATGTACATGAGCTTAACGAACGAAATACCACGCGGCTTCTTTGTTTCATCATCAGGTTTGTCCGCAACAATTTGAGGCAAGTCGCCTTTGCTCTCCTCTGTTGCTGGAGTCCTAATAGAATCTAACAAGTAGCTCAAGTTGACAACCTCCAATACAGTAAAGATCAAGGGCAATGAATTGGCCACATTAGCGTCCACGAGTGCCTGCTTTTCTTCATCAAGACGCGAAATCGCGTCCAACTTAAACGCATCGACCGCCAAGACACTCAAAAAGACAAGACAGAAAAAGTTGACAATCCACGTGATAACACGTGCATCAGGCCAGCAAGTTGCCAATAGAAACAAGAAACTTTTCATCATTGTAAACCACACAGGAAGTCCCCAGAAACGCCATGGAATCTGCTGCACGTCCAGTAGCCAGTCCAATCGGATAAAGGCCGACCTCCCAAGCCCAAATAGGCAGACAAAGATAAGACTGGCCAAGTCCCATACCAACAAGAGCAATAAACTGAGTTGAAGACACAACATCTGACGTTGTGCCGACTTGCGTCTCCGTTTACGAGATAAGGCGTCCATATCACTGGATTCGTCTTCAACAACAACCTCATCGTCTTGCCAGCGTGAAAATGCCTGTTTCTTCCCTCTTGTATCCACATGATCGTTAGTATTTTTATCCAATAAAGGTGTCGCTTCTTTCAATACATTTGTCATGATTCTCCTTCTCGTTCTTCCTCTACTTGGCAAATTCGAAACTGAAGCAATAGCAGACAAGACGTTTCAAGCGCAAATCTGATTGGATGAGAAGAAAAACACGTCACGATGACGAACTTGTTCAAGAATGATGGTCACGCATGACAAATGTCTCTTTGTGATTAAATAAGGGTCGATACTCTTTATAAAGGGTCCAAATAAATAGCACCATATCGACGGATGGATGGCACTCCAGTTTTCTAGGCTTTAAACTGTTAAATCTTCGATTCCTGACGAGCTGCAACGTTCGATACGTGTTAAATTCCAATCTCGGTCATTGGCTTGTGGAAGAAATGAATCTACTGCTGTTGCTGCTGCTCCAAGCGTTGCCGGTAAAAATTCACTTGTTGCAGTGGTCGACGATATGACTGGCAGCGAATCCTCTGGAAATAGACTGCAATTGGTCTTCACTTCGAGGTTATGCTGCGGATGTTTACTCACGAGCTTGGCTAATGTCTGCCGCATTAACTGGACAGCATTTTCTTTTGTAACGTCGCTCAAACCTCGCTCTCGTAGAATTCGTAGAACATTTTCATGGCTCTGAATTGATATCAGTAAAGCTTCCGAAAAAGAGGCCATATCGATATCTCCTAGCTCCAATATTTCGACAGGTGTCGCCACAAAATTTGCCAGATAAACGTCGTGAACGACGAGCACATCGGATAGCTCCGGGTACTGGTACCGAAATGAGTCAGCAGCCATAAAGTGGTCCGGATTCCAGCGAGGCCAGGTCTTCATTGCAGTTGCAACTTTCACCTTTGCAAGCTCACTCGTAATGCATTTTTCCAGTCGATACCTCATACTTACTGTCCAGACGAGGGTTGCAGTGTTAATATCTTTGCTGGTTTGGAGCTTCAGGATGAACTGATCAGGGGACGTACGTAGCACCTATACAATAAACAGCACACCCAAGACCATCAGTATTCTGCTGTAGCAGCAGAACAATCAAGCTGCGGATAAACCATACCCGAACAAAACTTGGTGTAAGCAGCTGACACAGCACTTGAGTCGGCAATGATGGTGCGAGGGCATCTTCCGGCCCCAGGCATGCACGCAAAACCAACACAGCGCTTCGAATCACGCCAAAGAATCGTGATGGAACGGTTTGAACTGCCTCAACAGAGCTGCTGATGTCGTTGCATTCGATATCGATCTTCTTACGATCATGTGTTTGCTCACCTTTAGCACTTTCTTCTTGACCATCTCCAGCGCCTGATGTATCCGATTCACTTTGTTCCCCAGTGATCTGTGATTCTGCCGGACAGAACGCTATGATATCTAAAAGTGACAGCATGCCACCGGAATTGACTACTAATGCACGAGCTTCATCGTAGTGACAGAACTCACCAAGGCAACTTAGACAAACAGTCGCCGCGTCAACATCTGCGTACTTGACGATGATTCGACGGGACACAAGCTCGATCAATGCAATCACCACTTCGGGATTCTTCGTAATAGCTCGAATCCCTGTCGCTTCGTGTTTGGCGACAATCGACAGAACGTCTGTCAAGCGATACAAAAGTACACGCGCCATATTCTGGGCGCTTGGGTTACTTTGCTGACGGGGCCCAAATACTTCCACCGTTTGTAGTACCTGCTGATACGCTGGGCAGCGCATACGCTCAAGAGAATCGGCCAGCGCGCGCAGCCCTCTTTCTTCGAGGAAGAGTCGACACGCGGCAGTATTAACACTGCGTGTCTCGGGGATGGACAAAATCGACACAAAAAGTTCCAATGACAAAATTCCGCGCAGTTGATCCACTTCACTAAGCATTGAACGACGCAGAGGAGTCAACAAAGATTCATAGAACTCAGTCTTGATCTTGACTTGAGCACAACGCGATGGAACAAGCCGAGCTAGAGCTTTGAGAATTAGAACTTGTACCTCCCACGGTTCAGCTGCGTATGCACTCTCACTGCTTGACGATTGACTCAGAGACGGTTGCTGTGGCGGAGAAGATGACAGACCAACGCTTCTAGTACTGACGTATCCAGGCTTTCTGCAAACAACCGCATCTAGTTTCTCGAACAGAGCATTAATTAACTCACTATACATTTCGGGCGTCCACTCATTCAAGAATGCTCCGTCGCCTTCAATGTAAGACCGCAGAAAGACGTTGCCTATAAAAAGATCGTCATCCTCGTAGTGATGATCAAAATCATCGTCTACGAAAGAGTTCCAACTTGCAGTCGACTCCTTCTCGCGGTAACCCAAGTACTTGAATTTTAAGTACTGACACAGCCGCACACGTTGCTTTTGACCCCAATTCACGTCAGCCGCACGTTTCTGAGATGCATTGAAGGTATTGGTAAACACTTCAGCACTTGTAGAATGTAGCAACCTTCCCATGCCACACCCACCGGATCCGAGCGCATCATTTAGTATAGCGCTGAATTCGCAAGAAGAAACCATCATTTGAGTGTCAATGGATCCCCCACCACTGACACAACTTGGAGGTTGCGCGCAGCATTCTTGTAGAAATTCAGCAGTAGCTACACACATTCCCATGCCTTTTGGGTTACAGCTAGCTAGCAAAGCGTGCGCCAGCGTGAGAGACCTCCAGTTACTGTTTGTTGAAAAATTCGCATGTGATCCAGAGAATGAAGCCGACGACAAGCGACTCGATATCGTGGCGGACTCGGGAGGAATGCTAGAATCGCCGTTGATGTCCAGAATTGCCAGTTGCTTTATCAAAAAGAGTAGCCGAGTAATAGTCACGTGATCCAAAGTCTCCACCGCTAGGAGTCGACACAAAAACATGCGCTTGGGGTGAACGAACCGCATGACAAACTTGGCGCACCTCAGAATTGCAAGCAAAAGAGAAATGCCCGCTTTCACCAATCTATCGCACTCGTTTACAACAGCTACAGCTTCATCTTCTGGTTCAGCTAGGCACATGGAATTATGCAGATCAACTTCATCATCCAAATGAAGGGGCGTCGACACGGCTGCTAATAGCACTGGATCCACAAGGACATTTACAACTGTACGCGCCACTGTCGTGCAAAGTCGATTAAAGCTTTCTGAAGGGGTGTTCCGCGCGGTTATAATTGCGATGTTAAGTAGGAGAAAACATTCACGAGCAAAACCTGGCGAGTGGCTCATGCGATCACGCAGCAGCAAGAGTACGCATTGCGTAGGAAATTGGCCGTGAAATAACATCGCGTATCGTCTGATAATCAGCCGCAGACATCGTACGCACATAGTTGCCCACTTTACATCGTGTTCTACCGCAAGCTGATCAGAAAGATGCCAAGCTAATACTACGGGCTCAGCAATCTCATACGCCGTTGCCAAGTCAGCCACACGAGGAATCAGATATTCCACAAAGTAACCATTCACCACAAGCTCTTTATGCATCGAAGGGTATTCCACGTAAAACATATCGTGATCCCAGCGCGGTAATTGTTCTTCAGACTGGGCGGTCTCATTCCCTGTCATGCAACGTCGTCTACGTTCAAGAGCTTCAATTTCACCTTTCAAAGCCACACACAGCTCCGCACGCATAGAAGCACGCCACACTAATTCCGGACCCTCATGTGTTCGCCGAACAGCTTCAACTAGTTCTCGCCAGTGTTCGCCCTTTTCGCGCGCATCACCAAGCCATCTTTCAAAGGCTCCTCCGCCAAAACTCATCGCATCATATGCGAGTGTCACCACACGATTACGTTTAGTCTCAATATTTCCATTTGCAATCGTTGTTCGCCTAGGTTGCTCGTAATCAAACAAAAAGTGTGGCAACGTCCTCACACTACGTGCTCCAGGCACAGCCTTGGCATACCCTGCGTAGGATGGCGACGCGGCTTTGTGCCGGGAGATAAGCTCAACACGGTTCTTCGCTGGGATAAATAGCTCCACCGGAATAATGCGATACATGACTGTCTTTGAGCAAGTGTTGCCAGCGCAAAATACCTCAACAAGATCAATGCACATTTCACGCGTGTCGAAATCGACTTTGCTTCGATCTCGCACCTCTTTTCCATTCTTTGCAGCATTTTCATCCACATCCTCCCGCACCGCTGTTTCCAGTGCATACAACAGAGCTCCATACTCCCTCGCGGATTCCTGCAATTGATGGACTTGATCCAGATCCACAATACAAAATAGTTCCTTCACCAATCCAATTGCAAGTATCATGACATCATGTACACTATTTGGATAATGACACAACGCCAGCAAAGCCACGCGGGCGTCCATTAATGCACTTACAGCTTGTGTGCACGTCACCAAATCCGTCAACGCTCGTCTTGATACGAGTGTCAGCACAAAAATCTTCAATACTCGTTCAAGTATCACTGGAGCTTCCTTTTGCTGTTCAGTAGCTCCATATTGCACCAATAGTGAGCGTAACACTTGAAAACCTCCTGCATCTCCAAAATTCCTGCGATTTGCCGTTTCACTTCGGTCTGCTGCCTTGTCACCAGCTTCAAAGCCGGAACAGGGTGACATCATTAACGTCAGCGTCTCCAGTACCGACAAGATCAAGATTTGTGACGGTCGATGGAGACACGTCAGGAAAGGTTTTAATGAGCATTTGGCACAGCATTTATAGAGCTCACGCCATCGAATGACACGTCGGAAAGTCGTCAGAATAAGCTCCGTCATATCCCGTCCATTATTGTATTGTAATTGCTCTGTCTCTTTCTCTAGCAAGCCATGAACTACATCAAAGAGACGTCGCTCCTTTATGGGAACCCCAATGACATTATTAACGAAATTTAGATCAGTATTTACCGGTACTTGAAGCTAACATTTGAAATTCGTCAAAATAAAGAATAATATGTGACATGTGAGAGGTAAACTTTTTGACAAACAAACAAAAAGTAGATTAACTTAATACAGTAGTCTTGTACCTCAAGTGGAAACAACGCGCAGAAGGTGCGTAAAACTTCTTCCAGTTCCGTCTTGGTGACATTAGATCGACGTAATAATAGCACATCACGAAGTGCTCTTTTCTGCTGCGTGGAGCCTGCCTGCCCCATGTAGGCAGAGCCGCAATGAAGTTACAATCGTAAATTCCCTTTCTTAAGTATCCGGATAAAAAGAATACGGTATATTGAAAGGTATTTTATTACGATAACGTTTTTAAAAAAAGAGTGAAATTTAAATGCACAATATATTGCAATATCAAAGTCTTCTGGAAAACTTACATTTGGGCTCTAGCGAAAGAAAAAATGGGTATTTACATGTTTGTATAGGGCCTGACGACACTTGATCAATTTTAACACTGAATGCCATACTGTCCTTCAGTCTTCGCCACCAATGTCGATTCAATTACGTTAATCATGTTTGCTGTTCAAATTTTTGTTTGCTGTTGGAATCATCATTGCTGTTTGGATCATCATTGCTCTTCGATTTAACATTGCTGACCACATCATCCTTGCTGTCTGGATCGTCTTTGCTGTCTGGATCATCCTTGCTGTCTGTATCATCCTTGCTGTCTGAATCATCCTGGCTGTCCGATTTAACAGTGCTGACCGATTTAACATTGCTAACCAAATCATCCTGGCTGTCCAAATCATTCTTGCTGACCGATTTAACATTGCTGTCCAACTTAACATTGCTGACGAAATCATCCTTGTTTTCCACATCATCCTTGCTGTCCAAATCATCCTTGTTCTCCAAATCATTCTTGCTGTCCAACTTAACATTGCTGACCAAATCATCCTTGTTGTCTGGATCATCCTTGTTGTCTGGATCATCCTTGTTGTCCCCACTGCTGTCCGAATCAACATTGAACAGATGTGACATGTCGTTGCCTGAGCTAAGTAGGTCCATCAGCTTATTCATACCATTGCCATGCAATAACCACGACATATCGTCGCTGGTTGGCTTCGGCAAAGACCCGGGTATATTTTCAGTCATATCCTCCTTTTTTGGTGATGTTTCCACTTTACCTGACGACGATGGATCCTCCTCCTCCGGTGACGAGCTATCTGGCGCCATCCAATCGAATTGGCTACCATCGCCTCCGCCCAAAATGTCATCAATGTAGTCCATCACGTAAGTCAGACGAGTAAAGACACCAGCCTGTTCACCGCATGTACTTCCCCAGCTTACACAACCAACAATGATGTCGTTTTTGACGATAAGGGGACCGCCAGAGTCTCCAAAACACGTGTCCCTGCCTTTACCAGTTCCAGCGCAGAGCATACCCTCTGTGATTTTACCAATGTACTTCTTGGCCTTGCCACACTCTGCGTTCGAGATAATAGGAAGCGCTAGCTCCTCCAAAATCGGACTGAGTGTTTTACTCTCTTTACTGGTCTTTCCCCACCCAGCAACCTTGGCAATCATACCGACCTCATTGTCAGAGCCGTCAGGTGCACACATCTTGGCAAGTCGGCGCTTAATTGGTCTCTCTAACTTGAGTACACCTACGTCGTACAGATGTTGTTTCTTCCTGTACCCGGGGTGACGATATTGTGCAATGACGGGAACTTCCAGGACACTTTCATCTATACCATACCCGGTGCTCGCGTTTGTTCCAAAGGTGGCAATAAGACTATTTACTTTATTCGCGCAATGTGCCGCCGTAAGAATGTACTGGGGATGGATGAGTGCACCACTGCATATCGTCATGTCAAAGAGAGGCACACGAAGACTAGCAAGAAACGGGTAATCGGCAATATCCGCGTCCCTACCGCCGTAAATACTACTCTCTTTGTTAACGGTCGAGGGTTCGTCAAGCTCTTTATTTTCTGCTGGTTTCTCACTAGTAAACGAATAACCGTGTGTAAACGTCACCAGCGATGCTGCCATCACGACGATTACGTCATTTCTTGTGATTTTCATTGGTTTTGACAGCGATAAAGTCAAGTTCGCGTTCACTTCGAGCAAGTTTTTAGCGCGAGAAAACTAGAAATGACCAGATTGTAAAGCTCTGGACTTTGTCAAGCCAGAAGAGATTAGCTCAGTGGATGGGGTGGGGGTACTCGACATTCTACAAGACAACTATTGTCCAGGAGGTGGTTATAATAACCCAAGGAAGCAGATAAAACAACCAGTTTTCATAGCATCGTAGGAATTGACGAAGGATGGGGAAAAAGGCAGGAGGGTTTCGAGTCGGTCCTCCGTTTCAATCATATGATCATCGAGATGAGAGTAAGGGAAGAGGGGCGAAACTGGTACAACAACAAGACAGTCGTATAGGAATGTACAGGATTGAAGCACCGTAGTTCTGATCGACAAGGCAGCACGATCAGTTTTCGTGTAGCTCACTTGGCTGGATAAAAGTCAAGCAATCTTGTCTCGACAACAACAGGCTCTTCATCTGGTCGGATCATTCTTGTTCCACAACGGTCCAAAGTCGAGTTATACTCGATGATTGTACGGGGCTGGTTACTACCAGTGACGCTCTCGAGATTGTCCGGTTAGGCGAATGCACCATAGCAGCCGATGTGCACTATTGTTTATGTCCTTCGAGGTTGCCCGTTTGTCTGAAATGCGCAGTTGCTGGAACGACGGCGCGTGTAGCCCTCGTTATGACCGCTTGGAAGTTCAGTTTGTGGCTTTATAATATAACGCTCATCGGTTCTTCCTCTGGAGTGCCACCGAATCTGACAGCTTTGGAAGTCGAGTTGGGTGCTTGACAAAATGCTGTTGTTTACATAACGAGTGATAACTGTGTATTTCTTTGGTAGTGACTTTGTGCAATACCATGAATATGTAAATCGCGCCTACTAACATAGTCACAAACTTGTGTTACTTAGTTCCTGATCGATGATGCGATCATTATCTTGCACGCTGCTCGTCCTCCGTCCTATGAGTTGCTTCCAAAACTCATCATCTCGCTGTCCTTTTCCTCCGCTGCCCTCTTCTCCCTAGCCATTTCTTTCTGCTTAGCGTCTTCGCTTTCTTCCGACTTCAGATTCTTTTATGGCTCTTAGTCGGGGGCAAAACTTCATCTTTGTCTTATTTATCTTCATCTTCGTCTTCTTTAGCTTCGTCTTCTTTAGCTTCGTCTTCGTCTTCTTTAGCTTCGTCTTCTTTATCTTCGTCTTCGTCTCCTTTGTCTTTGTCTTTGTCTTCTTTATCTTCGTCTTCGTCTCCTTTGTCTTCGTCTTCGTCTTCTTTATCTTCGTCTTCGTCTCCTTTGTCTTCGTCTTCGTCTTCTTTATCGTCCTCTTCCTCTTCTGCTTTTTCCTTTTCTGCTTCCTCTTCCTCTTCTGCTTCCTCTTCCTCTTCCTCTAACTCTTCTTCAAACTCTTCCTCTAACTCTTTTGCTTCCGCTTTTGCTTCCTCCACCTTGTCCTCTTTCTCCTCCAGCTTCTCCATTTTTTTCTCTTCCTCCAACTCTTTCTCTTCCTCTTTCTCTTCTTTACCCTTAGCCTTCTTAGCTGACTTCTTAGTTGCCTTAGTAGTTTCCTCGTGTTCTTCACTCTTAGCCTTGGCTTTCGTTGAGGTCTTCTTTGACGACTTATCGGACGTTTTGGCAGATGTATCGTCCTCTTTTTCTTCTTGTTCTATTGCGTCTTCGTCCTCTATAAACTTCTCAATCTCTTCTTTATATATCTCGTCTTCCTGTTCCTCGTCTTCCTTGATCTCCTCGTCGAGCACCTTTTCTTCCTCTTCAGCAGTGACTTTGGTCCTCAAGATATTAGCTATCTTACCATCCATGCTGGAGTCGTCCGACATCATTTCAATCTCCTTGTCAGCTTCAGCCGTTACTGCATGAACAATCTTTTTCGCCTTTTCGGCAGAATCCATATCTTTCTCAATCGCATCTTCCATTTCGTCTACTGTCGCCGGTTTCGGTTTCTCTGTCGCCACAGCTGGTTTCTCTGACAAATGGCGATGGAACGTGCAGTCAGAGGCAATAGGCACCATTTGAGCTACCGCTGTGGAAGCCAAAGCACCCGCAGGTGTACTGGTAGCACCTACAAGTGTCACTGAGGATGTTGACTCTTTGACTGTAGATTTATTAATGGAGTCGGCAAGAGTTGTTGCACCCGTGTCGCCACTCAAAATAGCGTTTATATAGTCTAGGACAAATGTCAGACGAGTGTAGATACCAACGTTAACACCACACTTGCCTCTCGAGCTCGCAAATCCAATCAAAATATCGTCAGCGGTAACCAGTGGACCTCCATTGCCTCCACTGCACGAGTCCTTGACGCCCTCGTATCCAGCACATATCATTCCCTCCATGTTGTCGCTGTTGTTATACTGCATGTTGCATTCTGTGCTAGAAATGAGCGCGACATGCACTTCCTGAAACGTGTGGCTGAGTGAGCCGTCCTCGGTCATTTTCCACTCCAGGGCCGTAGCCTTTGTGCCAATTATGTTGTCCGATCCGTCCGCTGCACACAAAGTCGCCCTCTTCTGCATTGACGGTGTCTCGAGCTTGAGCAGTCCCACATCGTACAAGTCCGTCTGGTATCGATAGCTACTAATGACCTTAATCTGCTCCCCAGTGGAACCAGCACCAAAGCTCGTTCCAAAATGAGCAATGACGACGTCCGTTTCTGTCTTGATACAATGTCCTGCAGTCAGAATGTACTGCGAAACAATAAGTGTTCCGCTGCAAAAAGTTGTGTCGAGTTCTTCCAAGCGAAGACTTGCAATATACGGATAGTCCTTGGTCGTAGCATCGAGAGAGCCACGCTGAATATAGTTCTCCTCTTTCATCGTGCTTTTCATCGTGTCGGAAGCCCGAGTCAAATACTCGTTACCATGAATCACTGACAAGATTGTCGATGCAAAGGCAAAAATCTGCACAATCTTCATCCTTAAGACAAATATTCCCACGAAGAACCAAGAGATGACTCGATCAGATGGAAAAACTCGAAATGATTTTCTTTTTATACTGGAAATCGTATGCGATGCTCCCAATGAGGGGGCTATTTTCAAACATGTGGACTGTTCATTCCAGCACGACAATCCAACAACCAGATTTATTTATAGAGGAGCCTTCGATGTCACTGTTAAGCACAACGGTTGAGACGCAATTCGTCGTGATGGACTGACCCTTCTTGCTTCTTTATGTCAAGAGAACTCTCTATTTTACCCGTAGGGACATCTGTAGTCGCAGCTATTAACGCTGGAGCTGTAGTCACAGCTGCTTTGACAAGTGTCTTTGAGGCAAATGCTTTCGAGGTTGTTCCTGTATTTGTCCTATTGATTGACGCTGATCGTTGATCGACTGAACTTGAAGCAAACGTGCTGCCATTGCCACCGCTTAGAATGTCGTTGATATAGTCTTGCACGTATGACACACGTGTATACACACCCGCAGTGAGACCGCACCTGCCTCCCCAGCTTACAATTCCAACCAGTACATTGTTTGCAATCAGTGGACCACCAGAATCTCCACTGCACGAGTCTTTACCGTTTCCACCGCCAGCACACAGCATGTCTTTCGTGATACGATTGCTATACTGCTTGTTGCACTCGACATTGGAAATAATACGTACGTCGACTTTCTTCAGCAAGAGACTTTGCGATCCATTTTCAGTGAGTCCCCAACCTCCGACAGTAGCAATCTGGCCAACCTCGTTGTCCGTTCCATCGGCTGCGCACAGCTCAATCGTTTTTGTCGGCACACCTCTTTCGAGTTTGAGCACACCGATATCATAACGATGCGCAGATGTGTTGTACAGAGGGTGGCGATATCCCTTGATCACCTGAATCTGTTGTCCGTCACTAGATCCCGAGCCAAAAGCCGATCCGATCGAAGCGTACATCGTAGTTCCATCCGTCATGACACAGTGACCTGCTGTCACCACGTACTGCGATGCAATGAGTGTTCCACCGCAATAGGTGTTACTACTAGCTGTGTCCTTGCGAAGACTAACGATAAATGGAAATCGGGCTGCATCGGCCTCGGACCCACCAAAGATGCGGGCTTCCTTGTTAATCTTCAGTCCGATTCTTTCTTCCTTAGCTGCTGAGTCGGTTGACGAGTCAGTAGTCTCAATGAACGTGTATCCTTTTGTAAGAGTAGCTATTAGCACGGAAGTAAGGACACCTGCACGAAAACCCGCAGCGAACTTCATTCGAGAGTGTGCTGCGCTGCAAAGACTTTGCTAGTGATATCTACTTGTCTTCCTTAGGAAAAGGAAAAGTGAATGCTGCCATCCAGTGCCAATGCGAAGAGATCGCAAGGTGCTAGATGCCGGGTAGAGATGAATTCAGTGGCAGGACCAAGAACTCAACGTTTTTTCTTCGGAACTGCGAGAAACGGCCATGCCGTCTCATCAGCACTACTGACAAATGGCATTGTCGACACCAAGGAGTGACGAGACATTTTCTCGGTCTAGCAAACTGTCCAGCATGAAAAGTGACATACCAAGCATTCAACTTGCAACTTTCTGAGCACCAATCGTTCAGTATCGCTCAAAAATAATTGGATTAACGGCTAGCAATCGATATGCTGCTTCGATGTCTGCGTAAGCACTCTATTCCTCGTCGGACCCCGTTGTTCTGTCGCAATGTTGCATCTTTGAATGCTCTCGATGTTTGCATTCGTGAGCGTCAATTGCCGCCTTTCGAGCGTTTGCAGCTGTCGGAGATCGAGCCGGCGGTCACTACTGCCGCTGCCAAGTACACGGAGGATCTGCACCAACTGGAAACAAAGCTGAGAGATGCAGGAAAGAAGGTGCAATTCCAAGACGTAGTGGACCCTCTCGAGGTGCAGGGAGACGCACTGGAACGCATGTGGGGAATTGTGGGCCATCTTATGAGTGTGCGCAATTCGAAAGAGTTACGCGACGTGCACGACAAACTGCAGCAGCTAGTGATCGAGACAGTCACCGAAGCGTCCCAGAGCAAGGCGCTCTATGAGGCGTATCTTGCTTTGCGCGAGAGTGAGGACTGGAGCAAGCTTGAGTTGGCACAACAGCGTATCATTGAGCTGAGACTGAGAAGCGCAACACTTAGTGGTGTTGGGCTTGAGGGTGACGAGAAGGAGAAGTTCAACAAACTCAAATTGCGTGCTGCTGAATTGGTAAGGAAGGGATTGGTTGTGGCACGTCGTTCCACTGAAAAAGATGATGATTTCTTGTGAGTTAATGCTGTCTTGCCGCTGACTACAGAGTACCAAGTTCTCTTCAAATCTGCTTGATGCTACTAAGGCGTATTCCATCACAGTGACGGACAAGAAGGAGCTGGAAGGATTGCCTCTTTCACTACTGCAAATGTTTGCGCAAAGTGCTCGTGACGAAGGCCACTCGGACGCTACGCCTGAGACTGGACCGTGGCGTGTGACGCTGGACCCGCCATCTTACGTGCAGTTCATGAAATATGCAGCGAATCGGTCACTGCGTGAGAAGCTGTATCGTGCATACGCGACCCGCGCGAGTGGTGGGTCTTTTGATAACGAGGATATCATTGATGAGCTTCTTAGAATCCGTCAGGAGATTGCCAATCTCCTTGGCTTTACCTCATTTGCGGAGGTAAGTATTTCGAAGAAAATGGCGCCAAGTGTGGAGGAAGTTGAGAAGATGCACAATGGCCTGCGTGAAAAGTGTATTGCTACTGCGCACGAGGAGGTGAAGACTGTGGCGGAGTATGCGAAGCAGCACGGACAAGCTGAGCCTCTGGAACCATGGGATCTTGGCTATTGGTACGTACATGTCATTTAACTGATGTCATATCACTTTACTTGACATGATTCCAACGTGTTTGCCAACAGGTCTGAACAGCTCAAGGCGGAAAAGTATTTGTTTACCGACGAAGAGATCAAGCCGTATTTTCCACTCGAACGCGTAAGTTCTTGTTTGTACAGTTGGTTATGAATTCGTCAGAAAGCTCATGTTGTGTTACGTGATTGCTGTGCAGGTGCTCGAGGGTCTGTTTTCACTCACGTCGCGGCTGTTTGGCGTGACTATCGAGGCAGCAGACGGCCAGGCTGAGGTGTGGCATCCGAATGTGCGCTTTTTTAACGTGCGCAGCATCGAAGGGGACACGGAGATAATTGCTCGCTTTTTCCTGGACCCGTACTCTCGTCCAAAAGAGAAGAATGGTGGCGCTTGGATGAACACTTGCGTTGATCGCAGCCGCCTGCTTGGTCCAAAGGAGCAGAACGGCAAGCGTATTCCAGTTGCGTACATCATCTGCAACCAGTCGCCTCCCGTGGGCAAGACGCCCAGCCTCATGACATTCCGCGAGGTGGAAACAATCTTTCACGAGTTCGGCCACGGCTTGCAACACATGCTCACGCAGATGGAGTATGGTGACGTAGCAGGCATTAACGGTATCGAATGGGACGCAGTCGAGATTCCGTCACAGATGATGGAAAACTTTTGCTACGACAAAGGTATTTATATGTATCTGTATCTACTTACGAGCAGGCACAAACTTGTACTACCTTTTGCTGTTGAAATGCGTAGACACGATCGCAGAGATCAGCGGGCATTACAAGACAGGTGAGACGCTACCAGACGAATTGTTCGAGAAGCTCAAGGCAGCACGCAACTACATGGTGGCCACAGTCATGCTACGTCAGCTGGGCTTTGGTGCCCTGGACATGTACTTGCACTCTCATTACTCACCATTGCAGGAGTCATTGTTTGCGGTACAAGAACGTCTACTAAGTGAGTACGCTGTACTGAATCCACTAAAGGAGGACAGGTTTCTATGTTCATTTGCGCATATTTTTGCAGGCGGGTATGCTGCAGGGTATTACAGGTACGTCAATCAATACCAAGTGTATCGTGTTCTTGTCTTCACACTATTGTTATTGTGCATTTACGAGCAGCTACAAATGGGCAGAAATTTTGTCGTGTGATGCCTACGGTGCTTTTGAAGAAGCGACCAAGGAAAGCCCCGAAGCCGTGACGAAAATAGGTCGCAAGTTTCGTGACACGATATTGGCTCGTGGGGGTGGGCAACACCCCGAGCAGGTATTTGAGGCCTTTCGCGGCCGCAAACCGTCTACAATGCCCTTGTTGACACAATATGGTCTAGTGGACAAGTGAGATGGGACTATAAGTCGGATGGATGGTCCATCCCTCCCTCCTACCAACTTCAACATCATCCTACATTAGATTATACAGGTCTTTTGTAAGAAATGGGTACTAAAGCCATGACGGGACCCAATTTTCCACGGATGAAAAAGGTTTTATATTGTTACCTGCTACTTAGACAAATGGGTAATAAATTATTAGACGAGTGAAGAGATCACATTGAAGTTTAACAAATGCGTTCTAACAGGTCGGATGAATTCCCGAGCTATTCCTTTCATACTTGAATCAGAAGCTCAAGGATAAAGTCAAACGCCTTGAAGTCACTCAACGTCCACACTTTTTAGTCTACACAATGCTCTCGACGCTCTTCTCATCGTTTCCCTCACCAATTGTACCGACTTTATCCTCTCGTTTGCCTCATCTTAATTCCTTTGTCGTGCTTACAAAGAAAGCATCAAATCGTCGTCGTCTCTCTCGTCGTAGCAGCATTACGAGCTCCTGTTCGACTATCAGCAACAGCAGCGACGAAGAATCGGACACTTGTGACCTCGAGACGGATGAGTGTTGTGTCTTTTACGAATCGTACGCTGCTGTCACTAAACGCAGCAATCGGACAGTCGCTTCCATTCGTTGGAGCGACTTGCAACTCGCTCCAAACACGGACCAAGTTGTTATTCTATTGGCTACATTACGTCTCAATCGTCAGCACACATGCAACGATGAGACGCTGGAACTAGTTGCCTTGGAGTTGTGCTTTGAGTTCTTGACACTCAACGAGATACTACAGACTGTACAGGTCTGTCGAGCTTTTCATGACGTTGTGACGTCCTCCAAGACACTACTAACAGGTCTCTATAGTCGTCAATGGCGAACTAAAATGCTGCCTGAGACGTACGTGATGCTCTCGTTTAATGCCCAGCTCATGCTGTGTGCTGCACGTGAACCAGACGCCATTTATGACCTGTCGACACGCAGTACTGTGACCCACTTAATCGATGGCAAGTATCATGTCGTAAACAAGTCCATGCTACGAGACTTTGAGAAAGGGACAGTTGATTCGATCCGTGGTGTCAAGCAATTGCCAATGTTGTCCTGTGCACGTGCTCTAGACAAGATGACTCAGTTGTTACAAACCATATGATGAAGCACGTGGTCCAGAAGTTTAGGTTCATGGGTCGTGACGACACTAACGTGACTAGTGGCAGTTATGTGAACAAGACGATGGTTGATTCATCGACAAGGCAGCTTCTTGCTGCTGTAGGTCGTGCGCAAATGCTGATCCAGGATGCTGTAATTGGTTCCGAGAAACTTGCGCTACATTCTGCATCAAACCAGCTTCCTAACGAGAAAAAGCAACTGAAGCCGTTAGATTTCGAAGGCAGAACAGGAAATAAAACAAGCTCTTCCAGCAGGGAAGCTGCACCATCTTGCCCAAATTCGACTTGCATAAATGACGCAGGTGCTCACTCGGATGATGCTGTTTCGGAGACCGTTTGTCATGCTGAAGCCATTGCGTCGAAAGATGCAGACAGCTACGACGCTATTGAAGACGTAAACATTGACATTGGTATGACTGGAGAACAACCTGAAGTAAATGATCTGATTCAATTATTGGCTGTCACGAAACAAGACATGCAGGAGCTTTGCGGCCACAGACCGCGGTCAGCTCGCATGCGTGAGAAAGTTCAGATGCAATCACTGCAGCTTGCGCGGCAAACGGTCGAGATTTTCCGGAATATTAGGAACATGTATGGTTCCCAGCGGCGATAATGATGGAAATGTCAACATGGTGCAGTGCCAATATGTATTGAGTCTGCAATCCTCAGGCGAGGTAAACGTTCTGAAGCTGTGATAGTATACTGCAGAATAATGTCTGACTCGTTTCCCGCATCGGATACACGCATTTGCTGGAAACCCAAGACGTCTAGCCTCATGTCACCACAACGTTGTCCGATGCCTGAAAAATCTTATGGCGCTGGACATGATTGAAGATAAGAGGTGACCAGTGAACGTATTGATCAGAGACTTGGATCTTGGTGTCAAAAGTTTGTATACGAGTTGAGTTTGCTCCAAATGATGTCCTGAGAAGCGTGTTTGCTCTTGATTGTTCCAACAAATGGAAAGCCCGCTCATTACAACAATACCACCCGTTTCAATGCTCCGAGAGAATACAACGTGGTTTCTATGGACGAAGTTTAAAAGTCATACAATAAAATGATGCTGTTGCATCTTTTTATTTTTCCGAAAGTGTAAAGATTGCGCAGCTGTGGTTGCACGTTTGTGCTGCTGCATGTAGCTTCTTGGTTGCTATACCGGCTCATGGACGACCCAATGTGTCCAACCTCTTTTGAATTTTGCGTAAATAGATTACTATTGGATACGTTATTTGTATTGTAGCGTTTGCTTTATCTTTAACACTTATACTCATCCAATTGTTTACGTAAGAATTGAAAGCTAACCTCATCAATTCACCATGATTCTACTCAATCGAATGCGGCCAGAAAAACTCTTCCACACCTTCTCGATTTCATCATGCTTCCACTTCATGCAAAAACAAAACGTGTCAGGATTCTCGACGTAAACAAACGTCTTCATCACAAGTGGATCATCGGTCCTCGATGATCCACTTTTTAAACGATAGAAGACGCGCTTGGTGCAATACAAGTCGTATACCTTCACCAACACCTCGACCTACACATGCAAGCGTCAGCACATTCGCACATACACAACAGAATATACGCACATACAAGTACCTTGTATCTGCTGCCATTTGATAGTTTCTCCTCAACAGATACTGGGAACATGTTGACGATGGGAATATCAAGACTGAGACCGTCGTAAAAGCCATGCATTTCGCGAGAAAGTGCGAGCCTATTGTTCGGATCATGATCGAACTTGCCATATTGACTCTTGTTGCGATTGCATTGCTTTCTCGAAATCATGTGGCAGCTTTCTGGCTTGCCGTATGGGTAAAACAGCCAGTCCTCTTCAATTCCCATACAACGATACTCTTCACTTGCGAAGTCCAGAACCGAACGGATTGTAGACGACGAAACGGATACCAGTGTAGTCTGCGGAGAATCTGACTCCTGTGAATCATAGTCGAGAAACTGGATATGATGTAGTTCAATATACCCAGCTTCAAATCGTGTAAATTTGCACGTAACAATTTGGCCGGACAATCGAGAGCCAAGCGTATGCGGATCCGAATCCAAGGCATTTTTGAATAGCCATGCATCTTTTTCTGAACAAATGAACGAAAGACAATTAGTAAGCACAAGCAGCACTATTACACAGTGGCAAGATCGTCGCACCTGTCTTGAATAGAACATGAATGCGCAATTTCTTGGCTTCATACCAAAAAGCGACATCCTTGTCTTTTTCTTCTTTCCGGAGCGCCGGATCGTAGTATCCACACCGTGCTGACGCCAGCCGATAAAGATGGTAGCGAATTCCTTTTGTGTCCAGCGCGTTCTCAATAGATCCGCTGACGAGCCACAACCCTATCTTTGGTTGTGCATGCTCCGGAACCCTCACCAGCACGTGAATTTGTTTTCCTTTTGGGTCCTCCATGCCTTCAAGGAAATCGGCAATATAGTCCTGCTGCCCGCAGCTTTTGGTCTTCTTTCATTAACTCTACAACGTGATGATGTCATCTTGCCCTTCTTCTAGCTTTATTACATCGTCCGAGCTCGAGGCCAGCCACTTGCCCTCTACCATCTTGGCAGGGTAGAGCTGCAGGTCATGCGCGCAGGACATTGAATATCTGAATTCTTCGCCTTGATCGCCATCTTTTAAGTCCCCCACCAACTGTCATCCTTGTCAACTATCCACAGGAAATACGCTTTGCTTTCGTACCAACGATTATACATACAGAGCGTGACCATGCCTTTTTTAGTCGGCAGATTGTCGAATGAGCGAAAAGGATGTGGGACATCCTTTCATTCTGATTGGCTGACTACCACAATAACATATTGATGCCCTTCTTCTACGCAAACGACTCAGACGGGTCAGAGTTGTCCTTTCTAATCAACCAACGTCGGACTGAGCCGGTTCACTGCAAGTATGACTACTAAAACCGTTGAAATAGGTCAGATTAATCTCTACTATGTCACTTGCACATAGTTTTATACTCCCTGTAAATCGACCAGCTGAACCCCTCACTCTCTCTCTCCTATGTCTCTTCTGGCTACAATGATGAACGTTGTCATCGCCTTCATGGATGCACCGTTTGTGCTTGTTGCAGTAATCAAGTGTATCCGTTGCCAAAGACGTCCAAGTACTTTTTTTGCTGCTATTGAGATCATCGGCTTACAGAAATTTCAATTGTGCAGATCAAAGTGGATATGATGACGAACGATGCCACTGTAGCTCACACGAGCAGATTAAAAGGTTTGAACCGATATAAATGTTTGTGGCCGCTACAGTCGCTCACGACGCCCCAATTATTTTCATCTTGGCCTTGTACAAGTCCAATGTGGACGTGGTGTGCTAGTACATTTGCTGCAGCATTCCCATCCCAAAGCGAGACTTTTCCTCGAAGCTCAAGCTGATGGCCATCTGTACATTTGATGTGAATATGCCTGGTGATGACGTGATGAATTTCAAGAGTGGCGTCACAGGTGACTCTATTCTGGAGGGTATGCTGCGTGTTGGCGACGAGATTGAAGTGCGCCTGATAGTGTCAGCAAGAACGAAGAAAACAAGATGACTTGCATCCCTATTGTGTCGCTTTGTGTGAACAAGTGCGACCTTCAGATTCGGTATGCGGCTTCGCTCTAATTTATACACGGGAGAAGGTAAATAGGATCTCGTACGCTGATCTTTCTCATTCGCGACCCAATACTCTTCCCAAGCTATATCCACTCGCAGAAGCGTCTGCCAGCTTCTCACTTGAAAGATGCCAATATGGTCTGGGATTTCTTTTCACTCCGTCCTGAGTCACTGCACATGCAAGCGTGGCTTTTTTGGAATCGTGGAATTCTAGCAGGCTACCGATTCATGAACGTCTACAGCAGTAACACGTTTGCTAATGTCAATGCTGAGAGGGATGCCGGTTATAGAATGTAAGGGCGACTGCAACGCTATATAGTTATATCACATGGAGCACATATTCTCGCCCGTGACAGATAGCGTCAATTGTCAAGATAAGTGCTTCAAAGTATAAGTCAAGCTGCACCGCGCATCGATTGTCGACTTCTTGCAACTCGTTCTAAAGAACGAAACTTCAATAAGTCGCCTTCCTCAATTACTGATTTTGAGTTCGTAACGTTGGTTTGCATATGCGAATACCAAACACAGATTATAGATGCCAATCTGTTGGAGTATCTTGACAAGCATCTCCGATCGAAACGAATCACGACACTGGTATAGCACGCCACTTTCTACGGACGATGTAGCTTGCGGAAAGCGTATTCATAAAAAAAATCACAGCTACACTGGGCGTGGACCCCAACAAATGTACAAACGACGTCAAGAATCACAAGAAGACCTAGCACTCCATAGCGAGATGACGGATGACATTAATGTTTGAAACGCGTCATCACGAGCATGTTTCCTCTCCGCCTCCCAATATTCGTACGTTACTTGTGGATTCGGTTGACAAAGTTGCAGATAACGCTGGCGATGGTGCTTTTTCAGACCACACGGACACTTTTGCAGGAAATCTAGGAATCGTCGATGAGGGACCAACACCGTCAAGTTTGAGTGTGGCTCACACTGACAATGCTTGTCAGGAATTTAGACAAAATGATAGTGTTATGAACGAGGTTCCTTCGCAACTTGCTGTTGACGAGCTTGCCGCCTTCAACGTAATCAAAGAAGCAGAAAGTTTGACCAGAGAGATGCTATCAGAGAAAGAAGATGAAAGCGCAAATGAACAAAACTTTCAATTGACAAGCGACAACGCCACGGCAGACGAGCATCCAGTCGAACATATATTACAAAGTGAGGTCGTGCCGCTGAATTCGAACGCATCGATCCAAGAAACGATTGCCTTCATGTCGCCGCAAAGATCGGATGCACCAACAAATATCCCGACAAGGTACGGCTCAACCTCAGTCTTTACTGAAGCGCTCTATTTCCACGTCTGACATAGTTGCTGTGCTTTTGTAATGATAAGGGAAAGCTGTGTTGCAAGCTCTCCATCATATGTCGTGAAGGATACCGACCACAACACCCCTGGTAGTGCGATGAACGCAATGGAATTATCTGCAGAAAGCAGTGAAGAAAACCAAGCAGTGTCTGTTGACCCTGAAGTTCCGCTCGAAAAGGAGTCGCCCGTTCAAGTACCAGTAGTATCTGAATATAGTGTGCAATACGACTGCAGTTTGAACAAAGAGAAGCCCACTGAGTCGACCGTTGATAGTATCGTCAACGATACTATTCGAACTAACAATCATGCCATTGCATCGTTAGAGCGACTGAACGAGGTGGAAGCCAATTACAAGAGTGCGAAGACTTTGCTTTTGATACAGGAAGAAAAATTGCGTCAAGTGAAAAGCAGCAGTAAAAGTTGTCGAAGGATGGAAATTCTTTGCGGCATTGCTTATGATCTACAGTGGCATGTTGCTTCTCCTTCGTGCGGCTTGAACGCATTTCGAAAACAAGAGCTGTTGGGTAAGCTTGGCACCTACCTTGAAGCTATATTGATACGAAAGGAGCAGACACTGCAAGAAAGAGCTGACGCGTTGCAAGCTGGCTTAGAGCATTTTCTAGCTGTGGACATACCTATTGTCGATAACCAAGTTGCCGAAAAGAAGACAGAAGCTGTTAAGCTTAACAGCATTTCGAATAGCAACAATATGCCATTAATCCAGACTGATATGCACGACGACCGACCTGGTGATGGAAATGATAGAGTGTGGGAGGACGATGATTGGTTTGAAGAAGGAGCATTTGATGACCCGGCAAGTGAATCAGATGAGCAAGAAGATGTTGTGGCGCAGATTTCTTCTGAAAAGAGTAACTTGAAACTCGGAGGTGATTTTCTGGCCGTAAAGATGGAAGAAGAGGCGTCGCTTCGGTGGCCTCGCGAGCTACCGCCGTTTTTGTGGTCCCTACTAGAACGAGTAATATCTTCTGATCCACAATCGTACGTTATGAGGGTAACACTTAAGCGATTGCTCGATGAAATCGCAAAGGGGGACCCATACTATTACCTGCACCCGACGAATGCGTCTAAGAATGCGAATGTATCTTCGCCGTTGCACTCGTCGCCCTCGCCAGGCTGTGAATTCGGATGCCGGGGCGCGTCAGCTTTGAAGTGGGAGCGAAAACTCGTGTCACAAATCAGCTCGCGGATGAAGTCCTTTGATAACGTAGCGTATTCGCTAGCCCGTAGTAGCGGAGGCAAAGAAGTCCTTAACCGCAAGAAGATGAACTCGATAATCCGCAAATTGCATCTTGTTGCGATGCAGCTGCACTCACTGGTATCACACCTGTATTGCGTGAAGGGCCACGTGACATGCAAAGAGGTTGATTCACTGCCAGTGGCGCTGAATAATTCCCATTTTGAGCGCAAGATGGGTGTATACAAGTCAAGGCTAAAGCTTGTGGTTCCGCATAAGTATCAGCAGCAGACTCAACAAGAGCAACACAGTTCAAATGAACCTGGCGAAGAGATTTTACGGGACACGTACGAGTTCTTTCCCGAGCTGCTCCTCTGTATTGATATCTGGGGATATAATTATCGAGAAAGCCTAGGAAAGCAGCACAACAACAATTTGATCAGTGGTAAACTTGCTGGCTCGGAAGCAATCTCGGAGACTGCGCTGTTTCCACTCCGTTATTTCCGTAAAGTGGAAAGTCTGGCGTTTGACTTTGAGAATGACAGCAATGATCTGCTTCATTGCGTCTGTGACGAGCTCCTTAACATCGTGTGTTTGTGGAACGATTTTAAGTGGACCGATAATCTTGAGGCTGTGGCATTAGATCGGGTGTTGTCTTTTGAGGCGGATGTGACTGCTAGTATCCTCAAGATTCTTGAGCTTTATGCTCACCACCTGCAGGCATTATGGTCAGTGCGTCTCATGAATGAACCTGACCAGCTTCGATGTATTCAATTCACGGAGTTCAATGCGTATTATAGTGATCGAAGCCAAAGGAGCTTGAATACGACTGCTCGCTCTCAGTCACGAATACCAGGGGTGTCAGAGAATCGTGGGGATGGTCCTATTTGCGACTCGAGAACTGTTGTTCATCATGTGGCAACCGAAGCCCTGGAGCATCGCCTTGCTGAGGAGTATTGGAATCGAAAAGTCACCGCACTTTCTAATCGGAACCCAGGCGATGACGAGATGGAAGTGGGTTCCGACTCCAAACTTCAATTACTGAGTGATGAAGTCATTTGCTCGTGGGACCAACATACTTTGGTATCATATTTGCTACGGTGGAGCGACGTGTATGCTATTCGCACGGAAGTGAACGCGCTCTCAGTTGTTACAAACCATATGATGAAGCACGTGGTCCAGAAGTTTAGGTTCATGGGTCGTGACGACACTAACGTGACTAGTGGCAGTTATGTGAACAAGACGATGGTTGATTCATCGACAAGGCAGCTTCTTGCTGCTGTAGGTCGTGCGCAAATGCTGATCCAGGATGCTGTAATTGGTTCCGAGAAACTTGCGCTACATTCTGCATCAAACCAGCTTCCTAACGAGAAAAAGCAACTGAAGCCGTTAGATTTCGAAGGCAGAACAGGAAATAAAACAAGCTCTTCCAGCAGGGAAGCTGCACCATCTTGCCCAAATTCGACTTGCATAAATGACGCAGGTGCTCACTCGGATGATGCTGTTTCGGAGACCGTTTGTCATGCTGAAGCCATTGCGTCGAAAGATGCAGACAGCTACGACGCTATTGAAGACGTAAACATTGACATTGGTATGACTGGAGAACAACCTGAAGTAAATGATCTGATTCAATTATTGGCTGTCACGAAACAAGACATGCAGGAGCTTTGCGGCCACAGACCGCGGTCAGCTCGCATGCGTGAGAAAGTTCAGATGCAATCACTGCAGCTTGCGCGGCAAACGGTCGAGATTTTCCGGAATATTAGGAACATGTATGGTTCCCAGCGGCGATAATGATGGAAATGTCAACATGGTGCAGTGCCAATATGTATTGAGTCTGCAATCCTCAGGCGAGGTAAACGTTCTGAAGCTGTGATAGTATACTGCAGAATAATGTCTGACTCGTTTCCCGCATCGGATACACGCATTTGCTGGAAACCCAAGACGTCTAGCCTCATGTCACCACAACGTTGTCCGATGCCTGAAAAATCTTATGGCGCTGGACATGATTGAAGATAAGAGGTGACCAGTGAACGTATTGATCAGAGACTTGGATCTTGGTGTCAAAAGTTTGTATACGAGTTGAGTTTGCTCCAAATGATGTCCTGAGAAGCGTGTTTGCTCTTGATTGTTCCAACAAATGGAAAGCCCGCTCATTACAACAATACCACCCGTTTCAATGCTCCGAGAGAATACAACGTGGTTTCTATGGACGAAGTTTAAAAGTCATACAATAAAATGATGCTGTTGCATCTTTTTATTTTTCCGAAAGTGTAAAGATTGCGCAGCTGTGGTTGCACGTTTGTGCTGCTGCATGTAGCTTCTTGGTTGCTATACCGGCTCATGGACGACCCAATGTTTCCAACCTCTTTTGAATTTTGCGTAAATAGATTACTATTGGATACGTTATTTGTATTGTAGCGTTTGCTTTATCTTTAACACTTATACTCATCCAATTGTTTACGTAAGAATTGAAAGCTAACCTCATCAATTCACCATGATTCTACTCAATCGAATGCGGCCAGAAAAACTCTTCCACACCTTCTCGATTTCATCATGCTTCCACTTCATGCAAAAACAAAACGTGTCAGGATTCTCGACGTAAACAAACGTCTTCATCACAAGTGGATCATCGGTCCTCGATGATCCACTTTTTAAACGATAGAAGACGCGCTTGGTGCAATACAAGTCGTATACCTTCACCAACACCTCGACCTACACATGCAAGCGTCAGCACATTCGCACATACACAACAGAATATACGCACATACAAGTACCTTGTATCTGCTGCCATTTGATAGTTTCTCCTCAACAGATACTGGGAACATGTTGACGATGGGAATATCAAGACTGAGACCGTCGTAAAAGCCATGCATTTCGCGAGAAAGTGCGAGCCTATTGTTCGGATCATGATCGAACTTGCCATATTGACTCTTGTTGCGATTGCATTGCTTTCTCGAAATCATGTGGCAGCTTTCTGGCTTGCCGTATGGGTAAAACAGCCAGTCCTCTTCAATTCCCATACAACGATACTCTTCACTTGCGAAGTCCAGAACCGAACGGATTGTAGACGACGAAACGGATACCAGTGTAGTCTGCGGAGAATCTGACTCCTGTGAATCATAGTCGAGAAACTGGATATGATGTAGTTCAATATACCCAGCTTCAAATCGTGTAAATTTGCACGTAACAATTTGGCCGGACAATCGAGAGCCAAGCGTATGCGGATCCGAATCCAAGGCATTTTTGAATAGCCATGCATCTTTTTCTGAACAAATGAACGAAAGACAATTAGTAAGCACAAGCAGCACTATTACACAGTGGCAAGATCGTCGCACCTGTCTTGAATAGAACATGAATGCGCAATTTCTTGGCTTCATACCAAAAAGCGACATCCTTGTCTTTTTCTTCTTTCCGGAGCGCCGGATCGTAGTATCCACACCGTGCTGACGCCAGCCGATAAAGATGGTAGCGAATTCCTTTTGTGTCCAGCGCGTTCTCAATAGATCCGCTGAAGGTTCGGGAAGTGTGGGTCTTGAATCCGTCTCGGATGCAGCGGCTCGGAATGCTTACGGCTTTGGTTCTGGAGAACACGTGGGCTGGAAAGGTGTGTCATATGGTTACCATGGTAATAACGGTGACTTTGCATTCAATGATGGCACCAAGCCGTACGGTGGAGAGTCGAGTGCTTTCGGTCCATCGTGGGGACGAACTACAACTCGATCGGACAATCAAGACAATGATGGATCACCAATGCTGACAGTTGGTTGTGGTCTGGATGCTGACACATTCCAGATTTTCTTCACTTTGAATGGTGAGATGATTGGATCGGCATCGAAGACGGTGCTGCCTGGTGATTACGCTGCTGCCGTATCACTCCACGCTTTTGGCGACGAAGCTGTGATAAATGTTGGATCGGCTCCGTTCCTCTTTGACATCGAGGCTTTCTGTGCAAGTCCTTAGCTCAGACCAACAGGATTGAGTTAAGGGCTTGCACAGAGAAGTTTAGGTATCTCCCGTCGACCTCCATGCCGCCTTCATTCGGCCGCTTCCGTTTTATTTTTTCATTTCATTCAGCTCGCTCTGCATGCAGTGGTGGCAGCTTCACCACCCACTCTCTCGAAAAACTGAGAAATTTTCTGCGTTTCTCGTAAACGATGTTACTCCTAATGTTGATAACTATTGTTCTACTTGCCCCCGTGGCTTTGACCACGCGCTCTAGTGTCCAGGCATCTTCGGTCTTTGTGCGACTTCGTTGAGGTGCGTCTTGATTGCACATGATTCGCCACTTTCGACACCTTGTTCATCTAACTGTATCTGCAATTGAGCCATGTAATTCTCCTGCGTCGAAGCTGGTCGGTCAAGATCTCGTGCTGACGGAGATGGCAACAGTAAAACGAATTGCATGAAAGCTTGCATTGCTGACGATACCTACACGAGCGATACATATCGTCGCTTCTCCAATTTGTGTTGTGATACAGCGTGCTGTCCGATTGATGTCTTCAACGCTTCCACTAAGGCGTCGTCCACAAGTAGCATACACTCGGCTTTTGGGCTCGCACTATCAGCGAACACGACAAAAAGTCATGTCCAAGATACCGTGGAAATGTTGGACATTCGCGGGTGTTTGAGTGAGACGAAAGAAGATTGTAAAGACCTCACGTTCCTGTCAAACTCTTGCCAGCGAAGAGTAGCTGGTCATTGTACAAGACGAAGCGGTTTGCGACGGGAGTTGCTGATAACAAATCGACGCATGTTAGAGCTTACACCACACGCTGAAAGCAAGGCTTTTATGTTTGCTTGACGCTGATCGATGGTGGTGACGAGTTTTCCAATTGTCATCTTGTACCTTTTGCTTTCAATCAAGGAAAGCGAAGAAGTTGTAAGTGGAAACAGCACAGAATGGTCTTGTAATGTGAAGCCTGCATGCAACAAGTTACGTTGATTTGGAATGTGGTACGAAACCTGACAGTAGCATGATCAATTTGACGCTACCTGCATGAGCATTACGACTGATAGGCATGTCAGTGGATGGGGTATTGCACCTGCGGCCTGGCAAACAAGACGTGGCGTTATGCGTAAGTAGTCAACCGACAGACTCTACGGAAGTCACTTTCCATAAGGCAAAGCAGGAGCACATGCTGCTTCAGAATTCAGAAAGGATACACCAAAAGAGTAAACGACATTCTGATTTTGCTCAAACTGAACTATTGCTCTCTCCGACACCCCATACAGCCTTGTCCTCGAGATACATGTTACAACTTCGAAATGCTGCGCGTGCGTTGTCACCAGCAAAGAACTCCCAGGCAGAATAGAACCAAAAGGCGACACACTTGCGGTAGTCGTTGGGCTGAGTAGATTTCTTCATCTGAAGGATACTGCGCCACTCTTCAATTACAAAACTTGAGAGCGTATCCTCAAAACGCGAGAGACGCAGTGGATTCCGTACCGAGTACATGGTTGTCCAGTATTTGTTGTAGCCCTCTTGCTGCTTCAAACCATCCAGGAACCGAGGTGCCCGGAAGTCCTCGATCGAGTAATCCAAGATGAACGCAAACTTGTCGATATACTTGGCCTCCTCCTCGTAAAACTTTTTCCACGTCTACACAAGGTAAATACAGTAAGCTTTTGACTTCCACAATACGCACAACAACAATGTTCCACATACCACCGCAAAAAATTGCAAAGCTTCATCCGGGTCATTCAATTTGGTGCGGTGTATGCTGTGTGCGTGACGCAGCTTAATGGCCTTCTTGCGTTCCCAGTGCCACTCCTCCGTTGGTGGAAAGATCGACATTGGTACCATCACAGACCCATTGCCACAAATTGCAACATAGAACGAGATAACGTCTTCCACGCCAGCCTCATTGTCCATCTGCTTGTTTTCTCCTGTTGTTGGAATTCCATCCTCCTCTTTATCCGAGTGCACATCCGGCTCCGGCTTGACGAAATCTAATCGAGTTACGAAGTACAAGAATTTGGTGGGGAATGGCTTCTGGCCAAAAAACTCGTGAAGTTGATCCCGTAAAGTCGTCATATCTTTCAAGTACAAAGTTTTCACCTCCTCCGTCGTGTAGAATCCATCTAGTCACATACAACATGAACATACAAAAACTCCTTGAATAAAACAAATTTCATCATCATACTTTTATACTTAAAAAGAGAGATTATCGTACAATCTCAAACGTACTGTTATTTGGACATTCCAATAAATGTCTTGCTGTTGTATCAATTGTCGCCGGATAATTAAATCCACCTTATAAAACGTACCACACAAAACACACACAAAAAGGCACAGTAAAACTGTTACAACACATCCACAAACCTAATTACAATAAAATATTATTTTTTACGTACGGACACCTTCAGCTAAAATATCCTTATGTGTCACACGTAATGCGTTCTTGAGCTCGTCATAATTGGTATTATTACTGCAAAATTTATTGTAGCCAACCCAATATTGCGCATACGTCTCATTGAAAACCAAATGACCTCGTTGGATCGTACTGGCACATACAAGACGTGATGGATCCGTGGCTCGCAAACGCTCCACGTTTTTCTTCCAATCACGAATTTGACCTGTTTTCACACCATATTTATGCGCTGTAGCCGCAATAAGTCCCGTACGATCTGCTTCTTCAATAATCTCAAGCTTCTTGCCCACTGTCAATGCCCGATCGGCTTTCCCACGTGCCATTCGTTGGTATAGATTTACCGTAGCTGGTCGAAAAGAGGTCCTTCCGTTTACGGTACTCGTCCGTCCAGTCTTTTTAGCCAATCAAGTTAATGAAGTTAAGAGTTTTAGCCAATTGCACAACAAGGAGAATCGGGTGTGAAGTGGTACACAGTAATTACGTATTTACGTGAATGTTTAAACGATAATATATTCCTGTATTTTTGGGTTCAATATTCCGATGGAGAGACCCGCCGCTAGTACACGACGAGAGATTGCGCCATTGCATGTTCCATGGCTACAACATGAGCATTATCCAGTTACAAAAGTAGTATGTAGTACTGTTGACGGTCTTGTCTCTAGTAGTAAACACTCACTCATTCGAGTCGTCCAGGAATTAAAGGTATTGCCTATTTTGTTAAAACGCTTATTCGTTATTATCCGATTAAACTCGTTTTTATCTGATACAAATGATCATATGTCATAATGATGTTGCAGCGAGGTCGTGCGAATGTGGACAAACAATTGTCTCAATTGGACACACAATTATTGGTCCTTTCGGATTATTTGGATGGTAAAACGTCTACGATGTTTCCACCTCATTTGATTATGTATGTAGAGGACACTCTGGATATTGCAATGCCACTTGCAACTGATGGACGAAGACTTCGAGGTACTGGCAAAAATACTGCAGTTATACAGCATTTCAGTGACATTTTTAAGAAAGAAGTCGAACCTCCGACACCTGCGATGGTGGAAGATGATCTTAATTCGGGTATATGATGGCAATGGAATGATCGATAATATTGTGGGTGGTTCAAGTATTAATGTGATTTTCTTATGTATTGAAATGCAGACTCACCATGCACAACAACTGGATTGTGGAAATATCTGTATGCGTACTCGTTCTTCAAAACGATTACACTGGATGACATGGAACAAGCATTACTGCTTGACGGTAGGAACACATTATATTGTAGACTTTATTGTAGTGTGTTTGTCGATTGAGCTAATGTCTATGATGGTCTTTATAGACCCGAGCATTTGTTGTGAAGATTTAAAATCAATACGTGGAGGTGAAAAAGGCAAAATTTTGGCAGGTCGAGACTTTCAGGAATTGCAGGACAATTTCAGCTTGAGCAGGTTTACTCCGCATGATCTCGACGATTTTTGCATGGAGGTTTGTTGTTTTAGGCGACTTATATGGTGGATTGTTATCTCTTTATGAAGGGTGTAATCGTGTGTTGTGTTGTACTCTTGTTATTTGAAGAGACTTGTAGCTTCGCTATGTGCAGTAAATACATCCGCGTTGATGAAAGCGGGGGACGACGTAACACACTCTCAACCCGATGATGAGGACAAACACGCAAATGTTACAACAGAAATCATAACTGATACGGAAACGAGCCGTCCTTTGCACTCCATTGATGAGAGATCATGGAATTCTAAGGGTCTTACATGGGTCCTCCGCCATATCGGATTGCTTGAGGGAAACGATAAGGACATTGCTCGAGCCGGTTTGTCCAGTCCGATAGATGATGAGGTATCACAGGAGATCCGCTCATTGCAGTGTCAACTTGAGACGTGCGTAAGAGAGACGAACGAAACAAAGCGAAAGCTACGGAGAATTATGGCTGAGTAAGGTTGACATTCGTGCGTGGGATAAAGTGCAATACTGACGTTGATATGCTGCATTGTGCAGGACAAAGCCATGGTTGTCTGAGGAAAAGGGGGAGGAGGAGGCCACCTTAGAGAAGTACTTTACGATGTGGCAAACGAAAAAGGTAAGTTTGCTGGGGTACTGAGTCGTTGATCAAGCAACGCTTACATTTTTTGGTATTGTTGGTTTACTAGGAGCTTGCACGGAAAAAGAAATTACGGGAGAAGAAGCGGCAGCGAAGACAAGGTGTGAATCCAAATTTCCAATTGCAGGTAACATTGGCACACAGTGAAAATGAAAGTAACCTTTGTGTTCTGATGAATGCAGCTTTACACCTCAGTGGTGGCGGCGGCAGTGGCAAACCTCTCGCCGTCGATGACATTAGCATCAAGCAACGATAGAGACCCTGGTGTTGTGCAAATTTGACCCAGACCCAAACAGGATGTAGGGAAGTAAGACGCACACCGTTATTTATTGGCATGCACTAACAGGTTGGACTCAACCTGTATACAGCAGTATTCGCTGCACAACGACATATTGGATTGAAGATGACTTTATTATGATCGATATAGTTTGTGTTACTTGCCAAGCGGAGGGAAATCGTCTTCGATGAACCCGCTGCTGCCCACTGCGCTTGTGCTGACATGGGGCGGTATCCAGTTTCCCTGCCTTGCAAACGGGCGGCCTTGGGGTGAAGGGTACCCGTACCCACCGCGGTCCATTCCCATGGACGGTGGTGGGATCAGCTGATGTTGCTGGAATTGCTGTTGCGCATGGTATTGCTGGTGCGGGGACCTCTGGAAAAGGTTGGTATCTACTCTATTGTTGTAGTCGGGTTCGCCAACGTGATGTCGGCCGCGTCCCGGCGAGACCATGGACATGGGCAGCGGAGGAGGGTGTGGGAGCGGTGCACCGCCCATCTGTTGCTGCTGTAAGCCAAAGGACCGATTATAGGATCTGTCGTGGAAGTCAGCGTGTCCAAATCGCATGCCACTACCAAAGCGGTTGCCATGGTATGGCGACTCACCTCCACTGCCACATCCACTAGATATCCCACAACTAGAACGAGGACGGAACGCATCGTGGTTGCGAGTGAAGTCCGGGTCATTCATTTCTTGCTCGCGATTCCGCCATAATACTTTACTTTCTTTCCAGCTTGCTGCATTCGGTGCACTCGGTTGAGAAGCTCGAAAGAATTCATTACTTTCGTTAGCGCTTAGGCGTTCCTTCGGCACGCGAGGATCTTGTATCTGAGATCCACTATTTCCACACGAAAAGGCACCTCCTCGACCAAAACCTTTGCTATCGTCCGGTCCATTTGCTTGTCGACTTTCATGTCTGGGACCGTTATTAATTTCAGTACTGACGACACTTTCAGTGCCTTCATGCATCGACGAAGGATTCAAACACAGAGATGACGATGATCCTGTCTCTGCCGTATTACCGTTATCTTCACCAAAGATTCTTGCTCGTGCTTCAGCATAAGCTCGTTCTCGATCTTGTAAAGAAGGTGTGGCTTTGTCGCCACCGTTACCACGACCACCATTAGCCCCGGGCCTTGATGCACTTCGTCTTCGCATCATAATCCTTGGAGCAGATGCCGGCGTCACTGTCGGTGTCTGCCGATCCGGTGACAGATCAATGAGTAAAATACGAGGTATCGCCGACTGCGTTGTCTTGAACAGTGTCACGACTCGAGCCGAGCTATTCTCGAACGGGTTATAGTCAGCCGTCTGGTGTTCTAGTCCACAACGCTGAGCAAGTCGATGAATAATGAGTCGATGATATGACGACAAGGGGGGAAATTCAAATGAGGTTCTTTGGAATTCTTCAAAAACCGAACAATTTGATCTTCAAATTTGAGCAACGTCATTCTCTCACGAGCATTTTCTAGTCCTGCTACGAGGACGGGATCCAAAGGTCCATGAGCACTGGCAGTTGCTGTTCCAAGAGGTGAACAACCATTACATTGCTGCAAATAATTGCCACCATTGTCAGAAAGTGAAGGCGGGGAGTGTAGAATCGGAAGATCTTGTAACGCACGCGCTGTGTCGTCCACGTCGTTAGAAACTTGTAAAGAGATTGGATTGTCAGTAGAAGCAGCAGTAGCAGCAGCGCTTTCCCATTCGTTGTGATTGTCACGAGATGGAGACGTACGGATCATTGGATGGAAGAGTACACACACACGAGGACAAAGAGGTTTCGACTTGGTCACTTAATATATGGGATTCGAAGCAAGAGGAATTTCTAGCAATAGCCAAGAGGTAAAATAGTCTTTCGATCGGGTTCCAGAGGGGGGAAAATGAGCTCCGGGTTGGTGGACTTGAAAAACACTCATGAAAAGCATGTGATATGCGCTTCAAAAGGAAGTAAACGCTTTTTCAGTTGATACCTATTTTTTTAAGTACTTCACTGGCACATTTGCTAATAAATTACTCAGTGGTGTCTATTTTTTGCTTTGAATTAAAGTCTATCGAGATAGTTAATCACTGTCGAAATTTAGGCAAGTTTGAAACAGGACTCTATCACTTTCAGTTCGACGTCCTGCACGTCTCTACTATTGAAAGATATAGTGTCACCTGATCAAACGCTGTCATACATTGAGCATCAATGTATTACAAGCGTCAGCACATGACAACTTTGACCGGCCAATACAAACTAGTGGCTCGATTTGATGCCCCGGCTACACCGTCTTTTGTAAACAAGCCTGGTTATACCACACTCGTATAGAAATCCTACTCTAGTTTTCAGATGAGGTATCAGTCGTAACTTCGTCGAAATCAACCATTAGTATTACGCCCATGTAGTTGTTTTATTCCTTGCAGTACTCATCGATAGGTTAGCTCATGTTAATTAGCATTACAACCTTCCAAAAAGCATGCAGAATCTTAAGAAGAACAGAAAACACCACCGAATCTCATAAAGCACATGTTGGCGTTAGCATAACATCTGTTTTAGTTACATAGACGTATCTGTGATATATATGATTTTTTTGTAGATATTATATCTCTTACAAAAATAACGTCAGCCAAGCAATTGTCATTGCTGCTAATTGAGTCAAGTAGTGCGTAGGCAGTTAGGCAAAATTATATTATTACTACAAATATTACATCATGTTTCAAATGATAGCCGATGCAATTCGATGCCCCGTTTGGTGGTGTTGCAAAGCCAGGTCAGTGAATACAATGGGGTGGTCCAAGATTTCCCTATTCACTCCCAGATGGGCGTGCATACGCAGGGCGCTGTAGCCAGGCGGATAATACTCAGAAAAAGTTATAGTCTGTTAACAAGCAGCGATGGAGGAAGACTGCTATCAAGAGGCTACAGATTATATGATCGTTTTCACGCTAAAGGAGATCCAATAAATATACCACTAAATGAAGATGTTTTCGTAGTTTGGTGGATCTTTTGTGCAGATAGAGCCACTGACTGATTCGTGCTTATATAATATATATACCTCGGAGATTTATGATGTCCGCTGTTAACGTAGCGCCTGTTCGTGTCAAAAGAGGGATATGATTCCAGCCTGCTACCGACACGTTTGCAGCATTGAAATTGGAATCACCGTCGAGTTGGTTTCCATCACAGCGATCCATGCTGTGTTTTCGTTCCTATAGCTTTTAAAATTGACATATTTCTCGTGTATGATCGTAACGATAAAGCTTTAATCGAAACACCCTCTTCTAGGACTCCAGCCGGTGTAACATGTCACCATAAACTCAGAAATTACTCTAGCAACTACTCGCGACTTTGCTTTATTCTCCATTTCATTCTCCAAGAGCTTCTTCTTTACTCGGTTCCAAATGCACTTTTGTTCCCACCTTTTGATTGCTGTAAAACCAGGCCGTTCTCATCAGACGTGGCGTGCGAGTGAACTCTTAAGTATTCATCATCTTCCTAACGCATCCCCCACCTTTGCATTTTGCTATTGCACGCGACCAGAAGACAAGAACAAGAAGAAAAACAAGAAAAAGAACAAGAAGAAGAAGAAGAAGAAGACCCTTTACAAAATGCTTGCGTCGCTATCCGACATGCTCGTGTGGAAGTCCAGTCCTTCTACCACCATCACCAAGAAAACTAATGAGAGACGTGCCCCCACTACCACGTCCGAGGGTGATTCAAGTGACGACGTGTCAGAGACCGAGAGCGTCGAGTCGAGCCAATGTGGTGCCCCTTATCAACAGCATTCAGGAGAACGTAAAGCTCGTAACGACACACAGCCGACGATCGAGAGGGACACTGAGTCTAGTCACTTACTACTGAGTGACATTTACTCGTTCGCTTGTACGACATCTTCCAAGCTTTTTCTAGTCAAAAAGTCTCGACCGACGCCTTTAACTCCTCAAACTCCTCCACTGACACCCACAAAGCCTCACTTTTGTAGTGTGAACAATATCTCACTAGGGGAATTGTCCATCAAGACAGCAGGAACACGCGTTTCGACGTCTTTTGGACTTGGCAAGATCATTGCAATTCGAGATGAAGACGGTGTTGCTGCTATTGAACTACAGGCTTTAGGATTGTTGTATCTTAGTGCTGGAGAGATGAAGAAGGTGCATGTGGTCCCTGCACTTGTTGGCGAGCAAGTGCACACGCCGTCGGGAGCGGGGTGTGTACTGAAATATGATGAGCGGAAGCAGCTGTATACGCTACGATTAGGATCAGGTGGTGGTCTCTGTGAGTATGAGCTTCAATTACGACCATCGGATGTCCAAGTCGCAGACGGTAGTAAATCTGAACGTGCATCGGAGGCACGACACTCGTGTGGCATTTCGGAAGGCAGCAATGTGGACCGGGAGTCGAGACGGTCGTCTGGGAGACTCTCTATTGCTAGCTCTGCCAATGGATTGACGATGCTGAAGAATATTGCTGCAACCTCGTACACGTTCGTCGCGAGTAAATACCATCAGGGACAGCCCGTGATCACCAAGTTTGGTGCTGGACATATTGTTTCAGTGGACCCACAACGCGGTTTGGCTCAGATTCAGCTCGTATGCGGAGCGACTGCGTATGTTACTGCCGACGTGATTGAGTTTTACCCCAAGGCTTTGGAGGGTACCGATGTGCAGACCAAGTTTGGTTCTGGAATTGTCATTGGACTGCGGCCAGCTGATGCTATTTACACGGTACGGTTGCACGATCTGCAACCTGCAGGAAAGTCGAACGTGGTATTTGTGCATGAGTCTGACCTACACCGGAGCCGGCGGATCGCAGTCACAGCTGCCAATGTTCGGGATAAACTAAAAGCAATGGCACACCGCCGTTTTGGTGAACGCATCGTGGTGGCACATCGGAGCCACGATGAAGAGCCGAACTCCGCTGGTATTTAAGTCCACTCAGCTTTCAGTGGTGAAAGGGAGAGAATTGTTTTGATGACACGGGAGGACGCTTCGAGCTCCATTTCTTCCTCCAGCTCCAGCCATTAGTGTGTTATTGTGAGTATTTTTATCGGCCAGGTGTCCCGCAGACACTATCATCCCCCACGCACCTATTCGACCAAGTTATGTAGCTGTGCCGGTGCCGCCAACACCATCCCAGATATCGTGCTGTTGCGCCAACCAGCCAAAACATTCGACAGCAACTATATAACTGACCACCGACACCTGGCGATGCCAAGACATGCCGTATCGTTTCGAAGGGAGTAGGTAGACAAGCAAGACAAAAAGACTGTGTGCGCTTGCATTTTTGATGTTGAGTTTCTTTCCAGGCAGTCAGGTGGTGCCTTCTTGCTGAAAAACGTCTCTTGTAGCGAGTTTGCGCTGTTAGTTGGCCCAAGAAGTGTCGTGTGCATGCAATTCTTGCTCTTTTTCCGTGACGTTTTCGTCACGATAGACTGAAATTGAAAAAGGTTCCCACGTGTTCACGAATGACTTCCTTCACGTTCTTGAGAATAACAAGACGAAGCTACCAACCCGCTGGTAAATTTTCGGTAAAGCAAATGTTTCACATACAAAATGGTGAAGGATGTACGTGACTGATAAAACTCGTATGAGCCCGAAACAGTGTCTCACTCACTCATAACTGCATCTTCGATCGAGGTTTGTACCATTTAGGGTGGCAAACATTTTCTCCCCCCCCAGCTGTAGACACCACCCCAAAGGAAGGAAATTTTTTTTTTTTTTTCCCTCCCCTTTTCCAATTTGTGGTTTTAATAATGTTCCTTTTTTTTTTTTTTTTTCACCCCACCCTCCCCGTCCCCCCCACACCCACTCCTTTTTTTTCTTTTTCCCTTGGCAACTCCTTCCTTTCTTTTTTTTTTTTTTTTTTTTTTTCCATTTCCCTCCCCCCACCCCCTTTTTTTTTTTTTTTGTTTTGTTTTCTGTTTTTCTTTTTTTTTTTTTTTTGGTTTTTTTTTTTTAATCTCAAAACTACCATTTTTTTATTTTTTTCCTTTTTTTTTTTTTTTTTTTTTTTTATATATATTTTTTTTGGAGGAGAATTTTTTTTTTGTTTGGTTTTTTTAAAATTTTTCAAATATTTTTAATTTTTTTTCTCTTTTTTTCCTTTTTTTTTTTATTTTATTTTTTTTTTTTTTTTTTTTTTTTACGAAGAACAGAGTGCTCGTAAAATAAGCGTACCAACCTCATGTGTACTTGACGCCTCCCATGAACGTCCTCGGATTTGGTGCAGCACCACTAAACTCGGCGTTCGAAAAATCAAAACCCGGATTTTCCTCCTGGAAACGTTCCAACATCATTTGCTGCTTCGTGGCTTCCTGCTGCATCGGATCCAACTGCACCAACAACACTCTCATTTAGCAACACTCATTTCTTTCATTCGACGGTATCGATAAGACCCAACCTCTCCGTGTCCAACGAAGACGCTCGGCCAGATAAACCCCTTTTTCATTTTCTGCAGATTGATATTCAATTCCCCCGAGTCTACAATAAAAGTTAATTTAGTTATACATAAGAAAACCATTTTATTTAATCTTTTTCAGATAAAAAAATATATTATCTACTTCATATAATAAATAACTTACCAAGCATCCAATAGCTCTCCCCAACGACCACAGAACTCGAAAGGTCGTGCTGAGAATATAATATATTCGGGTCAGATTGACACTAAATGAGCAATTTTTATTGTAAAAATGCACGTACATTGAGGAATTTGTCCGGAACGCCTCGGAGTCCCAATGTTACGTGATTGGTGCAAATATCGCATTGAATTTGTTGCGCTGTGACACCAAGTGGCGGTTTAATAAAGATATTTATTTCCTCGAGCGATTGTTCCCATTCGTATACGACACGACCTGAAATATGCAGCAGATAATTAATTGAAAAATACGAGAATTTGTATTTGCAAACATGCGAATGAGGTTTCTTCCATACCGTCGTGCTTAAATTCGCGGCGCTGGTTTGCTTTCGCCATAGACTCCAATTAAGTATTTTTAAAAAATATTAGATACATTAAATATTACGGAAAATAAAAATTACCACAAGGTGAAATAGAATAAAAAAATACTACCACTTGAGCAAAAGAAGGGTTAATTTACCTAATGAATCATCATAAGATATATAAATTTATTGATATGGTGATATTGATATATACTTAAGAAAAAAACTATGAAATATAAAATACGTTAAGAGAATATAAAGCGTATACTATACGTATAGCATGACAGAAGCAGCTATCTTGAAACGTTGTTTGCACGACCGTCTCTCTCTCTCTCTCTCTCTCTCTCTCTCTCTCTCTCTCTCTCTCTCTCTCTCTCTCTCTCTCTCTAGCTCACGTTACCACGACCACATGTACCCTCTGGACACTTGTATTCGTCTGGAAGCAGTGAGCGCTGCAAGGCGTTAAAAGCGTACTGACGCTTGCCAGTGTTCTTGAATGCGTTTTCCAAACGAACGCCATTGCTGCGCATGGTTGATACTGTACGTACTGCAAATTCCTCGGGCAAACCGTGGTTCTCACTCAGTAACTGAACTTGCTCGAGTGTCACCGACATGCCCGTGCGATCCTTTGCACTCTTGCACGATGTCACACGTCCAGCGCCCAGCAGTCGACATAAATGAGAGCTTTTCTGAATGATCTTGGGGTGCTTCGATTTCACTACTTGTCGCTTGCTAGCAGTGGCGATATGTTCCTCTAGCGATTTCAGGAGAGGCTCAATTGTCGACATGGACGTCGGCACTGCATCTGGCTGTAAGATGACAATCACAATACAATAAGTTACTACATACATGGACCTCTATCTGTAGAGGTTCTTGAAAACTCTGAAGCCATACGTACCCTTTCCATAGCAAGCCGCTTGTACTTTTCAACGTAACTCGTTAACAAGCAAAAGCTTTTGCGATTGATGATGTCTTGCAAAGTCGTCTTCTTGCTGCTTGCGCTGTTTGCCAACGTCTGCATTTCGTTAATGCCCTGTGTGAAAAGTACCGGCGTAACAGAAATGGAGCCTCCCGATCGAATGGTAGACGGAATGGAAGCGCACACGTCTTTAAAGCAACGTACACCGACTGCAACGATGAATGTTCCCTTGACAGACCCCTTACTCAACCGTAAAGACACGACGCTGGGCAGCGTCGTGTTCTTCATGTGCAAATTTAGCAGTGTTGATGGCAAGTGCGACGGCGGCGACGTGTCGAGTACAAACGTGACATGTTTCAGTGCATCAACCGCTGCAGAAAAGTCCTCCAACATTCCAATTTCCTTCCCGTGTGTCGATAACAATGATTCCACTTGGAACAGGAATCCAATCGAGTCGATGGTGTGCAAGAAAGAGCGGTCCGTTGGGTGCTGCAATGAGTACTCCAGCTGACGGCAGAAGGACGTAACTAGAGTCGTCAATGCTTGTGAAAAGCACATATCGAACCGCTTCGTGAGATGCCATCGCGTCTCATCGGTAGAACGTATGTCTGCATTACTCCAGTCCACCACATCGATACCGCTAGAATCCGACACGTTGCTCTGTACGCGCAGCAGTGACCGCTTCTGCAACATCGCTCGTAAACTTAGAATGCTTCCACCATGACGGAACTTGAAGCAATGTGCAGCAAATGCACCCACCGTTACGGTTGGATATACCCGAACGCTACCTGACGTCCGTCTTGATCGCTGAGAGCGCAATTCGGCTGTCGGGCCGACCCACATGTCTTGCACGTGCAGATTAATAGGCAGAAACCGGAGAACCGAACTCTTTTTTTCCGTGCTAGCCTTAAAGTTGAGCCCCTCTTCCGCACGATCGATACACAGCTCGAGACTCTCACGCAGTGCGTCAACATACATCTTGCGCTGCTGCACGCGGTCGTTCAGCCACGTTTGAACCACCGTCCGGTCGTTCTCACCTTGGATCTGCTCGATCAAGTTATCGTAGAGATTACCAACGAGTCCTCTCTTCACTCTTGCCTCAAAGTCTGCCGCTTCAGCTTGTGCACGCGCTAGATCATCCGTACGCTCGGAGACAAGCAGTTCCAGGTACTGTCGAGGCAGTTCGTTCGTAAGAGGACTTTCGATCATGTCTTCAATCACCATTTCATCTCCTTCGGCAAACTGAAAACTCTTAGTGATGTAGAACCCGGAATTCTCTTTCAGTTGTCGTGTGGACACAGTCATTGACTTTACTCGCAAACGAGGAGCAGAGAGGTCCGCTTCAGTGGTGGCAGCTTCAGCCGTAGCTGCAGTATTTTGGGAATCTATACTCTTTCCATCACCCAAAAATGTCGGATTAGCTGATCGAGGGCGGTGCGAAACCTGTCGGGACACCAAGTTCACCTCGTCTCCTGCGAGCATGTCATCACACGCACAAGAAAATTCACAGAAAACCTTGGGTCGAGAGGGTGGTGCCAAACCCATACCGGATACGCGAGCGACTGGAGCACGCTCATCAAGCTGTAGGGAAGATGAACGCACCAATGGACGAGGCTCGCTTATATCGTCATCAGATGCTGGTGATGAAACCTTCTCCGAGATCTCGTATACTACAAAACGAAGGAGCGGGTTAGCGGGCATGATAGGAATCTGAAGTACCGACAAGAAAGTTGCAATTTGCGTCACAGTGCCGCCGCCGTTCTCAGAGTTGCCAGTCACCAGCGTTGGTAAAACTGTTTCGGTAAAGCCCACACGAGACCACCTCGCTACCGGATTAGAAACAGGCAGAGGTGTGGGTAATGCCCCAGGGCCAAGCATCGAATGCGAATTACTACGACGATGAAGGATTCCTTCTTGGTGTAATCCACTTTCGATGAACGTACTGATTGAAGAACGATTGTATTTCAACATTGAAAGATCTTCGTAGCAATCGTCCCCAATAACGTCGTTTTCGTCGGCATCAGGAGTACTATTCTCAGCAACGTACAGCTCAACATAGCATGCATGCGTAAGAGGAATAGGCGAAACGAGCTGAAGTGCTAGTGCCAACACATTCTGCGTCCCATCCACATTTTCCTGGCCAATTGGGATGTACTCTGTGTCAGGAAAACGTAAAATACCAGCCCAGCCATCACTTAGCCCTGTGCCATTTGCTGCGATGCCGAGATTGCCATTTTCAGCCTTATCAGAAATACTTGACATCGTATCGCCCAGCAGCTGTGGGTTCTTAAAGTGCAACGATGGGTTCCAGTTCATCCCATGTAGCCTAGGATTCCACTGCAGAAGCAAAAAACCGATTGGGGGTACCAACGTCGGAAGCCATATGCAGAAAACATACCAAACGACAGAGTTGATACTCCAGTTTTTCCAGTCCAAAATGGAGTTCATGATGCAAGACGTTCCAAGCACAAGCGCGATCGAGAGGATTACCACCAAGTAGGTAACCAACGACTTCTTCATCACCTTCACAACGTGATCACCAAATATATCACCAGATTGATCGATCAGCCGTATCCCGCGTTGAATCACGAACGCGCCGAGCGCAAGAAGCACCACTGAGGCAAGGAAGATAAAAAGCTCAGCACTCCGTTGGAGAAAGAAGAACCAGTCTGAGTAGGCAACATCTTTGCACACGTTGTCCACCGCATATTTCCACTGTCTAGGTTGTAAATCGGGGCAGTAATCGTTCGAACACAGCCGCATGTTGTACAAAGGGTTCTTGAGATAATCGTCGTACGTGCACTTGTAGAAATCTGTAAGGCTCACGACACCGAAAAACTGGATACAGTAAAACGCCACATTGATGATCACGTAGATGGTGAACACACATAAGCGCCCAGACGGTCCCACGTCGTGGAATAGCACTGTACCCCAGTGAAAGCACACCGAAGTCATCATCGTCCACGTGAAACAGACAGAAATCGAGTATAACAAGTAGTAGATGTCAGTTCCGGGGGCCGAAGACGAGTTTGATACGCGAATCCAAATTGCGTTGCCCATGATACACATAACGAAAATCATCATCACGGACAGCGACGTCATGTCGTTGTAGAATGTCGCTTTTGAGAACGAAATACCATTCTGCCAACAAGTGCGATATTAGCTACCAGAATTACAATGCGTAATAACACGAGATGAATTTACCATTCGTGTAATGAGGACAGCGCCAGCCAGAGCGACAGCAAAGAAAGTGATTGAAATCACGCTGTACACACTTAGAGTGTACTTCGAGTCTATGCAACACATCTCAGTACGGGGTGAGTCCATTGTCCGTGTACAAAAGAGATAATGAATGAAATACGTACATGTCTTTGCGATCACCAACGTTTGTGCGCAATCGCTTCCCAGTACAGTGTTATTGTCCATCAAAATAACCTCGCCGAGCGGAGGTAGACGAAAGCCACTTGTGTCACTACCATTCTGGCCCGAGCCACCAGCCCAGATAACATTCGTTACCTGAATCTGAAATGTAAACGCCTTTTTTATCTCCCAAGAATCGTTTGTATTTACCCCTGAAGGAAGAAGGTCTGTCACGCAAAAGTACGTAGTGTTGTCGCTCTGAATGTTCAGGTTTGTATTGCCTGGACCAGCGTATAGATGGAGAAACGGATTTCCAGCTTGAACGTACGAAACCGTTGTAGATGATCCGAAAAGCACAGTTGAAGTAGGCTCAATTCCTTTACTTGCGCAATATGAGGAGCGCAAATCAACACAAACTTTCGGGTTCTCCGAGTTGGGGCCAACGATAGTGGACGTTGAAAATGACAGCATCATAACTCCGGTGTCCTCGTCCATCCACAACAGTGATGAATCCAGTCGACCTCTTCGGACAGAGGGCAACGACATCGTGGCGAGAGTAAGAGCGTTCAAATCTTGAGCCAATGAAGCTGAGTCAGAAGAAGTCACCGTTAACTTGCGCGTCCGCCGAGAAGTGCCAGCAGATTTCAGTGTTCCAGACGAAGTCTCATAGGATAGCGACACACTTACACCCACAGAGCTACTAAAAGCGCTAGCACATTCACCTGTGACGATACTTCTCAACAATACAAATGTCATCGGGCCTCTAGAACTCGATGTCATTAAATCCTCGCGGCCTTCAAGTAACTTCATGACATTGATAAAGCCGTACCGGTGGACATCACTGTCACAGTTCTTCTTGTTCGTAACGCTTGAACAGCTATACACTCTCACGGCGGAATGATGTGCACTGTGGTCGTGTCGTAGTGTTACTTCGACTGCAGCATTTTCCCATGCAACGAATCTCCAACCACTAGGAAGTGAAATAGTGATCCACCAATTGCTTTTGCGAGCCATTGGGTTTTCCTCTCCTAAGTTGTTGAACGCCCCAACGATATCGCCAGCCAAAATCGTAAATCTTGCTTCTACAACACTAAATGGAGTGACATGTGATGTCGACACCTTGTAGGAATTTGTCGACACGCATGTCTTGTACCCTAATGGACACGAACCATCGGGAAGCTTGCTTTCACACGTAGATCGGCTGAATTCGCCAGGATACTCGTTCTGACACTCTGATGCCTTACATCGACAATAGGTAGAAGTATACGGTACGTACCCCCCACTGTCATTCCACTGCAACAAGAAAACACACACACAAAAGTTAGCATAGGTAACTCCGCAGCACTCAAAGTGCATTAAAGATGGATTATAAGGTTGCAACGAACCCAGCTTGCGTTTCCAGCCTTCAGCTCGCTTGAAGAGCTGTTGTTGTCTGAGAATGAGGCAACCTTGATGACCTTGCTCGGCACGACGTGAGATCCCAACTCAACCGAATTCGCCAGAGATAATGTTTCCATGGGCACCACCGATTCTCCAGTAGAAACAATCGAGGTGTTTAGCTCTGCAGTAGCATCCGACCCATTTGAGCTTGAAAGAGGCGTTATATCAACAAGAATAGAGCCTTCTTCTGTATATCTCAATAGTGGAGCCTTCCCAACAGATACGCTCTCATCAGTAGAGCCGACACCAATATTTACACCACCAGATTCCTCCGTCACATCCACATTTGAATCGCTCATGGTAACTCGGACACCAGTATCGATACTTGAAATACTGTCAGAAGTCTGGACATCATCATCTCCTTTTAAAGCAACTCCAACGTGAAGATTCTGAGAATCAACTGACGTATCAATCTCATAAGAATTGGCAGGGAGCTGGATACCGCTTGAATCCACAGATGGGTCAATACTGAGTGGATTTGCAGCAACGTGGGCACAGCCAGCTCCAATACACGCGTTTAATTGTCCAGTACTCGTGTTAATTTGAACTCCATTTGAATCAACACTAGCACCATCAAGCTCGGAACCAATTGATACGTTCACCTCACTTGATCCAGACCTTCTAATGTCCAGTCCGTCTTTTTGATCAAACGAATTTCGTCCATCTTGTCTTTTCTCTTGTCTCTCTATTCTCGTCACATACGAAAGCCCCTTCGTTTTTTTTACATGTTTGTCCACATCTGCAATTCCTGGAAGTGGGTTTAAACTCTCTTTTGTATCTAATTGTGAAAAAAAACACATGTAAACAAACAAAACAGTTCAAAAAAACGGATAAAAAACGGAGCCCATTTCCAAAAAAAACGGCACAGTATGTAATACCAGAGGCTTGAACCGGTACAGATGAGGTCGAGACGACCAGCAGGAGCAACGCTACGGTAGACTTGTACCGCACAAGTCGACACTGACACAAGCAAGGAGATATACAGGCACATTAAGGATACAAATAGTGTCTAGAGAAGGCGTATTTTTCGTACCCTCATGGCGAGAGTGTCAGGTCAGGTCGTGTTTGATTGGGAAATTCTGTAGGAAAGTGCGGGGTGGGTGTAAAATACGAGGTGACGAGGTGTATTTTACATGTTAAATTGGAACGTAGTAACGAAGCCTTGTGTTAAGAAAGGGAGATGTACCGAAGGTTTTAGCCTACCGTCTCGTGTGCACCACACAAATACTATTGGCCAGCCATTTCTCGGTTCAGCGACAATGGCACCCCAGGACGAGCATGAAGACGTGGAAAAGATCGTACGTGAAGCTCCAAAGCGTCTGGGTCGAAAAGCTCTGAAGCTCAAGAAGGAAAAGATTGAACATGTTGGCAAATACACACGAAATGGTGCCATCTCACAGCATCGCATTCGAAATATCCGTGACAAGAAGCTCCGAGGCTCGTTACAACGCGCCCATGAGAAGAACAAATTAGCAGCTGAAGCTGCTGCCAAGTCGGAGATTTTGTTGCCTGATCAAGTTGGTTTTTTGGAAGCTGAAGGTCTTGAAAAGACGTATAAATTCACACAGAAACAGCTCGCAGACAATGTGGATCTCAATACGGCACGTAAAATTTTTAGCTTGGACTTGCCAGAATATGGCTCGTATCGTGTGAAATACACACGCAATGGACGTAATATGCTGCTTAGTAGTCAGAAGGGTCACTTGGCACAAATGGATGCGCTACGCATGAAACTCACGTGTGAATTCCAGGCGAATGACTTGGTGCGTGACATCAGTTTCTTGCACAATGATTCACTCTTTGCTGCGGCTCAGAAGAAACACGTGTACATTTATGACAATACTGGTGCTGAAGCACATTGTATTCGTACCATTCCGGAGCCTCGGAAGATGGAATTCCTGCCCTACCACTTTTTGCTTTCGACTGTGAGTGGCAATGGATTGCTGAGTTACCATGACGTGACGGAAGGAAAAAAGGTATCGACGCATCGCACGAAGCAAGGGCTGTGTGACACAATGGCATTGAACCCCTGGAATGCCGTTGTGAATCTTGGTCACGCAAGCGGAATTGTAACGTTATGGACGCCAAACATGTCGGACGCTGTCGTCAAGATGCAGTGTCATCAGGGACCGAGTACGTTATGGGAGTATGTCGTTGCTATGTGTGGATGTTTATTTCGCTTACAGTTATGTTGTGTTCATTTGTATTTATAGTTCGATCTATGGGTATCGACAGCAGCGGAAAGTATCTTGTCACCGCTGGTGCTGATAGAAAAGTGAAGGTGTTCGACCTACGTAAATACCAAGAGCTAAACAGCTACTACCTGACGGCGGCAGCTAACACTATGAGCGTGAGTCAACGCGGACTTGTGGCAGTAGGCTTTGGTCCGAACGTGCACGTGCTCAAGGGTGCTTTCTTGTCGAGCTCTCCCATCAAACCATACATGACATACCAGATTCCAGGCTCAATGATCAGCTCAGTTGCATTCCGTCCGTTTGAAGATGTGCTTGGTGTTGGTCATGCCAAGGGCTTTAACTCGGTGGTGATTCCTGGCGCCGGTGAGCCTAACTTCGATACATATGAGGCGAACCCGTACGAAAACCACAAGCAGCGTGATGAGTCCGAGGTACGCTCGCTTTTGGAAAAGATCCGTCCGGAGATGATCACATTGGACCCCAACGCCATCGGTCGTGTGGACATGGATCCAGCCGAGGAGCAGGAAAGAAAAATTCATCAGATGCAGCGTGCCAACGGGGATGGCAGTGCCAAGAAGCCCAAGAAGAAAATGCGCGGTAAGAACCGTCCGTCGCGGCGACTGCGCAAGAAGCAACAGAACGTCGTTGACGTCCAGAAGCAACAGTTCCGCGAGCAATTGGCGAACAAGCAAAAACGCGAAGATCGGAAGGAGCAGCAGCAGGAGTGGAACAAAAAGGCTGAGAGTGCACCTACGGCACTCAATCGGTTCTTCAAGAAGTAGATGCATTCCACTCTGTAATACAATCGACCGTCACTTTTCATTAGACACATTGGGTTCCTTACTCGTAGTCCTCGTGTGTACAACAAGTAGAACAACAGCAACAACAAAACACGCCATTATATCAAGACCAACGATCCTTAATTATTGCACCTTAAATCGTACCAAATCCTGTTCGTCTTGCGCCAAACCGGAGTCGGCTAGACGCTCATGCAAGGTAGCGATACGTGTTGGCTTGGTCGGGGTCGCGCTCAAGGTATTCTCGGTCGATGAGAGCCTCAATACGGCGCTTGATGACCTTCAGGTTCGGCTTGAAAAACGCCAGCTGGCTCAGCACTTCCGAGATAAGCTGCTGGTGCTGTAGCGTTTTGCGAGCCTTCATAATACGCACGATCGCGGCTTCTATGGCTATGCTGCGGTCTTCCTCCACACTTTTTTGACTGTGGCTTTCTTCCAGAGATGCCATGGGAATACGCAGCTTGCGCATCGGCGAAGCAAACGTTCGGTTCAGCATAAACTGGTCGCTGGTCGAGATAGTCTTACCGGCAGGTGTCTTTGTCAGCAGTTTGTACTTGCCACACGACAGCGAATGCATAATGCGCTTCACGACATCCACTGTCAGGTTCAATGACTCGCGCACAGCCTCAAACGACAGTGCACCATCGCCTTCGTTAAACAATAGCAGCGCCACAGCTTGCAACGTCGTTACCTGCAGATCGTACCATTTCTTCTTAGGGAAGTTGGCACGAATCGTTGCATTCCCAAGGGAGTGCACCCATTGCAGTCGACGATGGCTGGTTTTTGAATCATAGTACACCTTAAAAAGATTCATACATCGGACCATTAGCGGCGGCATGGTGACTTCTAGGATGCGGTACGACGGCCAGTAACCCGTCGTTAGCACCTGGACACTGAACTCAAGACTTAAAGCAGCTTCATTTGGACCTTTCTCACGTTGCTTTTTCAAAAAGCCTTCGAACTCGTGGTGGTGGTCACTGCCGATGGCCAGATCGTTCATCATACCTTCCATCTTACCCGTGAATTGTGCACCGCAGCGCAACTTCAGCTTACCGATCATAAGCACTTCAGCATCGGCCGAAGCAGACCGCTGATTCAGCAAACGCTTGGCCAACTGATTACGATAAATTTCAGCAAAAAGATCTTTGTCCGTGAGATACGAGAACACGAATACCACCTTCTCCAGGTAGTCCTCCACCTGCTCATCACTTAGCTTTTCGCCCCCTGTCTTCAAGATACGATCACAGAACGTACTCATCAGCTTTGCCGAGCTATCGGGTCCAACGTCCCTATTAACAAACTCAACAAAAGCCTCCTTCAGAGCCTTTTGAAATAGGGAATTGCCTGCAAATTGATCGTTAACGATGCTGCGAAATTTATCATGGATGGCAAGGATATCCTTAATGAACGTTGGATCCGAGCTGGGATCACGGACGTTGCCAGAGGCTACAGCATTAGCGCGCTTTGCGACAATATCATTACCCACTGCCGTAATGTGCTGCTGCACAAGGTTCGCAATTGGCTCCAGTCCACTCTTGAGACGCGCAAAGAGGCGGTACATACGTGCCAAGTCATCCAATTTGTCATTCTTCAGCAATGCAATGACACCAGAGTTTTCTCGCTCAATGAGTTCCTTCTGTGCAGCTTCAAGCAATACATTTTCCAGTTCATCAACAAGTTTTGGCTCCGTGGACTTGTGCAGATACGTGTGCACCCGACTCCGCTCGCTCTGTAAAGCTTCTTCCACCTTTTGCAAATACACTGGTGTCGAGTCTTCACAGAGCCACCCCTTTGACTTGCGTTCATAGTACGTAGCACTAGTCAGTACAAGGTCCATTTCTAGACAAGTCTGATACACATCAAGAGACTTCATGCCCATGACTTCAAAAATCTCGACACAATTTCGCATCAGCGTCGTATCAATCAATTCTCCATTGCGTTCTTTCTCAATCAGTTCAATCATAGCGTCTTTCACACGTACTTTGACCTTTTGAAAAACCATCCGATCAAAACTCTGAAGTCCTGCATCATCCAATGTCGGGAGCGAATGGTGTTTCACATAATAGCGATCCAAGTACATAAAGAATCGGGTCATCCATTTCATCATAAGTTTATGATTGGTCCATCGTTTCACAAGTTCTTGGAGAAAAAATTCATCGTGAGCTTGATTCCAATGTGGGCAACACCTTTTGTTCCAAATAGGTATCAAATGTTTGACCATGACGATCATAAAGTTGCTCTGAAAAATTATAAGGTGATCGTTGGGTGCACATATTGTAACATGTTGTATAAATGGGCATAAAAGCATTTGGTGGAAAGGGGGAGACTTGAATTTGATCAAATCCTTTGTCTAAAATACCTAATAACACGTCAATCGCTTTGGGTTTAATTTCTTGGTCCCATCCTTCTTCCAGGGAGATTAAATTCTTTCCACTCATGCTTCAATGAGATCTATCTCAGTAAATAGTTAAGAGAGCAATAAACTTGAGTCTTCTATAGTATAAGGAATCACTTGATAATTGATTTTTCTCCCCTTTTATTCTGTTTTAACTACCAGTTGTTTCGTTTAAATGAAAAAACGCGTTGTTTTATCAGATTGTATTCCCTTCGGTAGTGCATTTGTTTTATCCAATCATTACTCGTCTTTTAGTAATACCGTCTTCCTATTAGTGTAAAATGTACCATTAAGAAAGTACGACGTTCGGATTAAGCAACGGAAGCGCCTGTTCATCCATCTCCTTCGTCCGCCATCACGTCCGCTTTAGCGTCGCCGTTGCTACCACGTTCGCACCATTTTCCTTTATTTCTTACCACAGCTCCACGTCGTTGTTTCTTTTCTATCTCTTGATCCAAGTAACAACGACTTGCTTGAAACGCCTTGACCATTTACCTCTATAACGTGATATTCACTTCAACAGGTGTATCTCTTTATCATGCTACATGATATCATACTGGGATCGTGGGAATTCTCGGCATCCTTTTGTGTCGGCCGCAGTCGCGGCTGTGAAGTGAGTATCTCAACATCGGAAGAGACACGGACTGTCAGTAAACGTCACGTTGGATTTGTCCCTTTTACAGAGACACTGGGAGTTTCAGGATTTGGTAAACGACGATGGCTTGTCTACGATCTTGAGACCATGAATGGAACAGCAGTAAATGAAGTGGAAATCCCAACAGGAGGTAATCGAGAGCTTCATAATGGCGATGAAGTCGTGTTGGCTTCGGCCATGAGACAGTGTGTCCGTCTATTGGTTCAGTTCTCAGACGACGCGCACTCGCGCATTGTCGTGAAGGCACTGACACGCTCGATGACGTCGTCGCCTGTGCCATTGCACCGCCAGACGACGACTCCAAGCCCGTCTTTACGACGCTCGCCACGACGCGTTGTCATGACGAATGCATTGGAAGATGTGACAGGTTTTAGAAGATCAGCAAATACGATTGCTGGTAGCCCGGCAATTGCAAGGACGGGATGTCGAGTGGAAGCAAGGACTCCGGGAAGTTGTTATGGAAATATGATGACTCCACCACCTCAGAGTTTGTCGCAGAAACGAAGTCGTGCTAGTCCGAGAAAAGCAGCAATTGAGATTGAAAATGTGGAGATGCATAGACAAGAGGAGACACCAAGTAGTCAGCTGAGAAAACGTTTACGACGTGGTGGCATAATTGAAGAAGCAACAGCAGTGAAAGAAGATGTTAGTACTGATACGAAAAGACCTCGAGAGCATGAGAATGAAGAGAGGGAGCGACTCATGATGTGTTCTGTCTGTCTGGAGTATTTTCACGGCAGTGCAACACTGCCGTGCTCACACACGTTTTGCGGATACTGTATTAGCAGCTGGTTCCGCAGCTCACTGTCGTGCCCCGAGTGCCGTGCCGTCGTGAAGACGGTTCCTGTGCGCAACCGTGCACTGGACGAACTGGTGAAGCGGATAGTAGGGCATACAGAAGCCTACAAGTCCCACGTACGTCGCCGAACACGGATGCAGCGACGATCCATTGTATCACATCATTTTGGGCGTAGAAGCAGCAACGACAACATTAACGTATCGGAAGGAGCTGTTCGCGGTGTGAGTAATTTCCAGCTTGTCAGTCCGACTACCCATGAGCTTCGAATCCGCGCCAGTGTTTTCACGCGTTGGTCTGTTGAAGACAAACTCGCGTTCTCTGAATACATCAAGGATCAGTTTGGTGAGACCCGTTTTGCTACCTGCAAGAAGGTAGGGCTCACGGAGATGGCAGTGGATCGATCCAACATGACGGAGCTGATCGTCGCTGCACAGAATCTGCTACTAGATTACAGTGGCATCCGTATGATTGGTGAAGCTTGCTGCCAGCGCCTCAAAATCTTCCTATTTTTCGGCTGAATGCAGACTCTATTTAGATGGCAGTGACATGGCTGCATTTATAACTCTCGGCCTCAGTATCTGTAAAACCACAGCCGTTTAAGCTCAATCAATGTCAGTAACTTGTAACCTCCCTCTTACAAAATATTAAATAAAACCACCTTTTAGGTTTTTTAAAAACGAGCTTTTAAATGGTCCTCCATTATCACAGAATAGAGCCAAAAAAAGACGACTTTAAGCCTCTGATAGGTCTTCCTTTACGACGAGATGCCAACCGATATTGAACGCATCGTAGACCGCAAGCTCATCAAGCAACGCGTGCACTACCTTGTAACATGGAAGGGTTTTGGCGAAGAGAACAATACATGGTACAGACAGAGACTTACGTGACATTTATTTTATATTTCTATAAAAGTGTTATTTCTATAATTGATTTCGATTTGGATTTCTAACGTTATTTTCGGTGCTTTTTTTCTTCTATCCGACTGTGATAGGGAGAGTCGTATTGATCTTATGGCGGACGGATACTCACACTTTATCAAAAGTTTTGAAGACGGTACGATAACTGAAGTTCTTTGGTGTCGTAATATTTAGTATTAATTATTATTTATTTCTGTTTTTATGATGCACAATTGCAGAACGTAAAAAAGAGTCGACGACTCGCGGTCGAAGTCCGGGACGTTCGTCGTACAAGAGCCCAAGAAAAAGCAAGAGTCCAGGACGTGGAGCTGATCGTTCAAGAGGACGTCGTAGTCGCTCTCGTAGCGTCTCTGGGAGCAAAAAGTTGCGGCAACGCAAAAGCTTGGTCAACACGGAGATTTTGGATAACACGGAGACCAATGGTGAAGTGGAGAAGACCGCTGGACGCCGATCAAAGTGCAATCATGATACGACCGAGTCGTCCTCGTTGTCAACCCAGTTTGTGTCCCGTCTGGACGAGGACGACGCGATTTTGCTGCGATCAACCGTAGCGGCACTGGTCCCACAGGTTCACGAGATTTCTCTTCCCTCCCCGTCGGAAAAACATCCGCACAAGAAGTCGATGATTTTATCATACGAGGAAGACGAAGAGCCGCTATTGAAGGCAAAGAAAATAGACAAAGAAACCACGTTTTCGAAGGTCAGCCCAGCGGCTAGCTCCGTTCACGACCGTACTGACCCCGTGGAAGATGGCTTGATTGCCAAGGCGGTGGAGAGTGGGTATCTCACGTCATTCTTGAGTGTAGCAGCTGTGGTTGGCTCTCTTGTGGCGAGCCAGATGCTGCCTCGTGTCGCTGAGGAGAATACCGACCTGGGGCGAAGGTGGCTATCATTCCTCACGCCTGTTGTAGCCCTATTGCTATTCTTTCATCAGAAAGATGCGCGAAGATCGGCTAAATGGGTGGCCACTGGTCTGGTGTGGCGTGCTGCTGCTGAGCTGCTGCTTTTGATTGGAGATACGCCACGTGAGTTTGAGACGATGGTTGCGGGCTCGGCTATTTTTGCTAATGTGTCGCTGCTCATTGCTCTCGTGTCCATCATTGCCAACGGCGAGCACAAGCAGTCTAAGGCTACACTTGCGCTGCTGGCAGTGGGAGCTTTCATGCTTTTCCTTTCGGACAGGTAATGATGCTTTGGGAGTGTACTTTGTCGTGCAATTTCTTTGGAGTTCTAATTTTGCCTACCTGTTGTATGTTTATTTAGCTGGGTTATCTCCACGGAAAATCCTGCGTTGGAATCTCGTGTGATTCTAATGTCAATGGCTGTTGTAAGTATTTTTATGACATTGGCGTAGCGATGTAGGGTGTACGACTAATTTACATCTGCTTTTAATGCTTAGCTGACGATTGCGCTGTCGCCAATGCCGACGGAATCCTCGGAGGATGATGATTAAGAGAGGGCGCCTCAGACACAACCACTGGACGCTGTAATTAGGAGTTTCTTGTTTTTCTCTGACTTCATTCAGAGGCAGCATTGTCGCTGCAATATGAATTTTAATGATCTCCGCTGTTACCAACTGGCTGTGTATGACTTTATTACTTGCCGTGAAGCAACGGCGTGCCCATACCATTCTGTATTTCTGAAGCGGCTCACATCATCGTGTCTGCGGTTTATTACTGCAGCGCCAGATGCAGCGTCTTGATCAGCAGCTGCTCGCTTTCAACGCTAACGGCGGAGTCCACATTATCCTCTTGGTGCACTAGCTCTCGAATAACCTCAATCGTCAATGCTGCCGTAGAATGAACGCCACGCGTCCGATGCTCTGGCCGCGCCGCGTACTCTTTCATCACCTTGTAAAGTAGCGTTTGACGCATTAGTGACTCTACTTTCTCCTCGTTGACACCCGCCGCCGATTCAGCTGCAAGGTTGTCCCACAGCTCGTTGTCATCAACAAGGCACGATCGCCACATACCGGCACGCATCTCCTTGTACTCCTCGGTCGGTGGTTCAGTTGCTAGTGTCTCTAATGCTTCCAGCGCCATCAGAAATATGTTGATCCTGTTGCACAAAATGAGTAGTGCGTTAACGATAAGTACAACCCAGATACAAAAACCATTAGCTAAGTGTATCGGTACCTCATAGGGTCGTTTTTCTCGACCGAGAGGGCTGATCTCAAGCACGCGCTGACCAACTCTTCAGGCAAAAGCGGCTGCGGATCGATGGGCTCTTTTAAAGGTAGCTGCAATAACAGCTCCTGAAGCTTTCCGCGCACAAGCTGCGAAATATACGAACAGGAGACACCTTAAACACCTTCTTCACCTACATGTTACACCGTACAACGTACCTCACGGTTGATTTCCCGAACACTCTCAGAGTTAGATAGACTAGGCGACGCAAAGGAGGCAATTTTAGCAATGCTAGCCATCGTCTTGCGCTTCGGCAACGACCGCTGTTCTCCTTTGGCTTCATGTAGTGCAAGTGTCGCCACCTGATCATAACGCTCGATTGAGACCGCAGTCAGCCAGCGGTATTTCCTCAAGTGTTCACGGCCCTTCATGAATTTGTGGAGTGCCGGCGCAAAAATTTGCGGATGGGCCAGCAGGTATGCAATCATGGTCGGAGAAGACGCACTTACTTCTTGATTGTTTTGAGTCCATGGGTTTTGAACCTCGCCGTTATACCAGCGGAAAATAAAGTCGTCAAAGCCCTCGTGCTTCTTGCAGTACGACTCCAACCTCTTTGATGCGGGGCTCTTGGGTAGTTTGCCAAGGACACAATCCAATTTTGACAGGTTCTCCGAGTCTTCAACGAAAAGAAGATAAACCATGCCTTCAAAGTAGGAATACTTTTCGCAAAGCTCGACACATTGACTGAACAAGTCTACTCGCTTGCGCGTAACAATTCCATTCAGATCAAAGTCAACTGCTATGTCACTTTCTTGGGACGGTGTCTGCGTTGCGATGTGAATCAGGGGGTTTAACGTAACACGCTTCACAAACGCTTCCTCCTTGCGCAGCTCGCCTGCTTCCTCGCTTAAAGCAAGAGGGATGAACCGAGCGTATTCGTCCAGCAAAATGGTTCCTAGTCTCTGAATCTGATCCGTGAGCTCGAAGACTTCATCGTACTGCCAGCGAATCTGCTTGTCAGACGATCCGGACTGCGAGTATCCCGCAAGAATAGACAGACGAGCAATTTGTTTAGCCACAACCTCTCGCACCTCGCAAGTGAACGCCCAATTTCCTCTGGGTGCTAAACTAGCAGTAGAGCTATGCACAGGCGTGCAGAGCATACTCAGCATGGCACTACCGCTTTCTAGCAGCGCATAAAGATATGTCGGGTCGCTCTCGCCAATTGACGTCGACAGGTTTTGAACTTCGTCGCCCAAGTGCGGAAAAAGCTCTGCAATCTTGCTCACTTCGCAGTAGAAAACATCAAAGGAATTGTAACCCGCAAGACGAAGCTGTGCCTTCTCATAACCGCGCTTCTCAACGGTTTTCTCAATCGCGTGCAAAAGAAACTTTCCCGTTAACCTGCGTCGAATTTGTCGCACTCCTGACGAAACCTCCTTCTCCGTAGCGCTCAAAGACACAATTGACGCTTGAAATTTGCTTAGAGCAATTGCACCTTGCAGCTTCTCTTCGTTTTCCGTCAAATGGCGCTGAAGCTCACTGGAATTTTGAATGAACTCCCAAACGGCTACACACCGGCGATGCAGGAACTCCATGAACGCCACATGACGATCTCTTTTTTCTTCTAATTGGTAGCGCACCAGCTTTGGAGTAACAGAAGTATTATCAGATTCAGTTTCGTGTGCATCGATCTGTGGTGGCGCATCGTCATTTGCTCCTTTCTCCCATCGCAGTCCAGATGATGATTTAGCATCCATGATCTGGAAATCCACAGCAACAGCAGCTTGAGCTACAGAAGCCACATCCCTCGCGCTCACACGCAGGGTCGATGCGGACTTTGGGTCATCATGGAAGTGCGTTAAGATCAAACGAACATAGTCCTCAACAGTTAGGTTCTCTCCCAGAAAGTTAGACGATTCGTTGGCGTAGGAGCTTGCTTCTTCGTGTCTTCGACGTGTTCTCTCCATAGATACATCAGAAGGAAGTGAAGCCGCCAAATATTCCAGTTTCTGCATACCCGAGGCGGTGGCTACGCACACTGATCCACTCGGTGACTTCGCGTCTTCTTCTATGAGCAAAAACGATACTGAACCCTTCAGGGCGTTGTTATCGAATGAACTCTGGTCAACGCGAGCACCAAATGCCAGAGCTAGTCTTCCTTCAGCGCCTTGAAGCGAAAACGCTACCGATCGCACACTTGTTTGTCCAACTTGAGGCAAAAGAATTGTACAAAACTGGACAGGCTCCACTCTTGTCCACACGAGATACAGGGCGTTACGCGTGATCGAAAAGCTCTCGACCTCAAAAAATTGATTGGCAGCTTGCTGATCAAAGACCGGCTCATAGTCCAGTATGTATACCCACTCCAACTCGGGTGAAGCGTCATCATCTCTCGCTCCGAGCGAAAACTGAAACAGTGCAAACTTGACTTTCGCAGTTGTACCATCTCGTGACGAAAGGCAGACAAAAGCCACCAGCAGAGCGAAACATGTCTCGTACACGTATGGCATCGAAACAATGCACACTTTTGCCAACTGTGCGTTAGGGAAGGTGTCACTAAAGTAGCTGATCGCTACGCGACTAGCATCAAACTGCAGTTGAGATACATAAGAGCAATCCATCACATCTCCAGTATTAAACGAGCGTCGTTCCAGCATGCCGTCTTGAAACAACACCAACATATCGGACATCTCGTCGACCTCCTCTTTGCTACTTGTCATCGATGTTGCATTTCCCATAGAAGATGGTAGCAGTCTCAAGTGTCGAATTGGTTGGTTTACATTCAATTCTCCTCCATCCGCTCCAGCTCTCGACGCCGTCGAGGAGAAGAAGAACTGTGAGACTGACTTAGTAATTCCGGAAAAGAAGCCTGTACTTTGTTTCTCAAAAGCTCGTACACGAATGCGTCGATCTTCTACCGCGACTTCCCACACATTGCCTTTGTTGCTCCAGCATATGAGTCCAGTAACTTCCTCTTGCATCTCTTCCTCTTGTCCTCCATCCAGTGTCGCTATCATGGTCGCATTTTGATGCGTACTAACTTGTTCATTAACTCCCAATGGAATTTGTACACTCAATGGTACACTCTCATATGGCAATTCAATATCTTCCCAAAAGAGCACAATGCCACTCTTCCCCACGACCATAAGACTTAAACTCTGGCTATAAAGAGCAAATAAAAACGGGTACAACACTTCAGTCGACTCGAGTTCATCGGACAATTGCAGTAAAATCACTTTTCCACGATCTTGTTGCCATAGCAGCACTTTTGTCCGTAATACAAACACAAAGTATAAAACCCATTGACGTCCGCTTCGATGACGCGCCGATGGCACCGACACTCGACAGCAATAAACTTGATGACGCTCCTGTCTTGACAATTGTGGCCATTCTTTCCGCATTTCTTCCAGTATCACAGGCGATAAACTGGCACTTTCGACGATCGTGCAAGTATTTGTATCCATTAGAAGCGACGAGATCTCCTCCATGTCCCCTACACCTCCCGATCGTGGCGCATAGAGCGCATCCCAATGCTCTAGACGTTGTCGTTTACTCGTACTTAATACGTTCGTAGCTGGCAATCCCGTGAGCACGCGCTTCGAAGGCACCTCAACGAACTTCCGCGCTCGGAACATGAGGATATTGGAGTGATTTTCATCCAGTCACGAGGTGTTGTTTTATATTTTTTTTATTAAAAGTTAAACGTTAAATTGTAAGGTTTAATAATTAAAACGATACGATTAAGGTCGATGGAATGGCTACATTTCTCTTGTTTCAGGACAGGAGCAATAAATACGTCCTGGTGCATGGAGCGAAAGCAGTTTATCAAGACCCTGGGGCTCGAGTAATCATTTGAGATCACGAGGTCAACTTTTGGAATAACGACTTGATCCTTAAAAGCCGAGCGTTGCACGTTTGTTTCGATATGTGAGCTCTGGGTCTTCGGATTCCTGGTCTTCCATGGTATCGGCAGATAGCGGGATGCTATCGGGTGCCTGTTCATTGTCAGTGGATTGCTGGATGAAGTACGCGTGAGCAAGCTCTAATACCTTTACCCACTTGAGCATCTCGTCCTGATTCTTTGCAATCATACGCGTCTGCTGGGTAGGTGAGCAGATCATAAACTCGTTCGGCTTGCTCACTTCTTTGCCATACAGGATCTCCAATGACTTGTTCTTCAGTGGAATTGAACCACGAGGTTCACGATCACTCTCTCGTTTGTAATACCGAAGAAATCCATCTGATTCAATGTTAAACCACCGCTCACGAACGCCACGCAACGACATGTTACCAAATGTGCCCTTTTCGTTCGAGTGGGTTGCGTGTTTGCGTAAAATGCCACTCATGGTTGGCAATGAACCATCTCGAGGGATCTGGTACGAGTTCGACTCGTGTGCCTGCGTCAACGCGTTGACAGACGCGCTGCTGCTGCCTCGTCTGCTACGATTAGAATCCAATAGTTCTGAAACTCGTCGCACGCTAGTCGAAGCTCTGTTACCGCCATTCGAAGCCCGACCACCACCTATGGAAGTCCGACCACCACCTATGGAAGTCCGACCACCACCTATGGAAGTCCGACCACCATCCACGGAAGCCCTGCTACCAGCGATTGAGTCTCGGATGCCACCAAGCGACGCGCGAGAGCCGCCGCCAGACCTCCGTGGAACGTCATGTATTGTAGGCGAGCCGATAATCGACGGTCGCAAGTACGAATCTTTTGCCTTGGCCGACACGTTTAGTGTCCCATTTGTCAAAAGCTGGAACTGATCTTGTACCACCTTCATCTCATCCTTCAGTCGAAACCGGCGCTTGCCGAGCTGACTTTTGCGTTCTTCGTCCTTTTCATCGGCAGCTTTCGTGAGCTCGACAACGGTATCATGCAGCTGAGCTTGAAGCTTAATTAGCTTGTTCTGTAGACGCGACGACTCTGACACGCGTTCGTGTGGAGCTTCATCGATATCAACCGAGTCAATGGATGAGTCCGCGTGTTGCAAGACAATCTTTTCGCCCTTGTCGACGTCAAAGAAAACCTGCAGCTCGTTCTCCATTCGCCGCATTTCTTCCGATGCCATCTTCAAATCATCCTTTAGATCAGCTCGTCGAAGCGACAGGTTCTCAGCCTGTTGCTGATCTCCACTGATAGTTGCAGTCGCTATTCCCGACACAGTTTCCTGCAGGTTCTTCCGCAGCAACGCAATCTTGTTCTCCGCAAAGATCAGTTGAGGCGGACGTTCGCCACTAATAAATGCATCCTCACGCTTGACAGCTGCTGCAGCCACATCCATTTGACTCTTGAATTGATAAATCTCCGATTGTACGAATTCGGCTCGCTCTTCCTCCATCTTGATCTCTTCTTCAAGATGATCATGTTGAGCTTTAACCTTCAGAAGAAGCCGCTCACGTGCATCCTCAGCGCGAGTATCAATAGAGCCTCTATGCACCAGGGAACCCAGAAACGCTGGTGAAAAGAACTTAATAACCTGCTGACCATTTAGGTCCATGTCAAGATCTCCATATTCATCCAACTCTCTTTGCAAGCAATCCAGGGTCTCCTCTGTTTTGACGCGAGCCGCCTGCAATTCGGCGTTTTCAGCAATAATGTCAGTGACATCCTTGTCAAGCTCCGCTGATCGCTGGACAAGTTCTGCCGTTCTTAACACTTCAGGAGATTCAATTTCGCCTGACGCTTGCATGTCCAATTTCTCGATCATATCCTTGAGCGAACATTCCTCACGGACCAAATTTTCACGCTCCTTCTCTAAAGATTCCTGGGTCCGCTGCTCTTTTTCAACTTGAGTCTCCATAACCTCGCACTTCTTTTCCATTTCGAGGCATTTCAGGTGAATGTGCTGCTTCATTGTCGTCCATACTTGTTTGTGAAGTTCAATCGACACCAAGATCTGAAAGTAATCCATACGAAGCGAGTTCTGCATCACTCGTGCTGCGCGAGCTTCCTTAACCTCTTCTGAATCTTCATGTGGAATTTCTTCGTCGGCTCGGCCTACAATACCTTTCGTAATATCGGCGAACTTAATGCGCACGGGACGCACCAATCGAGCGAGCAGCTCCAGTACTTGTGAGTATGTGTACCCAGTCATTGGAATTCCATTCATCATCGTTATTCGCATATTTACTGCAAGTCGTTTTTCAGGCTTTACACTCCAGTTATAAATCTCTGCCGGACTTGCCATTCCATTCGGCAGCTTGTAAATCTCCACAATGTGGACCTGGAGGTCAGTAAACATTGTGCCAGGAAGTCCAGCAATTTGCTTCAGGTTGAGCCCCAACCGACCTGGTCCAAACGTTACCTCGATTTCATGTACCCAATTGTAAATCACACCAGTTTTTATGGGAGGGCGCAACCACTGCGTGTGTCCGTAAGGCGATACATAGTACCTCTTCCCATCATTGCTTTTACTCTGGCGTGTCGACCAGCCTTTCGGCAAAACCTGGATCTCTCCAGACTCCAACACTTCGACTGATTCACATGCGAGTTTCGTTCGAAGCTCCTCTAACACTACCTCCAAATTTGCATCGACGGGTACACTTTTCTCAGCAGACTCTATTACTGCCGTGATAGTCGCATGATCGCCATCCTCAATTTTTTCTTCATTTGCAACCTGGCTTTCGGATTCATTCGCATCGGCTTCTAATACTACTGGTTCAATAGTGTCCTCTATACTCAAGTCTGTAGCGACTGCAAGCACGTCAGGCATTGCAGTTGGTGAAGCCAACTCCATTTCCTGTGGAAATTGCACCGCTCCGTCAAGTGTTGCAACTGCTTCATCGACAACCAAATTGTTACTAGCAACTGGTGTGTGATTCTCAGCTGAGATGTCGTCATCAATGGACAATGTCAATGTGGCAACGTCCATCGAAAGTGACTTTTTTTCCAATTGGTCACAGTTTCCGCTGTCCTAATAGTCACCAAATCTTCCAACTCCTCAACGTCTTCTCCAGCAGCTTTTGCTTCCTTTGTATCGTTACCCATCCGATATTTGTCCACTAGATCAATTTCCTCGGCTCCTCTTGCATTAGATTCACTACTATCACCAGCATCATCTAAAGCTACCACATCTTTATCGTCTCCTCGAGCCTCTGTAATTATCACACTCTCTTCATCAGCTACAGTATCATCATCTTCAGTAGCTAAAACAATCCCCTCTTCTTTGACCATCCTCTTATTCTCTTGGCGCTCTTCGATATCCAATGCACCTTCGACATCACTCCTTTTTATATCTTGTACATTTCCGACGGATGACGAGAAATCAGACAGTAACATCTCTTGCGTTTTATCTACTAGCGATGGGGTTATTTGCTCCATATGTTGGACGTGTTTGTAGTTCTTGAGTCACTCACTTTTACTTCCCGTATGCTCACTATCGCTTCCTTTTAATAAGCTCAAAATTCTAACAATGGGATAATAATATACACTCCACTTAAATACGAATGCAAGTGTTTATTTCGGACAACGTCATCTTGTGTATGGAGTCGTCTATTGTAATGTCTCATGGAGTAATATTCTATACACTTTCGACCACTTTTTCAGTCAAAAAGTGACAGGTAAAAAAAACATTATTACTTCTTATGTGATAGAAAAAAAACTAGTGGGAAGCCGAATGGAATCCTGATGATAAGGAAGTTCAACTTGAATGCCATGACAGCGACTTAGCCAATATCATTTTTTACCATCCTGATATCGCATTCCTTTACAAGATTGATTTTCGACGATCGCCACGTTAGGTCTGCGGGGCATCTACCAAGCAAAAGCCTTCGCTGCACTCGCTGCTCTTGGATTGCAGCTCCAGTGCGTGGCTATTGTCCGTGAGATTCCCGGGTGAAGTTGTAACGGCTTCACGTCGGCCAATGCGCGTTTCGCAAATGAACTCACACAGCGAATAATGGACCACATCATCGGCCAAGTTTTTTATCTTTGGACTCTTGAGCACCATGATTTTAGTGTTCAAGCGACGATTGGCTTCAGCTATACAAGTCACACGGCATTAGCTTGCGGTCATCGAGTAAAACCAACCATTAACTATATGAAGACAACGCACTTCGTGACCGTATGCCATAAAACTGGCAGACACTGTGGATGATCAGACGATGGAAAGCCGAGTCCAATAGCGGCAGTATCAGCCGCACGTCTTTCTCGCTTGCTTTCATCAGCTCAATCGGGTGTTTCAGCACACGAAACAACGGTGCTGCTACTTCCAGCTCCGAGGGAACCTCTTGCCACTGCAACAAGCAAAAACCGGAGATCCCATTAGCATCGAACCAATTATTATTGTCACCGTGTGCTAGACAATCATCAACTGCTCATACCTGGATAAAGTGCAAAATCACATACTCAACGGCTTCAATAAACGGTGCAAATGAGTTGAATGATCGTAGCATCAATGTCCGCGCACGCCGATCGACACGAGTAAACAATAGCTCGGCATCTGGCACCGCCACAAACCAATATCAGACAACAGCAACATAACACTACATTTACAACACCAAGCACCAACTCACCATTCCATTCATCTTTACGTCGATTACGTGGTGCATGAACAAGGTTGTTCTCACGTACACCTCCTCCTTGGCGAAACTCCGTCTGCAAGTCTTCATTCTGCGGTTCGGCCAGCTTCTGAAAGTTCGATCTAAACATACATTGTCAACAAGTCAACATCATGTCCTGCTCGTCACCCACTCAACAATCAAATACACAAGTGTCTTGTCCACACCACTCACTCACCTCCACTCCACATTAATTTCCATGTGCTCCATCAAATCCTCCAGTCTTGTAGACGCTGCACGATTACCAAAGTGATGATCTTTGCCAACCCACATCACATCACCATAGTCAGCACAAAGGATAAAACCCTACATCCTACTCTACTATCTCACCGTTATACCAACGCTGTTGCTTGCGCGTGCCCAGTGGCAATTCATTGGGTTTCGACAAATATCTGGCCGATCGAATCGGATGAATATTAATCAGTCGTTTGCTGCGAGACAGTGGCGATTCACTGCCTCGTTTCTGCGGCGTCCGTGCACGACTAGAGCCGTCACTCGAGGGTTTCATGCCTGTTATCATGCTCTTCTTTGCAGCGTCATTATCCACGGTCGTCTCAGTACGAAGTGGTGCAATAGGACCTTCTCCCCAAGCCATCTCTATCTCCAACTCACTCCCACATAGTGAACTCACTTCCGAATCGCTTACATCTGGTGCTTCAGCTGCACGATTAATTACATGCACCATTATTCGTTCGGTACCGGTATCAGATCTGACGTTTGTCGGAGGGGTTTTTTAGAATGAGAGAGATACAAAAAATAGACAAAGAAAACGACCATCATTCCGTTTATGAAACTATTATCAAGAATGGAATTGCAAGAAAGAATAAAGCTGGGGCTAAATCGAATTCATTACGGATAATAGATAATCATTGGATACTTCATCGTCTTTTGGATAATGGATAATCATTGGATAATTGATAATCATTTGGATAGTTGATAATCATTGGATAATTGATAAACCGTGTGGTCATGGACCTTACAGCAGAAGATGACGACTTGTTGAGCTACTTTCTGTCTGCTGATGTCACAGCGGAAGTGCCTCCACAGCTGCAATCAAGCACATCTGATCCAGGCACAGGAGATGTCACGATTGAACAGTTTACAGTCGGTCAAACGGTCCCTTTAGACTCGGAGCAGACGTTTGATAGCGATTTGCTAGCGACTGAAACACCCGTTAGCAGTAACTCGAGCTTCCAGCAGACACAGAATAGCTTTCCAGAGTGTTCTATGATGCGTCCAATGACCAACGACGATGACTCGTTGTCCAATATGGGGGCGTTGGACACGGACGAGAAGCGACAGCGGCGACTGGCAAGAAATCGAGAGTCAGCACGTCAAAGTCGCCGTCGTAAGAAACAATATCTGGAGCTGTTGGAGGAAAAGGTGCGTCTTTGTATTGTAATGCGATCGAAATGAAAGTATTGGACGAGCTGATGTGGTTTTGGAATTGAATGCAGGTTGCCCAATTGACCGAGAGTATCGACACGACTCGAGCGAGTCACTTGGAGCGCGCAGATGAGGCACTGAATCAAGTACGATCGGAAATATTGAAAAGCCTTGCGGCTGATAGGAAAAATGGCGGCTCAGACGAGGTACGGACTTGTTTTGGATTGAGTTACGAAGAGCTGAACGAAGTAAAAACGTACTGACGACCTGCTTGATTATGAAGGCTATCCAGGAAAAGATCCGACAAGGTATTTTGCTGATTCAGGAGCGCTTTGGACCAAACGGTGTGGTAAGCAGATGCGCGAACTGATGTGCAACAAATGCTTGTGCTAAAAGTACAGAAGGATGTTAATGCTACTTTATCTGGAATGTCATAATTGTAGGAGCGACTTGCTGTCAAGGACTACAATTTTCGTCAACTTGACAACCTGCTGCTGCCTCCGTACTGCCGTTTTCTGTTGTGGCTCAGTATCCAAGATGAATCGTTCTTTGATGAAGCTGATGGAATGGGGGCAAAGAATGCTGTAGATGCACCAGAGAAGAAGAAAGTCCCTGTTACGGTGAAGAAGGACACGCTTTGGTCGACTCTGACAAACGACCTTGCTCTTACCTACGAGCAGGACGAGAAATTAAAGTCGTTGTACAAGTAAGTTTGAGCTCCAATGAAGTCGTGGTTTTGTTATGGAAGGATACTGATACGTTGTGCTTCTAAAACAGGTCAGACGACTCAAAAAACGGCAAATCGGAACGCCGACGGGTAGCAATGGCTGTGGTGCGTGATGATAGTGGAGTTTGTTTGCTTGATGCTGTACTTACTTCTTTATCCTGTACTATCTGCTGACAGACTTATTTAAGCAAGCTGAAGAAAAGCCTCGAGCAGCGCTCGGAAGCGGTCCAACGACAAACGGAAATGTTACACTCCATTTTGACGCCAGAGCAGTCACTCACATATTTACGGTGGGTAGATGCCAACCAGGATCGATTGCCAGACTTTGTGGATAAAACGCTTAACTCGAGTGCTTCCGATGCGGTGCGCGATATTCTGAGAAAGGATGACCGCGATCTAACGGTCGAGGACGTGACTGCATTGCTTAGAGAGCTGTAGACCCACGTCAGAGCGCCTCCTCGCCTATTGTTTATGCCTCGCTGTCCGCAAGCCTTCGCTGTCTCTCGACGTGGCCCATACTATCATGAGTCAATGGCCATTGCTTTGTTTTTTTGTATGTGTCATTTCCTGTTATGGTGAAAACTGCACCATGATTCATCACGACGATATATGGCGAATTTTAAGCTAGAATTGTATAGCATCCTGCCCGCTACTAAAACAACATTTTTTCTTATCCACTACTGTAGCTTTTGCTATATGCATGCAAACTATTGTTAACTTTTGCAATCCCATTATTCTTACACGATGGTGGTGCAAAAAGCGACAACATTCAGAACGTCAGTAACGCAATTTTTCTTTGTAATAGCTCTAGTCTTATAGGCATGATGTTGTTATAGGCTTTGAGAAGCTCGTGACAACTTTTTTTGCTAAGAACTGTTTGCCTGTACCAGAGATACTGTACATTGTGATATCACTGTAGTATACGCTCCAGAGTTGGAAGTCATACTGGATGGCGCAATTTACTTAGCGCCCATCTTGATCATTCTTGACAGATGCGTACGAGAACGGCACCACAATCTCGGGGCACAGCGCCTGGTGTAATGTCCATTTGTCGTCAATGGCGGCAGAAATAATCGTGACGTCTGTTTACAAAGTAAATCATAAAGTGAGCTATTCGTTCAGTGCATATATGATTGTAAGTCGCTTTTACGTACATGGATAACGACCCGAGATTTCTTCACAACCATGCGAGGAGCAGACGACCATGACTAACGATATACTGCTCTCCAATACGCCAACTCTTCGCAACGCCTATTGGTTTACCATACAATTGTTAGCATATCAAAAAAGTCATTACAGTGAACAGTTTCCAACCTCGATGGCCTTGCATTCAGCCCCGCCGTTTGCTGACGTTGAGAACAGCAACACTTCGAAGCTAGCAATATTGTCAGGTACGTCCAAATACTGAAGCTGCCAGTTCACGATGCCATCCTGGTGTACCGCCTTCACGTGGATCTGACCTGCATGAATGGTTAGTATTTCCCAGCACTCTTTGACACCACCTTGCTTGATTCTTTACCTGTTGCAAGGTTGGGGTCGATCTGGCCAAAAGCCGTCAAGAATGACACACTTGCACTACCCAAGGTGACCGCACAATAAGCGGCACTAGCATAGCCTCGCTCAGTGTTGACAACGCGGCCGATCTCATCATAGTCGTACGTCGCGAGAGCTTCTTCCACTAAGATACTAAGTATCACCAACAACATTAGATATGAATGCATGACGAAAAAAGAACCACTACATGATGTCAACTTACAATGTTACTCGAGCAGCTGCACGTCGAAAAGCGACTGGACTAGTATTTGCATCTCGCAATACCGCCAAAAGGAGCATGACTCTTTTCGAACGGAATTCCAGATTTCGCAGCTGAGATGCAGCAATGTTCCGCGTGTTTTTCAATGGCTGCGCGTCATTGCTTCTTAGACTTTGCAATACCCTAGGGTCTTGAATAAGAGTAACCTGCTGTGGTTCCATGTCGTCCCCGCGTGCAAGAATCTCGTCTCGGTTTTTGTAAATCTGACAGACAGCTGCTCTCGTGACACCGAATTCTCGCGCCAGAGCTGCTTGTTGCTCTCCACCAGCGACACGCTTAATAATACAGCATCGATCGCTATGACGTAGGTAATTAGGAGGCTTGCGTGTTTTCTTTTTCATTGATATGGAAGGAACTTCATTGGATTCGGGTATCTCCATGGCTAATCGTTTGAGCTCGACCCTGGCTTCAAAATTGTCGGGAATAGTGCGTTTTGTATGCGACAAGTTGACACCTTCAAGTCCTTTTGGTTCGATGTGGAATGAAGACACAAATAACGGGCCTTTTTCCATCATATGTGAAGACTATGGAAAATTGGGAAATGGGTCCAACGACGGTTCACTGTCATGTTGATGTTTTATTTTATCGCTGGGTTTTATTTGTGGTAATGCACGCAACATAAGAGCGTATAAGTTGCATCACACTTGCTGATGGAGACCTTTTTCAGTTGCTCGTGATCTTTTGTGACACTGCTTGACACGTGCAATTGTGACAAGCAGCGATTTATTTCGTTCAAGTTGCTGGTTTGTAACGGCTACTTAAGTCTTTTCTGTCATACCAGCTTCTGGGTACCACAAATGTTCGTGGCCAGTGCTCAGCATTTTGCTGGCTTTTTCTTCCAAGCAAGAACATTTTACCAAATTGTTAGACTATGCAACCTATGAGGTAAGAGGGCGGTAGATACTAGACTGATGCTATTAAACGAAATAAATGACATGTGTCACATGTATGCTTAACGCAGAATCGGATGGTCGCATTCATCGCGCTGATACTACGTTATCCCATTGAGACTGGAACGCTACCACCGTCCGTATACTGCCTATATATTGTGAACATTAATTCATATGCTACTTCAACATGTCCCGCACTTATAAGCAAAATTAAATTCATCTCGTTGGTGTCACTTGAGCAGTATTGTCGTACGTTGATTATAGTGTGTGTATAAGCAAGCATAACAATCATCGCGTGCTCCACAATATTCACTTCGGTCTAGCTGCGAGTCATTCCATTGACGTGAAACAGTATGTACGAAAAAGTCAACTTCCATTTAACACCAGCTGTGCAGGTGATTTCCGATGTCAAAGACATGCTATTAGTTGAGGCTTTACCCGTGCGTCGCTGGGATGTCGAAGCATTAGCATTATCTACTGTAAACCGATTGACTAGCACTGCGTTAGTCAGTTTACGAAATTGATGAAAGTAAAGGTAATAAATTGAAGCAGCAGCATGTTTCTTTGATCGATTGATAATAGAGGGGACAGACATTCAAATGTACTTGAGAGAAACATTGTTCCGCTTAAAATTCGAAAAAGCGTAACACCTCCACAACAAATTTCTGACACCACCAGATTTCCAATGAAGACAGATGACTACAGTTTGTGGGGTGTTTAATTTACAACCAAGACGTGATGGGTGAGTAAATATACAAAAAGGATAGGATCCATTACAAGCGGGTGTAGTTCACGTCTATAGGTTTTTCGATGATAAATTCGGTGCTGATACTCAATATTACATCTCATAGGATCAGTGCATTCTATATAATCAGTCAAAGTGTCGACATGTGTAACTTCATAGTTACGCCTCCACAAATGCATTTAAAAATAAAGTAAGGACGAGTACTGCTTTTCCGCGTTTTTAACATACTGTAGCCTTGGTCTTCTAGCACACTCGTTAACTTCAAGTTACTTATACATAAACTCAAATTTACGTAGGGCTTAAACGGCCATAACATTCGAATATACAGTATCCCACACTTGGCATTTGCACTTGGTAAATGGCCTAAACAAAGCAAGTGTGTTTGTGGATAAACTATTCTACCGAAAGCGGCAATCGATGCGCTATGAGAGAGCACTTGACTCCAGAAAAATGCCGTGATCAATCTGACATCCCGAAAGTAAAGATACTTTTGGTGACGTCTTCAATCTTGCTCTACTTTGAAGAATATACGTTGTCTCTGCGTCTATAAACTTTAAGGTTGTTACCCTGTGAACAGCAAGAGTGTCAGACTGGGTGACAAATCCATCGCGCTATACTTTCAGGGTTGTTACCTCACACTGCGGTAATCACAATACGTAGTGCTACATGTATTATGTAATTATAGAAGTAGCATTGGCGACGGCTTCATAGCGTAGCCAATCTGCCGAAGAAATGTACATTCTCCACAATCTGAAGACTTGGCTAAGTCCGCAGACTCAAGCTGAAAAAGCTCTTGATTCGAAGTTTTAACGGCACCCTCACATTCGATATTGCAGACGAGAACTTTGCAAAACGCGGTACATCAACCTGTAATAAAAGATGTAGACATAAGTCGGCGTCAATATCTTCAGCCAACATATCTTCGCTAGCGCATGCTCTAAAGGCTGACAGCGTTTTTATAGGTGCATTGCGGAGCCAAGCATCAAGTCTTGTGTTCCAAGTCACAAGGCGTAATGTTCGACTTTGCAGTAGCGTCTAACATGAGTACGTCGAAAAATCGTGATAGGTCAAAGCAGAGACGCAGCAGAGTGTCTCGTTGATAGTACAATGCTGCATTCCAAAGTGTGCAGGCGAAGCAGCTATTGTGTGTAGGGATAGCTCGTTTATTGCAAGTGATATGTCAGTGGGCGCTTGCTTGTGGATCATGTCGAGTGTATGCGTGGAGCAAGGCTGTCTGTCAACAAAGCATTTGAGTTTTGCGTTTTACACAATAAAACGTTGCAAGGGCGAGTAGAGCTTAAGCATCTTTGAAAACGTCTCACCTAAATAAGTGAGCCACTGAGTCAATCAAGGGCTTGCTTTAGCCATCCGTTCGTGTCAAATTTGTTCTCGTATAGATCGCTGCTATCTAGGACAGGACTCATTCGAGTCGAGTACTTCTCACACCAGCATGAAGCCAGGCTAGTCATCACGTAAACTGTATCCTCAAGGCTTCAACTTATATAGAGCTCCACCATCCACACGGAGGCATGCTGTGGTTTTTGGCATTGCATCAAACGGTTATCCTAATAGACCACTACGCAAACAGGCTGGAGCTTAAACATAATACATACGAATTGCGGTTCGCAAAACTACAAAATCACTAGAATAATGAAGAAGGTCTGACAAAGCGACATTATCTACTACTCCTTTACAATTTCCTTGTTTGTTGAAGCGAGTGATGTAATGGCGGATGGATTGGAAATGACACCGAGGATTCGTTTGAGCTTCTATATCGAGACGAGACGGAAGACAGGGTTCTCCTAAGCAGGCGGTGGATCTGATTCGTAACAATTGATTTTTCGTATGAAAGGATTATGTCTCTTCGGGAAGGACGATACGGTGTCGAGAAACTTACAAGAGCAAAGCTTTCGGTAATGCAGCGGTGCAAAGGCTCGATAGAGTAAATAAGAGGATGGCTTAAAGACAATACTATAATGTATTACTGGAAAACGCGCCTGTGGCAGGCAAATGTTTTCTAGGGTTTTGATCAGTAAATAAACCTGAGATTTGGGCTCATTAGGTTTAATAATCAAATTAGAGTTAATAATGTACTGCCTAGTCACTTTGACTGATGAGCCACAAAAAACATAAACTCTGCACACCCTACATGTAACGGGATGATCCCCCCGTTACATAACATTGACTAGGTGCCAATTTGAATATTATCTTAGCGAAAATTATTCAGCAATACTGTCCTAGCTTATAATATTCGTCGACAATGTTACCTTTATCATAATATTGCTGTCGCATTTCCTTGAAATTGGAGATGCCACTGACACAGCGTAAGTAAATTATACAATGGCAGTATACTCGCAGGTGCTCCGTTACATCGGTAGTTTTTCGTGGTCCGTTCAACGACCAGCGACTCATCCTATATGGATCCAGCGGATGTAGAACGTCATCACGCACCGCGTGATGATTTATGTGAACTCGAATAGCAGGCGGTACAACGTGTGGCTGAAATCGTAGAAGATGCCTATGTCGGTAACATGTTTCTCGTCTCCACTCTGTTCACAAGCAATGGTGCTAGATGCAGAGAGGAAGTTCGTAGCGCAGTGTAAAAGGATTCTGTCATTTGTGTGTTAGCTTCTGCGTTTCCTGTCTTGCCTCTCATTCGCTCATGTCCAATCAAGCTGATTTTTCCAGCTGAAGCTTACGATGCTAAGAAAACCTACATGTCCAAAGTCGTTAGCCGCAACTCCAAGTGTCCTACCACGCCCCTCATGCATGTTCGTTATTAACGTGGTCATCTACCCAGCACTTATTCAATGCGAATTCTCACACACTCTACTCGACTCCATTCAAAAAGAGCAATATACAACCATCATCAAGTTCATGTTGAATGAACTTGGTGCAGCAATAAAACAGCTCACCTACTACAGGAGCAAGGTGCTTAACAGGCTGACCTGTTAAAAGTGAAAGGCGCTCAACAAGCTGACTTGTTGACACTTGTAGTACATTCACACGCTTGTGAACGCTCCAAAACACACTCCCCGTACTGCGAGTGACGACAATTTTACTGCCAAAAAGGGCCTGAGACGTGAGCCACATGCTGCTGCGGAACCGCAACAACGTGATGGACCGCCAAAAAAGATCAGGGTCAGTAAGGGCGAAGCGCCCAACTGATCCAGCAATGTCAAGAGAGTTCACAAGACTCCTGACGAAGGGTTGCTCCCAACACACAGTCACTGTGCGTTGTCGCTCCTGGTGATGAGGAAAATCTCATCACCAGGAAAAGCTTTTGACACTTCGCGCCGTGTTGACTGTGGGGAGTCGATCTTTGTCTGACGCCAGCCACTAGGCTAAATTCCTTATACGCGAGGCCCCTTCAACGAGGATGACGGCGCGCCTTTGCAACTGCCGCATCCGTAGCAGTTAAAATGTGAAGTAGGAACCCACTTTACGCTTGGAGCATCATACTCGATTTAGATGACAAATCTGATGTCATCCTATGTTTACATGGCTCAGAAGGTACGAGCCATAGGTCAACTGGCAGCAGAAACCGTTTAGATGCATGCTGCTGTTCATCAAATGGCCATCTGATGAATGAGCTTAGTGGCCTATTCCTAACAGCTATTGCATTTTGTAATCGCTTGTATCTTGGAAAGTGAGGTCGCTCACTCTCTACATAGGAGAGGTCCATTGACTCTGGACCTCCGCCCACCTGTCGTCTCGGTGGACGATAGGATCTTAAGTGGACACAAGCCTGTTGCAGTCTTAAGTCCTCCTATCCCGCTGCAGAGATCGCTTGGTCAAGCACTTAAAATCCAAGAGAGACGGGTGGGTCTTGACGGGACCATCCGCATACCTTTAATGAACACAGTGACCTGCGTGT